CAAGGAGCAGGTGAAGGTCAAGGAAGCACTCGATTCTGAGCGGGCCCAGAATCGGATTTTGTCAGAGGAGCTCGTGCGACAGACGCGGTTGTTGGAACAATGTCAGCTCGCACGGCAGGCGGATGAAGAATTAATCCGCAGGTTACAGTCAGAGTGTGGCGAATTGAGAGCGCAACGTGCTGAAGCCGAATCGCAATTAGTGATAATTGAAGAGGATCGCAGGAAGGAGGCGGATCGCACGAAGGTGGAGACGGCGAGGCGAGTCGCCCACTGTCTCAAGGGCTACGCCCACTGGGAAGTGAAGGCGCAGGAGAAACTCACACTGCGTGAGTTTGAATTGCGCGCAGCCGGGTTGTTGTCAGGCGACAGTAGGAGTCGGCGGAAGGTAGCGAAGAAGCTCGAAGCCTTTCTGTCGAAGGCACAGGATACCATGTCCGCCCTCGAGGGGGAGGTGTCCGCGGCGTTGCAGCGGTTGGGACTGCGCAGTCGAGCGGAAGAGTGGCAGGGTAGGGAGTTAGTGCGCGGCAGTCGGCCGCGCAGGAGACGTAGTACAGGTTCCGCGGAGTGTAGTGTAGCGTGGTTCCGTGCAGGCGTGTAGCGTAGTACAGTGTAGTGCTAGGTAGGACTTAGAAGGTATAAAATAGTTCCAGGCGTTTTGCCTGGGGTTCTTTCCCATCAGAAGTGCAGATCAGGAACCCATTTCCTTTGCGTGTTTGTGTCCTTGAGTTCTGTCACCACGCACGAGGAGTTACAACTTAGCGTTCCGCATTTTGTAGCTGAAGGCCTTCGGCCGAATGTTCAGAGCTAGTCCATTGGTTAGAGACTTGAGTAGTTCGGATCTGCACCTGCGGGTGACTGCCGATGCTCAGAGCCAGTGACTAGTTAGATACTTGAACAGTTTCGCCCCTACACCTTCGAGTGTTTCTTTCTGATTGTACTCCTTGGGATTTTTCCCCTGAATGCCAAAGTGAAGTTTTGCTACTTCGGGTAAGCCTTGGTTGTAAATTCAGGTTACGCTGCAGCAGGTGCCTTGAGGGTAACCCCTGTAGTATTTCTGGGAATGACAAGTGCCTGAGAATTCAAACTCTTCAATAGACTGTTGTTGTGTTACTGGAATGTTTCTCAGTGAGTCCTTCAGTGCGGACCTGTGTTCTCTACGCGTTTTGTGAGTTGAGAGTGTTGTTCACCGCGTATGAGTGACTTCGATCCGAAGTAGGCAGTCCAAACCGGGTTTCCTACACTAGCAGCAAGCTAGTGGAAGCGTTGTAAAAGCCGGAGTTGGAAGTCACTGCCCGCAGCTTTGCCGAGTGTGCTTGAGAGAGACTTTCCCCCTGAAATCTTGAAGTAGAGGTCCTAACGGATCTCTGGGTTGTGTTTCTGTAGTTTCAGGTGTGTGTGTGTGTGTGTGTGTGTTACGCTGCACTGTGCGACCTCCGAGTGCGCTCCGAGTGGACACTTGCAGTATTTCTGGGAGTGACAGTTGCCTGAGAATTCAAACTCCTCAATAGTCTGTTAAAACGTGACACTTTGTACCCTGTGTGTTCCTCTGTCCCTGTGGGTTCGACCTTTCTACCACTATATTGCAGTTTTAGCCTTTAGTGGGTTATTACAGTCGGGATGAGCCTTCGGCTCAAGGGCCTTCGGCTTAGAGGATTTCGGGTCAGACGCCTTCAGCGCAGACCCAACTTGAGGAATCGGCCAAGGACGAAGGCTGGAAGGAGGAGACACGTGTGCCTTCGGCAAAGTCGCCTTCGGCACAAGCGCCTTCGGCGGTAGCAGATCGGGCAGGAGAAGCGGTCCCGCCGGAAGCCAGATCTCCACCGCGTTGAAGATCTTGGCCGGGAGTGGAGCGGCGGTCGCAGTAGCAGAAGCCACACGACCCAGTTCTGTGAGAACTGGGTCGCGTGGATTCCAGGAAATCGTCGAGGATTTCTGTGGCGATAGAGATCCTTGACTAAGAGGACGAAGAGGACGAAGACTCAGGTTCGGAAGGGCAAGAAGTGGAGTCAGTGCAAGGCACGCCGACAGGATTATTGTGCGAGCAGGTGGTACCACTACTGCGGTACCTTGATCGCAAGACGGCGAAGTATGGTGATCCCCGCCATCGGGGTTCCTACGTCGAATTGGTGCGGAATCGGACGCGAATCAAAGTTGCGACGAATTCTGTACTGATTTTCCTGGACAACAAGTAAAGACAGTTGGAGGAGAAGAACGATGCCCTACACGGACATCTCACACTCTCGCGGAAACTGTAGAAGGCAGTACTACAACTGCGCGATGACGCAGCAGCCAAGGCCTAGAGCGAATTTGAGAAGCAAATTGCTGCGATTGAGGCGGAGCTCCATTCAGAGCGAATTCAGAATAGCACCTTGGCAGAGGAGCTCATGCGGCAGAGGCGGTTGTTGGAGTAATGTCAGATCGCACGCAAGGCAGATGAGGAGTTACTACGTCGCCTGCAATCGTAGTGCGACGAATTGAAAGGGCAGCGTGCGGATGCGGAGCTGCAATTAGTGGAGTTTGAAGGTGACAACCGGCGCGCTATAGATCGCACGCGAGAGGAGTTGGTCGTGCGAGTGAACCAGTGTCTGAGAAATTACACTCTCTGGGAGGTGGCAGCGCGGGAGAGAATCACCTTGCGCGAGTTAGAGATTCGTGCGGCGGCCTTGATGTCGGGTGACCGTCGAAGCCGGCGGCGAGTGGCGAAGCAGTTAGATGCCTTCCTGGCGAGGTCGCGAGACGCCATTGCGAACTTCGAGGCAGAGGTGACCGCGGTGTTGCGGCCGCTGGGATTGCGCAATATAGCAGAAGACTGGTCTGGTAAGGATGCAGTGCGCGGTCGAACTTCGCACAGGAGGCATAGCATATGACATGTAGTGTAGCGTAGAGTAGAGTGTTAGGTAGTTAGGACTTAGAAGGTATAAAGTAGTTCAAGGCATTTTGCCTTGGGGATTTTCCAATTTCGGAAGTGCAATTCAGCAACTCATTTTCTCTGCGCGTTTGTGTCCTTAGTTCTGTCACCGCGCAAGAGGAGCTACAGCTTGACGAAGTTACCGCATTTTGTAGCTGAAGGCCTTCGGTCGACTGCTCAGAGCTAGTGTGGACTGGTTAGATACTTGAGCAGTTCGGACTTACACATTCGGGTGATTGTTGAATGCTCAAAGCTAGTGTAGACTGGTTAGATACTTGAGCAGTTCGGACTTACACCTTCGGGTGATTGTTCCTGTTTGTACTCCTTTGAGATTTCTAACCCTGAATGCCAAAGTGAAGTTTTGTTACTTCGAGTAAACCTTGGCTAACAATTCAGTTTGTACGCTGCTTGAGGCGCCTTCGGGGGTAGCCTCGGCAGTATTTCTGGGAATAACTAGTGCGTGAGAATTCAAATTCGTCAATAGACTGTTATAGTGTGACATTGGAGCTTTTCTCAGTTGAGTTTCTCAGTTCGGTTCCTATATTCTCTGCGCGTTGGACTTCCTATATTCTGTGAGTTGAGTGTGTTGTTCACCGCGTCTGTGTGACTTCGGTTTGACGAAGGTACCGCATCCGAAGTAGGAAGTCCAACCCGGATGCTCTGCTCTAGCAGTTGAAGTTAACAATCCGGAGTTGGGGAACACTACCTGCAGTTCCTCTGAAGATACTTGTGAGAAACTTTCTCCCTGAACCTTGAGTGGAGGTCCTAATCGACCTCTTAGTTGTGTTTTTCTAGTTTCAGGTGTGTGTTGGGGTGAACTACGCTGCACTGTGCGTCCTCCGAGTGACCTCCGAGTTGAGCACTTGCAGTATTTTTGGGGGTGACAGTCGCCTGAGAATTCAAACTCTTCAATAGTCTGTTAAAACGTGACACTTTGTACTCTGTGTGTTGCCTCTGTCCCTGTGGGTTCGACATTTTTGCTACTATATTGCAGTATTAGCCTTTGGTTGGTTATTACAACAAGCCATAATCCTTGTGGTTCCAGTCGAGTTAAACAAAATTTGGCAATGTGATACAGTCTTTTGTAAGCATAGCACTAACGATTGTCACAAATTCTCGCTCCTCCTCAAACCATTTTGTTATTGGCATATCTTTCTTGCAAATTTGTAATCTCTAATGGTCAAATCTCACCTCCAAATCTTGGTACTAGCCTCGTGATTGTGAAAAATCTTCTCCATGTCAAAGGTTTTATAACTCCATTGACGTATGATTAAATGGATCTCAAAAAATGATAATATTTCAATTTTTTGACATCATAAGTATTCAAAATTCCTTGAACAATCATCATAATTATTGCATAAATTTTGGATGATGTGTGCGATGTTGTTATCAATGAACAGATTCAATGTTTATCTAACAAATACACGAATTATAAATTTTTTATTGTCAATTAATATATTTTTAAAATGATTATTTTTTTTGAACTTGAAATTAATGATTAAAAATTAATTACAAATTTACATCTTTATTGTTTGCATATAAAAATACTTCCTTACACAATCAAATTTTGGAACCCACAATTATTGAGATAATTCACGTACTTGCATTTTTTAACAATTCTTGAACTTGCACAAGTAGACATGATTTAATCTTCAAAATAATTTAATGATACTACTTTTTAAGATTTAAAGTAGACATCGTAATGATCATGCATGTAGCATATAATAACCGTGTGCCTTTCATGATTTCAGAAAGAAAGTAATCATGATTTCAGAAAGAAAGTAAAATAAAATAGATGTGAACACATTTCTTATGTTGCACATATTTTTAGTAATCATAATATTTGTTTGAGATCTAGTGTTTGAGATCATAATGATATACGTGTGTGGTAATGTTCAAAAGTCATTCCAACTCTACAAAAATCGCTTTGATAAATTGTCATCTAAGTCAGCCGGACGGCGCGGATGTACTGGGCATTCCTTTACGCCTGATTGGTGCAGATCTTGCGCAAGACCGTGACATCCGTGGAGATGGTTCAAACTGGTTCAAACCTCGCTTGTGCATCTAAGTCAATTCGGACTGTGACAGAAACCGTTACCTTTGGGGAGAGGGCGAGGTTTAAATCGATGAAGAGGATGAAATTCTGGCGCGGATGGCGCGGATGGCGCGGACAGCGACATCCTCAACGTGCACGTAACCAGTCCATGACTTGCAAATAGCTCTTTTCACCATGAAGCTGCTGATTACGTGAAAATTTAGCCGCTCGGAAGGTGAACTTGTTCGCCACGCTTCCCTCTGAACCGCGAGTTAAGAGAATACTGGAAGTCTCCATTGTGTAATTGAGAAGTTTGGATTACTTCGAAGTCTTTATGTGGTGAATATTCAGTTGTCAGTAGAGGATCGTAGGAGGAGGGAGCTGCTCTAAGTGCAACCAATGCTTCGAGAAAGCTTGATGCAGATCGGAGAAGCTGCGATGTGTGAAAGCTGAGAGTTTTTATATCTTCGAGAAAGAGGCGGAAGAAACTCCCATTACTTTTGCAGGAGCTGTGTGTGATAGTGATGATGTGTGCTCGATGAGAGTTATTGGTTCCTAGAAAGATGCACAAGAAGGTTCTTGGTCTGCTGTGAACACTGACAAAGTTTGAACACCTAGGAGATAGAGTAACTACGAAACAAAGTAACTACATTTGAGGACTGGTAAGTATGCCTCACTCGAGTAGTCTCTTCTTTTCTAAGTATATTCATGACGAGATATTTTGTGGCGGGTAGGTCTGCTGTTCTCATGTTCATAATAATACATGAAAAGTGTTACCTGACAGGAACTTAAAGGTTGTGATGATTTGCGAATTATACGTACAAATCCATTAGCTTTAGAAAGGGAGGAAACTGATGAGAGAATTTTATTTTCGTTTTGAATGAAACATATTTACTTGACCTTGAGTATAAAGACTAGATAAAACCGATATTGACAAGTTCAGCTGGCTCATTAGTTTGCAGATACAACGACTTGAGTGTGATCAGATTTCCGAGAAAGAGTTCAATGGAAGAGGCAAAAACCAAAGAAGATGGACAGGAGAGCCAAGATTTGAAACTTGGCTTGTCTGATGATGGCAAAGACTCACCAACAGCCGTGGCCCCAGCTTCCGAAGTACCACCTGACCAGCCGACTGAAGGTCCTGGTTACCTACAGGAGGGGGAACTAGTTGAGGTACTCCACTTCATCGCATTTTTACTCGTTCTTATGTGTACATTGGATTTCAGCGAACACGTGATGGGGAAACTTGTTCATAACAAAAAATAGGCTCAATTTTTCATGAGAAAACTTCAAATTAACACATCGAATCACGCGTGTGGCAGGTGAAACAAAACGACAAGGGGCTGCGAGGTTCTTGGCACCCCGCGGTCATTGTTCAGGTTCTGCCCGGTAAGAGGGTTGTGGAGTATGAGGAACTTGTCACTCCCGACGGTCTGGAGAAGCTTAAGGAGACTATACCATTCAGGGATTCGTCAAAATCGGGTTCTAGAGCTTTGCGGGGAAGTGCAAAACCCAAGAAATGGAAATTGCGCATCAGGCCTCGACCACCTCCTGCTCCGTCGTCGTCAACGAACACCTGGATCGCGGGAACTTGTGTTGATTGCTTCTATCAGGATGCGTGGTGGGAAGGCATACTGAAGGAAGATCTAATCGACGAGAGTGATAAGAAAGTAGTCGCATCAAAAACTGTTGTCACAGTTTACTTTCCAGATGAGAAAGATGTTTCTGAACATGATGTCACCAATTTACGGCCTACGCAAGACTGGGATGAGAAGACAGGAACCTGGAATCAGAGACCGTCTCATCCAACACTCGCCAGTTTCAAAAAGCAGTCAAGGGACGAGAGAAAAGCTACAACGACTGAAGCGGAGGATCCAAGGGAAATTGATCAACCCCAGGGTAATATTGCTCTCGACTTTGAGAACGCTGGTGAGGCTTCGGGAGACCCGACTTTTGAACATCTTGATGAGGAGGAAGACAGTATCACCTATCCTCAAATGGAGCAAGGGGATGGCACCCACGCAGCAAGCTCTGACACGGACGGTGCAGCTACACAGTGGAGGCAAAGACTGAAGGACGCTGGTTGGAAGGTTAATGTGACCACACTGGAATCTGGAAAGAGAAAGTGGTCCTATGGGCCACCAGAGTCGCAAGGGGCAGACAATCAAAGCCCGAAGTTGTTCTCAACATTGTCCTCCGCGGCAGCAGAGTTCACTAAATTGTTGCAAGAGCAGATTGTGTCCGAAGATGATTCGACTATCTTTACTTTAAAGGACGTAACTAGTTCTCGTGTGGCCAATTCAGATCCGAACGAAAGTGCGACAATCAGCAACACGGCCATAGTTGTGATACCTGAGGCTGACAAGGAGCCAAACCAGCATCAGCTGGAGTTGACTGAAGACGAGGCACGTGCATGTCTTACTGAGAAGGGTTGGTCTGTCAACAAGATTATCCGCCACCATGGCAGGATCCAATGGCAATACAAAGCGCCGGGGCTCAGTGACAAACCGATCCTGATCTTTCACACTTTGTGCGGGGCTATCGAGGAGTACAACCGTCGATTAAAGACCAGCGCTGATGGCGATGGCCAGGCAGAATTACCAATCGGCCTAATTAGGACCAAGCAAGTCAGTAACAAGACCAGGAAGAGAACTGAGGATAATGACCATAAATCTATCAAGAGAACCCATTGCTCAGTTGAACCAGAAGGTATGGAAATCTCAACTGGAGGAAAGAGTGATTCTGATCCAGACATTGATCTTCTGGCGGACACGTTTGCCAAGTCGTTTAGACAAGATTCACAAGATCCATCTCACTATCCTTCAGAAGTTGAGATGGACCATCAGGATAACCGATGTACCAACTCAGACAAGAAAACACCGGTGCGCTGTACTCCTGAAGGTGAGAAATACATGAATGAACTTCAAATCGAAGTGGATACTGATGAGGCTCGCGAGTATCTGCGAGAAGCAGGATGGACGATCCGCGAAATTGTTCGCAAAGGGAGGACTAGTTGGTTTTACAAAGCTCCAGCGTTCGGCTCTTCTCCGGCGGCCACATATCAAAGTCTGTCGAATGCCATGTCGGAGTATAACAGTAGAGTCGTTAGCACCAATCAGGTTGGCGTAGAGCAGAGACCTCTTTTTGTACTCCGAAATCGAAGCGGTAAAAAGTTGCGAAATCTTCATCGTAAAACAGATGAAGGAATTTCTCCTCGTACCAACATGGACGATGTGGACCAAAATCCTTCATGTGGAACCGGAACAGCACCTAGAGCGGACACAAATCCTTCATCAGTTACAAGGGAGCAAGGAAGGAGGTTCTTTCCACCAAGAGAAGATGAAAGAGAAAGCGAGAAAGAATTCGTGGCTATTTCCAGCCCAGAAGAAATTTCAGCAAATGCCGTAGAACCGTTGGCATTCGCATCAAGCATTAATGAAGATGTGAAAAGCGTCGTGAGGAAACCTTTCGGGAGTTTGATTGGAGATGTTTTTGAGGATGATCGAGTGTACCTTCTACAAGTATATGTTCTCGACTTCAAGAAGGAACAGCTGCAGCTATACGTCGAAGGTGACAGCTTGGTCATCAAAGGAACGTACTTCATTGACAATCCTCACAGCGACAACAAATTCTCCACCAAACATTCTGGTGCTTTGAGCTGCAGATTGATGCTGCCTGATGATGTGATACATGCATCAATCACTGCTTCACAGCTGAAGCCGGAAACTCTTCATCTGACTCTCCGTAAAGCCGTTATTCCTCTTAAAAAGTTTCAGATTTCCATAAAATGAGGTACGTGGATCAACTCTGCAACATTTTGTCCACTAGTTGAGCATGTGTGCTTTGTTCCTGAAACCTACATGCTAGTGTTTACTTAGAACACTCGCGATGAAATTCTTCGCTCGAAAACCTCTGGAACAATATTTGGTTATTTCTGAAAATATTTGGTTATTTCTACCAATGGTTATTCAGGATCAATGAGATTCATGAAATCCCTTGCCAGACATCATTCATCATCGGGAACATTCTCAGTTTGGTGATCTCCAGCAACAGCCGATCAAAAGCATCGAAAACTGGTGAATACAATAAACAGCTGTACATTTCCCTTCCCCTACCACAGGAGTTTCTACAGGGAGGCTGGATCTAAATTCAACAATTGTTTCAAGATTGGAAGGATTGAAGGATGACTTACACGCATCTACGAACAGAAAGTCAAATCAAAGTATTGGAATTATATGATTGTCACGGTCCATTTATATGTTGTTATATAACAGACTGCATACTAGCTTTGCCTACCACCTCTTGAGAAATATGACATTGAATATTTGTTTTACCTTTTTCCTTGTCCATACTCTTGATAATGCGACCTTGTCAATAGACATGTAATTATCTCATTGAACATCAAACTTTCAACCTTTTTATGAAATATGAAAGATACTTACTTTCATGACTTCTGATATGTAGTAATCCTGTAGTATTTATGAGAGGGATATAAAATGCAGACCCTAAAGTCAATCAATGATATGATCAACATTGTCAAGCAAAATTTTCTTGATTACACCAGCAAGTCGTTGGATGCTTCAGTATGAAGTCCAAGTTGCATCTCCATCGTAGGAAGCCTATGATTTCAAAGTTTAGCAAATGTGGGATCTTAGCAAATTTAGACAATGCTTGACTTGATGCCCACTCATTTGCCATGAAAAAGTTAACGTTTCAGCAACATTTTACAGCTGTAAGAGACTGATGAGTTTGCATTACTAGCTTCTTTGTAATAGGATCATGCAACATATGCTGTAGGTTAAAATTGTGACAAGAGTGAGGGACTCACATATTGCAACCGCTGGTTCACTACAATAGGGTTTACTGCAAAATTCATCAGCTGAACTTTGAAGCGGTCAAAAATAAGCTCTTCAAATTAACTATTCTGCATGTGGAGCAGGAAAAATATTAATGTTGGAGGAATGAAACTAGATGGAGCCCTCCTTCGCAAATGATGAATGCCTTGTTCAAGTGAGAGATTTTACCAGGTTCAGAATCTGCCTGTATGCTTGCACAAGCATATCCTTCACTTCTCCCTTCGTCTACGCTCGGCTCCCAGCAACAATAGCACTAAATGATGCAGTGAGAGCGTGCTTTGATCGAAGTCAAGGATCAACAAGGACATTGAGGAGAGTACCAAGCTAACAAGCGAATTCGATTAGCTTGTTTTTTAATACATTTCTTCCTTCTGAGAAAGAAATAAAATTTTGTTGCTTTTCTAGATGATCCTTCAAATTTTCTATATATCTTCAAATACAGCTTGAAACAAATCCTTTATGTGAAATATATATTATGAGATGGTGGTGCTGAACAAAATATACGATTCATTCAAATATACAAGAAAAAATTTGATTATTTTATGGAGAAAATAATGTCCTGTATATCTTCTTCTTGCTTCTGGAACATATTAACATGAATATTAAAGGACAAGAGGATACTTATAAAAATATACATATACTTATATTTGTATATATAAATCAACTTAAGTATATATATCTCGTCGTAGATAATCTCTAAAACAAAAATATTATTATCAATGAAAAGTTCATTTTTTAAGATTTCATATGTCTAATTACTCTAAAGTTTAAGATTTTCATTTTTTGTTATGATACATCTTTCAATTGATTCAATAGAAAATCTTATGTTAGCTAAAATCTAATTGGTTAAAATTAAATATATGTTTATGATAGAATGACCAACTAGATGAAGTATGTAATCAACCTCTAGATTTTTGCTCTTATGAAAATTTGATAAATGATAGAAGATTATGAACAAATAAAGTAATTAATCCAAGATTTTTCAAATTAAATATTTTTATATATTTTAATTATATTTATTTTGAAATAATTTGAAATTATATTTTTAGAAATTAGAAAATTTTGGAATCATGATCTAGGAAATATATAAGAGTACATGCAACAAATAATTTTTTCTTCTTATTTAGCTATTTATTGAGTAAATAAAAAATTAATAAAAATAGTAAGATAAAATTCTTGTAAGTCTACATTGCTACTCTTCTTTTTTGGCTAAAGCAAGCATCCAATTCTTATTTAACTGATTTACATTCCAGCTCACGTGTTAAGATTATGATGATTTGTGTAGTAATATCTCAATGATTAGATCATTTAAAATTATAAATACTGTTATGATTTTTGGAAGACTGATTCTTGCCACAATGCTCAGACATGGTCAAGCAGATTCTGGAAATTTATATGTTGCTCACTTTGTGTTTGAGTGTTTTCAATGAATAAAACGAAAATGTTTTTTGTGTAGATTGTTGGATGTGGGTAATTAAAATTTCTTAGGCGAAGTGGGGCCCATCCCCTGGTTTCTGCGTTTAATTTTTTTTCACTTGCAAGGGTTATGAAAACGGTGGTTTCCCATCATTTTTTGCACCACTTTTTACTCTTAGATCATATAGCACGTGTTTTTCATGTTTTTCATAGCTCCATCTGACGCTTTGGTTTCATCCAGATACTTTTTCATGGGATATCCCCATCTTTTATGCTACATTTCTTGGTTGACGTTCCTCCAAATTTAAAACCCAAATTTATCTTTATTCATGCTTTTGTGAGTGTGAGTCTCTCTAAAACAGATACCCAATCTCTAGATAAGTCAAGAGTCAAATTCTATTCATCTCAATGACAAAAACTTTTTCTCTGTTAAAAGTTCCCGAAAAAATATGATGCAAAAACTTGGTGGACAGTGTAAGGTTGGAACGAATATGCTCAATTTAAAGTTAACCATAGGTTTACTTTCAGCAAGCTTGGGCGCACCTACTTCATACTACTGCCAGAGGGTATCCTCCAACTCGAAGTTTCTAGAACTTTTTTCACAAGATTACCACTCCACTCTTTTATGCTGAGGAAGGGATTTCCCACGGCTCTCTCAAATCAATGAGATAATTGACGTAGACCTCTAGGTAGATCTGCGACTCACATTGGTCACACAACAACGAAAGGGCTGGCCGGAGGACTCATGAGTCTGAGGAACTTTCAACCAAGCACATTGTTAAATATAGCGTTTTGTGTCAAAGATTATAATGAGTCCTAAGAAGAGAAGGTGGCTTGTAGTATCATTTTCAAGCATATGATATAATTATTTCAATTAGAGGAACATGAAACACGAAATTTAGAGGAATGGTGCATGAGAGATGGTCAAGCCAAAATTACAAGGTATAGTATCTGGCTGAACATTCTCACACTATAACTCGAATGACAACGCTTTAGAAACCAAATCTGTGTGTGGTCACTCTATCCCATTTCTAGTAAAATATAAAAAAATATTGTTCACAAACATAATATACACAAGTAGTATAGGATACAGTAAATAAGGAATGCAAAAAATGAACAATTTTATGAATTCAGCCACAGGCTGTGCCGATAAACCTATGCCTGGACAAAACCACTGCCTCCAGCGTTTTGAATCTTGTGTCAAGTTGACTACATCATTCGTCGGGAAGGACTAACATTGACCATCAACATCTTCATATCCATTTCTCAGGTCAACAAATTCTACCCCTTATTAAAAAATGATTAACTTTGTCACATCGCACTCAATGGAATTTGACTGCAGTCAGGTTGAACATCTGACCTCCGGCGAAATCTTTAAGTTTGACAAACTCAAATTGAAGAGGGGCATGTACATACACGAAGAAATGGGAAGCAAGTAATATAATGATTTCCTAACGTATGTCCCTTATTCCCAAATATTGCCCCAGTTTCCGTCCGAGAGTTTTATTACAACATGCAGTATATAATGGCCACAATTTGCACCACAGGAAATACGAGACACACTCCAGCCTGTACTATGTATCCGTTTGGTTTTCCCGACCGAGAGCAATAGGAAACTTCTGCCGCACGATTGGACGTTCAGCTTTGAAAGCTCCCTAATTATGCAAGCTTCGTTGACTGAGACGTAAGTACCGTACCCCATCAACGGGAAACCTACACGCGAAAATGACTTTTATACTGCCCATTCCAAGCACTCAGGCAACTACAAATCTCATGGCCGTTATACCACCATGGGTTTGAATGCATCGCGATTATTTAAACTAGTTTCCGTCTAAATTTCACACATGTGTGAATTGGGAATATATATTTTTATAGATATAAAAATTTACTCGTATCAGGTCAAATATACTGCTTCCGATATGTTTCCTCCAGTGTGGTACGTCACCAACAACTACAATAGGCCTATGACCAGATTGACTTCTTACTTTTCTAAGTCCGGCGAACAGAATCATAAAGTAGATAAATTGTTTACGGGATCCTCCGAATTGCAGGTTTCGGGAAAGATAGCATATTGCGAATATAAAACTGGAAATAATATGCAGGCTGGGCACTAATTAGAGCGACTAGAAATATTTATAATTGGGCTATTGAGGTGGCCGCTCCTAAACCAGAGGCGGATCCCGTGCCTGGGAAACTGGGTCCAAGGTTAAGTTTTCTTTCCTTCCTTCCTTCCTTCCCCTGACGCCGGTCTCGTACTTCGAGGAAGTCTTTCCGTGCGTGTCAGCCTTTTCTAATCATATCAACTGGTGCTCTCCCTTCTGTCAGTCCTCAATGTGACGCCATAATGGAAAACGCCTCACCTGAACTTCTGCGCGGTCGTTGTCCGGCATCTCGGAATCATACTCCTTCCGGTCCTACCTTACGCAAACCGTGCTGGTCTGCTGGATGTGCAGAACCGCACCGCACGATTTGCCTTAGATAAACTTTGGTACGGGTGTCATACGCTCCTGGCCCCGATCTCATGACCCTAGATGGGACTGGTTACCTCGGAACTGGCTAATTGGGTTCAGAACCCCAATTAAGGATCAGGTGAGTTTCCGAAAATGGACTACTTGCGGCAGTTCTCGCTGGGATTTCCTACTCTTCGGGTCGGTGTTGCCAGTCGCCGTTCAGGAATTCATCTGTACCTATACGGATTGCTAAATGTCATGAACTCCGATGCTTAAATATAAGCATCGCCTGATCAAGGTCATTACGCCATTTGCGGTTGTTCCAGATCCTATGTCCCAATATTTCATTAAAAAAGTAAAGACTCATGCGCCTCAAATGGACTTGGACATAAATATAACCACCGGAATCCACTATATGTGAAGCATATGTGGTGAAAAAATATTATTTTTGCTGCTTCGAAAATATCGATCACAACCGGGATTCGTCTTCTTCAGGGCTTCCTTCAACCTTGGGATGAAGTAAAGTTGGCGGGCGTATCGCGCCTGTAGGTTTTGATGGATGGATTTTTAAGGGGCAGCAGGGAAAAGCATTTTCCTAAAATATTAAAAAATGAATGCCGGCAGCTGGGGTTTTGAAGAATGGCGGATCCGCTTGCAAGTCTGATGCCGACAGCGGCTTACGTGTCGGAAATCTGACATGGCGAGCCCGGCACCTGAACGGAGTAGCGGAACTATCATAACCCAGAGTTGGGGCGGACTGGAGCAGTCGGATTCGGCATCGGACGGCGTGTGGTGAAAGACGCCACGCAAGAGGCTGGCGTGTCTGCGAGGGGTGCAAACAATGATTGCCTTAACTACTACGGAGATGCGGCAAACCCCGGCGGCCGTGGATGGCGAATCCACGGCTGGAGGTCCATCGTCGTCGTGGCAGTAAGCGTTTCGAATCTAACAAACCCGGAGTCAGACAGAGTGCGAGGGTGACCTGGCGGGGCGAGGGAGGGCTCCATGGCACCACGAGAGACTACTAAAGCTCGAGTTGGCGACGACGAGCGAGAGAGCGTTGTTGTCGGTTGCTGTCGCTCCCGACCTGCTGGCGGCGGTTGCAGGGGATGGGAAGGGCGGAGCCTCGGGATGCGGGCGCTCGGGGCGTGACTGAAGCGACCGGCGCTCGGGCAAAGGCGGACCCCGATTGGACGACTGGCAGACAAGAAGGCCCGGAACGACGTCGTAGATTAGACAGCCCGGAGCCCGGAGCCCGACGAGCGTCGAGGACGGGTCTGCGAGCGGGTTGCAGGCAGGCGGAGGAGGTGGTGGTGGCTATGGCAGCACAAGACGCAGCAGCAGCAACAGCAGCATCACTTGTGCACAGACGTCGCTGCCCTGATGAGCTCACGGATATGAGATCGCAGGCCTGCATCGCCGACGCTGTGGTGCCTTTTTTCCCGGGGTTTTTCTGCAGCTGTTCTCGTGCCCTTTTGATGCATCCGCTCTAAACCTCGCTCGCAGCTGGAGGAAGCGAGGAAAGTTTGTCCAGATTCTGCTGCTTTAGCTTGACCCGATTGGTAGACACGAGGAGAGGAACAAAGTTTGTGTTGCTGGGTTACTTCTGGGCGAGCGAGCCGGCGTGCGTGCAGTGAGTGGGCTTGCACTCGTGCTGTGAGTGAGGAGGGAGGTGGGTTTTGAATCTATGAGTGTCTTCGGTCGCGCCGAGGTTATGGTCCGATTGTTACCGGAGGCGTAGGAGAAGGTTGGGCCTCTTCTCTTTCTTGTGCACCCTGTGACGATGACGCATTTCTTTTCCGCGCGGGAGGTTATCTCGAGCAAATGAGTGGTTTTGCTTCACTTCGACGACTGTAGGGTTTTCGTCCGGAGAGAGTGGCGAGAGAGAGGATGCCGTACGGCATCGACGATCGTTTCATAGTTTCGGGGAGCAATGCTCGGAATGGTTAATTGATGATTGTTTGGACGAGTTTCAATTCGTGGCTGGTCACTGCAGTGTTGCTCACGTTCGGTCGTTGTTGTTCGTGTGTCCTGTTTTGCGAAGGGCGATAGTCGAGGCGCAGACGGGGCCAAATTGCCACAGGCCGTTTCCTGTCTATGCCTCACCTAATGGCTGCGGTGTCCCCCTCTACCGCGGAGTTCGAGAAGGTGTACGTGGTGCATAGGACTTCTGGCTTCCCAGCCGATGCCTTCACCGCGCCCATGCAAGGGGAAGACGTCAGTGACAGTGCTTATTTATCCGAAGATCAAGCTTATGCAATCGCCATCCGCAGACAGATTGCTTACATGGAGAGGCAGATGGGCGACACAATTGCGGAACTCCGCACGGTAACGATTTTCTGGAACTTACTTTTGTTTTCCTTGCTCAGTCTCCTCGATGTTGTTTCTCGACCTATTCGCCGTGTTGTTTTGCGCGGAGTTAGCTGAAACAGGTCACATTCATCTCAGTTTTCTCTCAAATTATGCCACAGGATTCGAAATTGTTTCATGTAGGTGGCGAAAATGCACGTATCTGGTCTCTGCCTCTTGTTCAGCTTCATGACCTAATGAAGACCCTAGTTTCGAAAATGTGTTGATAAAACATCATGTGATCACCCTCGCGGCTTGTAGTGGGCAATGACAGACATCAAATCATCTTCCCGACCTGTTGCCTGTTTGATAGTTCCTGGCACATGTGGATAGGTGATGAACCATAGCATGAAAGCACTCGGCGTGTTCTCAGATAGTTGAGGTCGTCTGGTAGCCGTGTGGCAGGACAGGATTGCACTTTTGCATCAAGAATTACGAATTCGAAAGTTGAGGGCTTCATAGACACCTCGAGACGTAGATATGTACGATATTGAACCGAAGGGGTTGCGTGTTGACGGAAGTGGTTGCAGTTCTCGTGCTTTCAGTTTAGAGAATGCTGTGCCAGTTTTTCAGGTTCAGCCAGTGGAAACTAATCGTGACGGTCCCCCTTCTATTTGGCTCTTTGCAGCTAGTAACAGAAAAGGGCACAACTATAAAGGGCAGGTTTCAGAAAATGCGGGAGTGGATTGAAAGAACGGACTGGTTTGCAGACGCCGAAGTTGTGGAGTATCATGTAGAAACTTGTCCACTTAGACGCTCGACGAAAATAGATACTGACAACTTACTAGAAGGGATGGAGGAGCCTGGCTATACTACGGACACTTCCAGCGACGAGGAGGAAGATGATGAGGATTCGGACGAAGATATCGATGATGACTCTAGTGCTGGATCCAAGCCCTGTCCGGTTTCGATGACGACCAATGGCAAGAAAAGGAGGAGGGAGAGTGATTAGGATACATTCAAGGTAGGACTTGGCAACGGTTGCCACAGGGAATGCACATCCCTGTAACACGGAAGTAACGTCGAATGCATTCATGAAGGTGAGTGCTCATTGTATGGGTCAGATTTTTCGTAGCGGTTGCCATTCATCGAGGGTTATCAACGATGCGGCCATTTGCTACTTCGATCTTGTGTCGTGTTTGAGTAGAACGCTGCTCTCTTTTTCCTCGATTGGTAGGGTATCAAATCCGAGAGCTGGACACTTGTACTGAGTTTTGACAAAGGTATATGCCGATCTGATTTGTCACTGCCGGCCCAGATTTTCTCTCCCATACGCAGACGTTCTCATCCTTGATTCATGCTCACCTGATGGATCCCGAGAAACTCTACATGGTGACAAAGTAGACCTCGAAGGTGTACATTACATGGGACTATCCTGTTCCCAAAACATCACCTTGAGAATTTTTTCACATTCCCACTTAAAAGCCGGGCACGAGCCCTGACAGCTGGTGAAAAGTGTGCACATCTTGAAATTGTAATCTCAGTGAACCCTCATGAACAGACCGAGAGATTTCATATGAGCCTGTCTTTGAAATCTTAGCTGTGTTATGCAGCAAAGCGGAGGTTTCAAGGATTCACTCGTACGAAGGCTTTCAAGCGCCATGATTACTTTAGAGAAGGGAGCATGAGCAAAACATGTCTCAGTTTTTCCAGGTTTTTGAGCTCCGAGCAGGATTTCGTCTTTCATCTCACTGTCTCGGGTTGATGTTTGTCCCGGATATATGTGTCTGAGACCCTCTCTCCCACCTCTATGATAGTCCCCTCAAGTGCATCTGCCTCTGGTGCGGAATCGCCAGAAAGTTTCGACTGACGATATCTGAAAATATCACGATATCTTTTACAATCATGGTATTTTCAGATAGCGCCAGTCGATGCTTTCTGACGGTATCTTTCACTGATGATATCTTTCACAATGTGTTTTCCTGTTTTAAATGAGTGGTTATGGGCCTCTGTCTCTGAATATGATTGTATACTTCGAACGCCAAACACCACTAATTGCATTACCGGTTTAGGCATGCTTCAGAAGGGACACACGTAATGCTTTCAAGTAAAGAAGAAGTGTGTGGATCATGCTTCCGATTGAAAAGAGGCATTGCGGAAAGTGAGGTTCACATGATCGAAAGCAGAGTATTTTGTATATAATAATATAATAATTTTGGATATTCGTGTACATCACTAAACCGTGCAAGTGACATTCTCTCATCTTCTCATTCTCTCGTGTGGTCGAGCTCCTAAGTCCATGGGGACAAATTGTCAGCCTAAATTAATGGAATAATATACTTCAATCAATTAACAGCTTTGACCATTCACGTGAAACTGCGAGAGCCTTTTTTTTTCTAGCAGGCTGCTCTTCCTGTTGTTACACTGCGGCAGATTAACTGTTGCCATGCATACAATAGGTAAATAGAAACCTCGTCTATACTCTTCTAATAAACTTGTACAAGTAATTTATTAGTGCAAGCGAAACTGTTTGAGACACTTGAGTATAGTGTAGCATCGGGGTAGACGGCCAGCAAAACACATCTACTGTATACGAAATTTTGAACCTCAGCAATGGGCTTGTGCTCGCTTTTACATTACAGACCTTTCAACCCTTCTGTCCTTCGAGTTGCTGCAAGAGCAGACCTTAAATGCAATCCCTTAATCCACTTTGGATAATGATTCCAGCATTACGAACAACAATCTCGCCCGTTCGGTGGAAGACTGGAGAAGAGTGACACACTTGTAACTGGGAATGGCACTTGGCTGGCGAGAGTTTTAACTAACAGTCACAACGACCGAGATGGCGATATTGTGGACAGCAAGTCTTCACAAATGAACATACATAAAGACTTTGGTGGTCGAGTATAGGAAAGATAGCGAATGACGTCAATCGCTCTGTGGGACGGAAGCTTTAGGGATGGAATTCATGTAGATTATTAAAAGAAAGCTGAGCAAAATTTCTTTCTTAATTCGAGCAATGCAATAATACATTATATGTAGAACATGCTTCGTCCGATAGAGCTGGACCATGAAGAGTGTTTTCCTCGGCCCACAATCGTCCAAGCGCAAGATTGACTTCTCTGTGCAAAGCCGAATTTGCGATGTCCGAACACCGATGAAAGCAACGGAGGGGAACAAACACAAAAAGCACGCTTCTGCCAACGGATCCAGCGTGCATCAAGCAAAAGTCCAAGCCGGATGAGCTCATCATCATATGCCGGGATCTATCGTCGAATCACGCGGGGAATCATCTAAAAGGTCAGCTTCTTCAATCAAGAACTTTTTCCACGGCACTTTTGCCCCGGGGCATGAAGTCCTGATGTGGCCGTCGAGATATATCAATTTTCAGACGGCTACAGCAAATCGAAAGCTGTTTTCGCACCAACTCCAGCTCTCGCTCGATGCGTAGCCCACAAGCCGTCAAGCGCATTGGAACCAGACCTCGTCGGTTCGGCCTTCGATCAGCGTCAATGAGGAACAAACGATGCTCTGGCCAAAAGTCTACAGCAGTCACGGAATTTCAATGAGAGTGTTCGAACGCATGAGCTGGAAAAAAAATCGTGCCAATGACGTGCAGTAATGAAATTGAATTTGACGATTTTGTTGGTAACTTTGTTCTGATACACTTTTCGAGGATTCTTGTACATGGTCGTTCAGAGCAATCCATTGAGTCACGTGTTGCTCTCCAACGAGTCACTTATCGACTCTTCTGATCTACTTCGCGGGCAGACGGACATGGGCTTCCTTCTTCACGACAGTGAAGTCACCGGAGTGACACGTGCTGCTCGATGATAGATGGTCAACGAGATGAGGATTCGACGACGAACGTGAAGAAAAGCTCATCAGATTCATCGGCGAGAGATTAATCTGCGTGACCTTTGAAAGCGATAGACGCAGAACGCACGTTCAACGCGGCGACCTTTGTCAATTTGCAGCGTTATTTTTATTATAGGCCCCTTATTCCCTTCAGTATTTAATTCTCGTCAAGAAGAATTTATGTAGACGTTAGATCTATTAGGCTCATCAAGATTCTTCTTATCTTCATCGGAGGACAAGGATTCAATCGCAAATCTATTCGCTTCCCGTAAAGAAATGATGAGTTTAGGAAAGGTCAAAAAATTTTAATAATGCCATTACCTCGATCAAATTCTTCCGGATTAAAGGTACTCGCCCTCATTTCTTCAAGAGGTGATGCTTTTCGCTGATTTCATCAGGTTGCATTTCTTCTTCCGTCTCTCATCCTCGTGATCCACAAGTCACTGCGCTTCTCGTGTCCTCCGTATTGACATTCCGAAAACTTTTGCACTCGTTCAAACAAGCATGCCTGTCGTCCTAATACTCCAACTGCATCTGGGTTGTACCTCCTGGTCTTCAAGCCCTTCGTCAGTCTCTCCAAAGCACAAGTGGGGCATCGTCGTCATTTGACGGAGAATGGAGTGTCCTAGATTGTGATCATCACAGACAATGCCAACCATCACATCTCATGGGCAGGAATAGGAACGTCTGGTTGCTTAGATTCACGAGACACGCATGTTTGCAGCTGTGATGATTTGTCCAAGAGCCGGTTTTTGTCTCGCGCTCTGTCTGACCTTTGCACTTTGCAAAAAGCAATCGATCGACCAAACTTGGCTGCACTTTCCATCCTATTATAAAAATCTGCTTAAATGTATACTCACATGTTCATCCATTCAGAGATTTTTCAGTGTTGCGTTCACATTAGCCTTAGTTTGACTGAAGGCCACTGTGCGGAGAGAAACGCGTGGTGGGTCCCAAGTTTATAAAACTGTAAACTTTTCAACAACGCGATTTCTCCGGATCCGGCAGTTCTAATTAATGTGTCAAAAGTAATGTTGGATAATCATCCCCGTTCATCATCTCATCTCTTCATCCCAGTACGCAAGTAGAAGAAGAAGAAGGAAGAAAAAAAGTGTGACTCAGTGTAGGAAGATCATATTTGACGTTGCTTAGGTTTCCCGTGATTCCTCCACTTTCTTGCAAAAGTATTAATGAATCACATGAATTTATTATTGTAGTGTCAATCTATTTCTTACAGAACCCTGCCTACTGCTCCTAAGTAATGCTCATAAGTAGGTAATGACCTACTTATGAGTATAACGAACTGTCACTGAATTTATATATCTATATATATATTATTCTCTCAATCTCAGGAAATGCATGTCCTGGACATGGCATTTATCTCTTCTCTCGAACCTTGTCATTTGTGCTGAGTCCTTAAGAATCTTTTATCTTCATATTTAAACCATGACAACTCTTCCGTAGACATGCTCCTTTCGGTCTTCCCATATTCTTTGCTATATTACTCGGTGCCCCTTCTTTTCTCCTTTTGTGGTCCTTCGTCTTTTGCCACTCTTTTCTTTCGGTACAGGGAAGGGGATTCACGGTAGCCCGCATCTTATACCCATATTAGAAGGCTGTATGTGGGGACCAAGTTGATACTTTATATTAGATTGAAGTTAGACATATATATATATATATATATATATATAGGTCTATTTTTCTTGCAAGTTATTTTTTTCTACTGCAGTGGTAGATGCAAATGAAATCCATCGAGATTCAGAACCCTCCGATGTTTTTGAGGTATTGCACAGTCGGATCCTCTGCGCTTTGCGTTGGAGATCTGTGAGCGTTTGCCTGACAATAGTCTTATCGCTTTCCCCTAAGTTCACCAGAATTCTCCCTCGTCGATTCCATGGCTTGAAGAGTTTCAGTAACGTGAGGGCAAGGATCAGCTGGAACAACAAAGCTCACTCGGGTATGAGGAAAGCGAAGCTGTTCACATTCTTTCCTCTTTTGACAGAGTAGTCAAGCTAAGTACTTACTGTCTACCTTTCCAACCTCCAGACGAATAGCGTTTCAAGTCATTGCCTTATATTCTTAAGCTACAAATTCAATTTCTCACGTCAATTATATGTTATTCTTCCTTGAGCGCAAAGATAGAGTCAAAGATTCAACCTCTCGAGAGAAAGCACAGCACTCGGTGAAGTTTCTAGAATTCTAGTGATTTTCTCATGTTGGAATCTGCCTGGAATCTGAGATCACATGGTTTTTACTTGCGATGAAACAGAATTCCTGAATGTACTCGAATTGTTAATTAGTAGTACTACAAATGTGCGTATGTAGTACTAACATGTACTCACCTAGTGTACTATGATGGCATGAGTACGGTTTAAAAGAAAGTAAAGCTTGTACCTTTCAGGCATTTTTGGAATGAAACAATATTTACACAATTCTAGTTCTCCTATACTCTTTGGAACTGAATTATTGTATATATGTTTGTGTGTATATATACTCAAATAAGAATATGAAAATTTGCATCACTCAAGGATTGACAACTATCATCAAATGAATCTAAGAATTTCTAAAGTAATATGTAGATTTCCACCGGGACTAAAATTACAATCACGAATGAAAATTTAATGAGTAAATTTTCTTTCTAAAATATTCAACATGATTGTGACACTTTCTAAATTATTTGAGAAAAATAAGATTCTGGAAAAAAAAATTATTTCTAAAATTCACATATTAATTTATTTTTATACTCTAGAAATTGACAACGACCTATATTTTTAAAATATGGAATAACTAGGTAAATCATTAGCTGTCAATTGTATATAAAATAAATCCATCTAAAAATTGATTGATTTTTAACTTCAAATATAATAATACATAATTTAAAATTTATATTACTTGATATCTAAATATCTAAATATATTTTTTATTTTTTATTATATATAATAATCATCATTATATTTTTCAATTTTAGCAAAACTGAAGTAGCCTTGTGATTCGAACTCACACATGTGTCGGTGTAATGATCTCTACGACTGCCATTTTTAATTAGATCCGACAGATTGCGGCGATCGGTGCTCTGCTATCCACAGCTGCATGGATGTGCAGATTTAGGAGCTGAACTGGTTCTCCGAGAAGGCCTTGGATGTCGGGAGCACTCTGACTTAAGATTTAGGCCAGACTTCTATTGCACAACTTATGGTCACTATATTCTGCAATCGTCATAGTTTTCTAAAAAGCTTCCGGCAATTAGCGGAAGCTCAAACCTGCAATTATCTATGGAAGGTTCTAACATCTGCTCACTGACAAGGCCATCAAACTATAACCCACTCTCCTCATTGGGCTCGTTCCGAGAAACTTGCTCGCCAGTGTCAAGAGAAGGTTTGTGAACAAATTCTCTCCCACCAAATGCAAGTCCGTTGTTTCAGAAGGAAGGTGTACGAGTAGCCAGGTTTGCGGCCACATTTGTTGAGTACCCTGACGTCCACCTAGAGGATTGGATATGTGGACGATCAGGATTGGGCCCGAGCTGAAGCCCGTCAGAACATAGTAGGTCGCAGTTTCACATTCCAATTCCGTCCTGAGCCTTTATTGAGTGAAGGTGAACTATGAAGGTTGTCATAGTGATCGACCCTATTCTTCAAAGGAAGAGCAGCTTCGACCACTGAAACAAAAGAGTGGCATCCAGTATCTGTACTTCCCAAAATCGGACTGAGAAGGAAATCAGCGAACATATGCCTGCAATCTTTGATGCGAACACGCGAGCCCTATAATATATCTTTCTCTGTCACGTCTCATTCATACCCAGTAACCTCAGAGGTGATGACAAATTGGAAAACATGGGGTTACGGATGTACTTACTTGGATTTCTCTTTTGCAACTCTTGACTGTTAGCTGTACTGAACTTTTGATAAACCCTCACGATCAGTCGTGAAAAAGTCCACCTGATTCTTCCTTCACAAGGGTAACATTCCGAACATTGATACACAGACCTACAGAGAAATACTACCATCTTCGAATGCTTTTGCAGGTTCGACGTCATGAAGTTTGGTACCGTAATGGCAAAATTGCTTCAGTTTTAGCAAAACAGCGACATCTGTCAGACAGACTGTCAAAGTGAGAACTCATAACAATAGTCAGAGATGCTCTTCATTAGTTAGAATATGATATGATGGTGCACACACACACGATTGTGTATACAAAGAACTTATTGGTGACCAGACTACCTAATGTATGACCAGGTGGTCGGCATATTAACTGCGTCGCATGATATGTTGATCAAGAGACCACCAATACTATCATCTCTATGCACAGTTGCTTGAAAACTAGGCCACCGAATCTCTACGCGCACATATAAATGTTTCAGGTTTGCCCGGTCTTGAAGCTTGCATTAAACTTTCTGCCACGTTCTGGCTTAATATTGCAAGTGCCGTAGAAGAAGGTGAAGATTATAGACCAAGCAGACATTGTCGGAAACCAATTGCCCATCCAGCTCTCCTGATCATTTCCGACCCCGAGAATTCTGCACGATGCTGGACACTACAAAAAGTTCATCCACGGCTGCGAGTTGCAAGACTTCTTCGATATCTTGTGGATCTTATTGGTGAACTGCAGGGATAAGCATACAGAGTGGGCACAATCAGTTCTTCATTTGGACTGACAGTTGCTAAAACATGAGCTGATCCAACAGTCACCTTAGGCAGTCATACATCCAACAGAAAGCGCTAAGCAAGGATGAAAAAGTAAATTCCACTGTTCTGCGTCGAAGTTTCCAGAGCCAAGACATCTATCCTCCTAGCTAATCCTCGCATTTTCTCAGATGGGCACAGAAACTCACCCGGGAGAGTGCAGACAGTTTCAAACGCAATCGTATCGGTTAAAACCAGCCACACACTACGAACTCCAGCCCACTCTCGCACTCAAGACAATCACAGAGTTGGAAAACATGATCCATTCAACAGGCTGCCCAGTAAATATTAGACTTCACTACTTTCTTCAACCTAAAGAACTACTTGATAACATGAAGTCGTCAAGGGCATAGGGCGCGGAAGCCTCCGATCATGCTTTACTGAAAAGCCACGGAGATGATTAGTGAAGCGGTAAACTTGAAGGTAAAATCAGATGAGATTGTGTATTTCTTCATAGCACAAGGTATGGAGATATGTATGGATCTGTCACTAAAATTAGAAAGTACAATAGATCTTAACCCATGTGGATTCAGATGTCAACTAGAACATACTGTTCTGATAACCGAGCAGACTCATCAGCTAGCTCATATCACTTGCTACAATAGTTCACGTATCTAATAGTGTTTGCTAAATATCTTCCATGCGGCTGAAATCTCTTATTGGGCAGTCGCGTCGAAAAAGTTGAATCTGAACGCTTGTTGCAAACCTGTCATTGCAAAAAGATTCTCGCTGAATAACTAGTACCTATGAAGATAATCTAAAATAATTGCTAAAGAAGGTAAAAAGAGCGAGAGTTAGCACAGTAAACAAATTGCCCTTCCCCGGACTATCCGAAGCTGTAGTTAGAACTAACAATACTCTTTTGCTGTTGATATCGACCGATTTCAGAGTAGATCCAATATAGTTGACTCCAAAATTTACAATTTGTTCAGACGGCAAAACCAACACTAACAAAGCTTCAGCACAATCTGTTTGTGAAGTTTGTTCATTGGGAATTCCGTGCTATGATAATAACAACGCTCATTTCATGTCCATTGGTTCATGTTTTGACACGGGCTTCAAAATGTGAGATACACTTTAATCATTTCAATCATCACTAATGAACAGTAGAGAATGACCTCTAATTTGAATCTCAGCCGGCCTCTAATGGGAGAACCTTTAGTGAAGATAAAACTACATTTCCTCCCAAAAGATGTATATACTTTTTCAGACAACATTTTGGCATATTTTGTTTCCACAAAGTTTTGATGAAGTCACAAGATTGCTCGATGAATAATTTAACCATATCTACATAAGACTGTTTCCGATTGCACCGAGACGAAAACACATCAATTTTCGGACAACTTTTTGGCATATTTTGCAAATTTGGATCTTGACATGTTGGTGTTTTTTAACGGTAGGCATATTGCTAGGAAGTTGGTGGGCTTATCATGAATTAGGCTGGGGCGGCTGGTGGTTTTGGGATCCCGTAGATTTGTTTCCAGAGTTTTGATGAAGTCACAATATTGCTCGATGAATATATCTACATAAGACTGTTTCCTTCTGCACCGAAACGAAAACACATCCATCTTTGACCGCTATCGAGTGAATTACGCTTGTACAGCATAGAAGTGTACATAGCAGTTTTTTGTCACCCTTGTAATCTCCTGTACAAGGAACGAATTGTCATGCCACATTACTGCCCTGTAAACTTTAACCTCTTCCGTTGTGAAAACGCAAATTTTGCCGTCTGTCTGGGTGGAGCTATTGCCACGGAGCTGAGCTCTTGAACTCCGTGAGATAATCCCGCTGTGACTCATGCTAGGAGTGGTGCGCCCAGTCGTGTTCACAGATTGTGGAAACGTACACATTTCGTTTATATCTTTCTCTACTGAAACCACCATTAGCACCAGGTACTGTCAAACGGTGTTTAGACTTACTTTCGGCAAAAGGCGTCATCTGAACCCGCTTAACCGGCTCCAAGATCCACAGCTGATGTATCTCTACCAGCTCGTCAATTCGACACATGTGAGGCATGAGGATCCAGCTTCATGGTCTACTGATTAGCTTTGATTATAGTAAAAGTATGGAATTGTAAGTTCTAACATTCCAGAAAGTGCTTGGCGCTTCACTTTCGATTGTCGCTATCTGACAAATGGTTTAACACACATTGAGTGCAGCGTTTCCTGACAATCTACAGTTTCTACACGCGATTAGAGAAAGCAGTTCTCTTCCGACGAACTAGCTATGTGGATTTGGATTAGGCTTTACCGGCAGGCGTATCGACTGAGAACAGAGCCTTCATCGTTGTGTGAGAAATTTGGATCATCGATACGGCGCGGAGCACAGTCATGAACCAGGCTTCAACGGCCATTGTCTTCACATCTCCGTTCTAAGGTAATCCCCAGGCTCTCTCTCGGCAACAGGCAAGAGTTCGTTTTTTAATTCCACGGGCACTGATGTGGCTTTCGAATTTCGGATAGAAACATCCAAGACGTCTCTAGGTTTTTGGATGAATGGTTAACACTACGAGATGTGGCATTGGATCAAGGAGACAATAGATAGCGGTAGATGTCCAAACAAATCGAATGCTGAAACCACTCTACACCCGCCGTGTCCATCGTCTCGATTCAGAAGACGAATTTGTCTTCAGATCAATCGAGATTCGTAAGTTGTAGGGTATTCTAAGAGGTTGTGATGATCGAAAGACCACATAAGGAGCGCACTCTGTTGTGCAGTGCAGTCCTCAGATTCTTTGCTCTCGCAGCCGGCACCTTACATACACCTCGACAGCACATTCGACTTACTTCGACGATTACCGGCCTTCAACACACTTGAAACCCTAAAATCTTGAGCTTTTTGCCCTAGCGTCTCTGGGAGGTACGGCCGGTGGTCAACACTTTCGCCACCGGGAAAAATCGGAAAGCAAAGTAGGATGGGCAGGGAGATGGAACAAAGGCAAGCCCTGGTGCGGTACATCCACTGTTTCCGAGCTGTGATGGGTTGGCTCATTCCAGGGCTCCTGGCGTGGAGCCGAAGATTGTCAGCAACATTTCTAGCTACCACCCGTGAAGCGGCGATCAGGCTGAGCAGGCTAGTAGGAATTATGCAGGGTATTCATCGACATAGTGCTAACAAAAAACGCGTCTGTTCCTCGATCTTATGCTGCAGAAAACTTAGCCAAGAAATCACTACCTGGCTCCTCAGCGTGCGACACTGTTACTAATTCACTCGAGATTCTATCACACGCGGAGGTGTTGCTGTTGCCGCCCTGCTGCCGGGAAGCCGACAATGCTGTCTCACTTCGCAGAACTTGGCGAGCTCACGAGAAGTCAATTGCGCCAGATTTCAGGAAAGATTGTCTGGTTTAGGGATCAGACCAGGCGATGTCCATGCGTAACAAGGTGCTGCGGACATCTCTCACGCAGTCGCGAGATATTGCCGTTCATCATTATTTAAAACCAGAAGAATCTGCAATTACTGTGTCGGCGTTTGGTTTATGTATCTAAGGGCACCATCCTTAAAAGCTAAAGCTTATGGGTTTTTCCTTGTACGATACAAGACCTGGGTCTTGTATCGTACAAGGGAATGTTCAAGTGGAAAGAATGGAGCCAGTAAAGACAAGAATGTAGAGAATGGATCAGGCGGATTTCTCGGCCACGGGTTAAAAGCCCCCGCGAGGTTTCAATTGCTGGAATTTTCGATTGAAAATCGGAACCCAAATTGAAATGGAAAATTCCAGTTCAGATACATGACTCTTGTGCGTGTTGGCTTCGTTTTCACCTGGCTTCATTCACATGTACGATGGCACGAGATATGCCAACTTTCTTTGGCATGAGAGTGTTCCAAGATATTTTTCAGCGGCAATGTGAGATTCATATCTTTCCTCATATTTCGGAATTTATAAATACGAGTAAATACAAAATATGAAAAGTAATATCCTGGTTTGTAAAGATTTATGATGAAAGTTTGGAGATCATTTCCAATTTTTTTCCAGAAATCAATTCTTCTTAACTATTGTCACAGGAATATACATCAATTCTTCCATATATATCAAAATAAAAAAATTCTATAGTGAGAAGTTTTCATACTGACACTTTACTTTATCATGAACACTAAAATTTGAGCTTACTAGAATTTGAACAATGATCACGAATCAAACTCTACTTACACAAACATACGCTCAACCGACATTCATCCCAAAAGACTCAAGATGATTTATTTCCGCTTTCACAATTCCGATTCAATATTCGAGCACGCGTGAAATTTGGGCAGTTTCTTGCGAGGAAGTAGATCGGCCATTGTGCACAGAGATGCGGGGACAGCGAAGTATTCACCGACGAATTCGTATCGAACTGTTCATTATGGTGACGAAGGCTACATCACGATTCATCTATTTTCAACCAATGTGCATCTGGTTCTTGTCTACTCTACTTGAAGATACAGTTTTGCACATCATAAACATCTACGACTCGTCATCCGGATGTACGATACAACAGCTCACCGTGCATCCGTACGCTTTCAGAGCACCCGGATGTCGATGAGATCCTTCTTGGGAAGTTTTGCCAGCTTGGGTACTGTGACGATCAGCACTCCGTTCTTCAGTTCTGCCGAAATTTTCTCAAACTCTACATTCTCCGGGAGCAACAAACGAGAGCTGAAACTGCCATAGTTTCGGGATGCAAACTTGGAATTCGTTTCCTCAGAACCCTGGTCCGCTTTAATGACAAGGTGACCTTCTTCTACATACACTTTCACTTGCTCCTTGCTGAATCCTGGAATGTCGACTCGGAGGAAATAGCCCTTTTCATCTTCCATCACATCCCACGGAGTGCGGATGCTGTTTCGCAGCTGCTTGGACCCCAGCGGAAGCATCTGACGGGGAGTTGAGAAGAATGCGTCATCGAACATTCGATCCATAGAGTCCAGCATCTGCCTCAAGCTCCTCACAGTGGGGAAAAAATCATCCAAATCTCCGGCTAGTGACCTCAGTAGTGGTCTTGGGGATGATCCTGCACAGATATCCTCCAATGTTATGCTCGGATCCAAATCTCCTCCCCATACATCGAGGAAGAGGACCATGACAGACGGCAGATGTGATCACATTCAACATCCTCCTTTATCCTCACAAGAACCATGCTGATTCTAGACAAGCAGATTTTTGGCCTCAGAAGATTTACAATTTCACCTCAAGGGACTGGAAGTTGGGAATGGATACCTCTGGTTGTCTGGACGTTGGTCGATTCATTGTCCGTCAGGGGAATGCTACTTTCGTTCTGCTTAACTACATCTGATGTTGGAGAGCCATCCGAGCCATCTGTGGCGGTGGATGCCTTTGTGAGTACCCGATTTGTTCCGGTGATCCTTCTGTTTAGTCTCTCCTCTGCACGTCTGGTTGTACTCAGTGAAATCCCGTGCAAACGAGTGACAGCCGATGCGTTCAGCTGCGATACATTCCTCGCTGACCGACTGCTGCTGCGCTGCTGAAGCAAATTGCCCACGATAGAACTCGCCACCGGGCGGACCGCGTTGCAAGTCGCCATGATCGTGAGTGAGATCGGGTGCCGCAAGAGAGTAACAAGTGGAATACCTGCCAGCAAGCGGAGTGATTGATGGCCTGTGTAGGACTTTCGAGTGACCAGGAGGACGCTTCAGACTGATTTATGCTTCTCCGATCGGTTTCAGGAGTTGCAGCCGATGAAGAACGGAGAGTCTTCGAGAGATTTGTCGAACGGGGCGGGGAGAAGAGGATCTAAGAAGCTCCTAGATACTTCGAGCCTCGTGAAGTCGTTCATTGGAGTGATCGGGACGGTCACGAGGCACAGCAGCTTCCGAATGAAATCCAGAGTTTTCACCTGGTTAGCGCGAATGTCCTCCATACATGTACCACAATTGTAAATCGATTTCGTGACGATAATCACCCGTCACTCCTGATCAGTTCGTAGACCGTAAAGCTGCTCCATCAAGCGTCGTGCAAGAGAACGCTCGCCCAGCAAATAAACCGAAACCAATTGACCTCCGACTCTCCGCTTGACGTGTCTCGAATGTCATCGACCGATGGATCTGCGCTCGTAGCTCGCAAGTGCAAGCGTGACCTTAAAGCATGATGCGGAGAGACCCACCCGCCCACCCACCAGTCATCCAATCGATTCTGGGCTGTCAAAGTTTCTCGAAAGCAAGGGCAGCACTAGAAGGACCCCGATGCTGCTCCGCTCCCTCCAGAAAAAAAATGATGAACTCTCTGGAAAGTTCGGGGCGTTTGCTCCTCTACAGCAGCCCTTATCTAGAAGTAACGAAATCAAATTGGGATAACGCGCCAATCTTGGACGAAAGAGAGCTCTGTGCAAAAGATAAACAATCCGATGATTAGGCTCGTGAATTTGGCGAGAAACCTCAGAATTTTCTGGAAGGAAACCATCATACGCACACACAACCGACGGCGATTGTTGCTAGATCGACGAGGACTGGGATCTCATTTTCTCTACCGTCCAATGTTCTCGGAGGAGGAGGGGGGGAGCGGGAGCGAGCTAGCGCGAGCGAGAGAGGTTGTGGGCAGGGATGGAGGTGTTGTATGTCGGCAGGCAGGCAGGGAGGTGATATGTGAGGCTTCACCCCACAGATTCCGTTCTTGTACGATCTGTGGCTCACAAAACTCTCAAGCAGATGGGGCAACGTCAAAAGCGAAGGCACGCCCTTGCATTTCAGAATGCGTGCCCATCGACGGCGATGGGGCTCCCTCGGGTGCACACCGCAGGAAGCAAGGTCAGGCCTCAGGAGAGCGCCCCCGATCACCCCCCGGGGCAAAATCAGCGAATAATAATTTCACTCGCCGGCCTTCGTCGTCTTCTCACGAGGATACAGTGAAAATCGTACAGTCCTCAACATCGCCCAACTGGATGCGGAAAAGCGCATGCACTATGCGTCGCAATGCACGGGCAAGTGACGTCGTCGTCGTCGTACACCAAAAGCAGACAGCTAGACTTCTCCGAGCTCCCTTCCTCCCCGGGGCGTCGTCGACATCGACCTCGAGAAACTGATGCACGCAGGCATGGCCCCCGGCTCGCCGAAATCGCCCCTTCGCCCGCGAGTGTGGTGGCGTCAACTCATGCTTCCAATCTGCAGGCGGATCGACGACCAACCGATCGAACATCCGACCCCTCGTCGGCAAATCTGATCGCTCGAGCGCTTTACGAAAAGATCAGCCCAATGGAGTCCCACGAGAGAGAGAGAGAGAGGCGGACGGAGGCATGGAGCCCTCGCTTTCCGAGACGTAGAGCTGCGGACAAGTGTTCTCTACTCTCGAAGGGAACGACGGCTTTCGCCGGTCTACATGTCGGGGCCACATTGGTCGACGCTCGCGTTCATGAGAGCATCGACCGGCTCGACCGGACAGGACCGGACCGGACACCCGGTGTCGCGAGAAGTGCTCCAGGTGGGGAACGGATCGGCGTCGCAGAGGCCGGCGACATGTAGAACGACAATTGTTGGAATGAAAGGAAATCCTCCGGCTCCAGAGCTAGCGCTTAGTGGATGAGAACTCCGCGTTTAGGCACATCTACGTCGGAGATCATGGGAACACTACCTTCCACGATTGAACCAATCGCCGGGACCGACGAAACCTACGCCTTCAGCTAATCCCGTGCCTCGCTTCGCCCGAGGACAAACTATCGAAGCTCTGATGTGAATTTAACGCGATCTGCCGAAAACGACATGACTGCCAAATGCCATTTCACCCAAGGGGGGATTCCCTCTCGCAGGGTCCGAAAGTCCATTCGCAGGACCCGTCTCGGAAAGGCGCGCTCAGGATCAGGATTCACCGAAATCTTTATTAACGGAACCTCGAGGGATAAAGTGACTTCATGGGTATCGCAGGACCCCGGGCTCTTGACAAATGACATTTCGACTTCGGATGGCGTCAGGCGCGTGGGGGCGGGGGGGGTTCATTCCTCCTCCAGGGCGTCTGGAGGGTGAAATTAAATCGGTCGGTTTGACGAACGGAATATAATGTCGCGCGAAATATCCCGATCGACGGTCAGGATGCTCTGATCTCCCCGGTTGTGGGTCGTCGATTTGTTCTCGTGTTTCGTGTACCTTTTGTGCGCGTTGCCTCCCCGTTCAGTCGCAATTAGAAGCGCTGCTTTGTTGGACCCTTGACTCATAGTTTCCGTCAAGTTTACATATATGCACGCATAACCTCCCCGTTCTAGTGTTGTTTAACTGTACCAACAACAACAACACTAACTTTCGTATGGTGCAATAGGTAACACAACACACATGTAAGTCCACCTTAACGGCCCTGTAGATTCTAACCAGAATTGTGAAAATGTGGGACCAAGCAACATGGAACACCCAGCCACACCCCCTTTTGCTCCACAAACCCAAATTAAACTCCTCGTGCTTGTATGTCCTCTTTGTTGATAGGGTGGGCAAAGCAATTCATGTCAAGGCGCAAAAACTTTACTGCCAAATTTTCTCTCAATCTGTATACAGTTTCTCTCAATATGTATAACGTGCTTAAATCACATATATGTATGTTTGTAAGTATATGTATGAATATATAATAATTCGTTTGCGAACTCGTCGTGACTTTCATTGAAATTTATCTTGGTAAACACAGAAAGACTCTACCAAGCGATCATCGAAATATAGTGGAAGTGAATCATTGGATCATTTGATGTGCTGTAGGGATTGCTCGGAAGCGATTGTAACCAATCGCTGGCTTAGGACTGGGTTCTGCTGAAGTGGAGCCCAGCTTAATTTCGCGAAAGTCTTGAGGTATCCTCATTGATGCTTTTCCTATTATCTGCACTTGCACCAGGTCTTAACCACAACAATCTCCAAGGACAAAGGTCTAGCAGCGTACATAGACATGGTTTCCTACGTGATGGGAAAATCCTTGGTGGCAAAATTTTTTCCTTTATCTGCAGCATACAAATTCCCACACCCCTTTCAAAACACCCTTCAGTTTTAGGAGTGGAGCTCACTCACCGCTATATATTAGCCCTCCAAAGGCTTCTCAAGATAGACAATCGAACTAAACAGCACTTCTTCTCCTCCACCAAAAGGAAAACAATATCCTCAAAATATTATCATAATACAAACCTCAGTCTAACATCATCTAAGTCCACCACATTTGTGAATTCCCCTTATTGAAAGACTTACACATTATGCTCTCCATACTACAACCAATAAAACATCCAACTATGCACGATAAATATGCACAATGACACCAAAGGCAACGAAACCGTTGATACTCGACCAAGCGATCCAACTTCTTACATGTACAAACCACCATCTTGCTCACTGCCTTCAAATCCAAAATTACACACATGATACCACTCGTCACAACAACGAGGATACCCAGTTTTGAAGCATCCATACAGAAAATACTATACAGATATCACAAGAACTCACAATTAATATAAATTTCATTGCTATGTGGACCCACATCCATGTTTTAGATCTAAAACCTTGATGGCAAAAATGTCAATGCTCGGGCCATCAAATCACCCTCTACATCAGAACTGCGACATGTTCACTTCATGATAAGGCTTCAAAATAATCTCTTGTGGTCTAGAAAACACTCTTATCCTACTGTCCATGTAGCCTCACAACCTCCCACCCTGGCACTTGGTGACACTTATTTTATCGTTGTACAGATAAAAATCATGAATACAATACTTCCCATAGGCATTACACATGGCGCACACTGCCAAACAGTTACTGCCACTCTCGAGGAACTAAATCAAAGAACACCATCATCATCAACGCCTGATCTCAAATCATTGTTCTATCAGATTTTCTTGGCTGGTTTTGCAGACTTGTCCTATGCACATGTCCAGCAAGACTTAAAACCGTACAGAATCATCATGAGAAACACCTTCAATTTTCCCACATTGGACCTCATGTCCAAAATCCACATCACAAAACACTTTTCAAATATATACGTCGCAATAATAGGTAGGAGCACATGATCATCATGAAAGATAGGATTACACACCACTAATTAAACCCTTCAGGGAAGCATGATAATTGGTGACAAACCTTGTAAAGCAATTCGACATAAACGACGTCGAATTGCTTTTTGGGGTGTTGCGCAAATGTACAAGTCAAGAAAATTCAGACTCAAAATATGAGATGTTGTATTGACATGCACATGCATTTTGAGTTCGTTAGCTCTTGAGAACAATATGCCATATCTGTTGGATTAGAATTATGTATACTTTATAATATATGATATGATTGGAAATATATATATATATATATATATAGTAATTGCCACAATTTATTGAATGGCACATATCATGCACGAATTGTTAAACAAGTAATGCGTTTAGCATCTGCAGTATACCTAAGGAGATGTAGGGTTAGGGGGACAGAGTCTGTATAAAGGCTACTTGTTTTTACGAAAGTTGATGATACATGAAACATGGACTAGTTCATGAACCTCTAGATTTTTCAAGTTCCAATGTATTTATTTCTACTTTAATGTACACCTATTTTATGGAATAAACGAGAAGTCTTTGCGGATCACTTGTTACACGTATCGCAACATACTTGTAATTTCGTATGAAAATTTATGTACAAAGAAATACGTGAAAATCAAGAAAAAATTTTACGATGTTAGAGGTAGGTATTTTTTTAATAAAAAGGTATCTAATAGAACCGAGGTTGGATCAAAAGAGAAGGAGATGAGAGGCTCGAACCCTCCTATTGTGGCCAGAGTAATTAAATGCGGCTATGACAGTATCTGGTGAATATCCATGAGACGACTGGGCTGTCAGTCTGTCTGTGGACGTGAAAGGAAAAAGCATCAACGATGAAAGAAGAACCGAACACTGTGACTGCTGACAACGGAGGACGGGAACAGGGTGTAGGCGTGGGTGACACCAGACGGAGTACAGTTCTGTACAGTACTGTAGTACGTAGCATGGAGGAGGGAGAAGTCCTCGAGGGAGACTGGAAGACCGGACACCGTGTAGGACGGAGGGCAAGCAGCGAGCGTCGAGACCTTCGCCGATGTCCAAATCTGACACTGACACTGACAGGTCGGAATCAAACTTTGTCCAGGTGGCAGAATGGTCGAGTGGAGTCCACGGAGGACACTCATGGGAGTGGATAGCGCTCGACTGGACTAGGTGAGGCGTACCAACCGATAACGGACCACGGGATCTTCTGAATCCCCCACAGTAGTCGAGCGGCTAGATCCCAGTGACCTATGAACTGCGACATTCTGCCTTGCACACAGCCCATCGCCATCGCAGTAGTATTATATGCGATGGAATGAAGTACTCGCAAAAGTTGAGCCTTAGGTCGAAGTTGTCTGGGACGAGAATCATGCTCCAGATCTAGCCAGAGACTGCGGGAAGAACTGACCCTGTTGCTTCGAAAGAAGATTGGTCGTTGTCTCTCGTCATGGAGACCCAGTCCACAATCATACTTCCAATCTGAAGTACAATCTGCCGGGGGCTGTCCGACCCTCGCTCTACAGAAAGATTACAAATTTCTCAACTTGTTTTTTCGGATCACAGCCTCGGCATTGGATGTGAAGATCATTAAAAACTCATTTCCGAGCAGTCGTGGACCATGCAGCGCTGAGACTAGAGCAGATCGAGGGAGATCGAGACTTTATTCAAGATATGAGGAAAATCTTGACGCAAAGAAATCGCAAAGTTTTGTGCATACTCTGTTCAGCAGAGGGCGACAGGAAAGTCATGGATAGGTCCGGAGAGAAAGACATCCTGTTCACGGCTTCATTCCAGTAGAGGGTAAAAAGAAAAGCGCGATGACGTCGTTTCAGTCACTGCCTTCTTGGGTCGCCAACTTTGCACATCGCTAGAAACAGGACGGACACAGTAAAATAACACAAGGGATGGAGGCAACAGCGATTGATGAAGTCACATGTAACGAGAGATCCTACTGGCGTATCATCAAGGCTAGTCGTACCGAAACTCTGAAGTCCGCTGGCGGCTGGGAAGGTCAGAAGCTGCTAGGGTAGGTATCGCAAGTTTTGAAGGTACAGTTGAGAAGTTGAGAACTTACCAGACTAAACTGTAAGTCTTCAACTGAAGCATCATTCCTGAACTGAAAGCGAATGCGATGGAACTTTCTTCTGATGCGCTCAGGTCCTTGAGAATAATAAAACTCAAGAATAGGATTTGGATATTGGTAGACAAATATACCAGCGAGGAGTTCCGTGGTCATTCATCATGCCACATTGGAAAGGCTCACTGCACGCATTTGTTGAAAGTGCTTCCAGAATCCTGTGAACACCGCGTGATTCAAAAGCATTTTCACCAAGATTTACTCGGTACATGGCTGACATAAGCGGGAACTCGGTCAAGAACCATGCGTCCGTAAACCATATCTTCCTCCCATTGCTTCTCTTTGCAGTTTCAGTCACATGGGGATGAAAAAGATTTTGTTCAGGATGGCGGACTAACTGAGGATGACCCCACGAAGGTCAGCTAAAGGTCCATTGTCTTATCGTCGAGCACCTTACTCTTACTTGTGCTCCGTACTGAACCAAAAATTGTCCTAATGGAATGGAGTACGGTGCACTTGATAGGATGCTTTGGAAGAAGTCTTCTCGAACAGATACTTGTAGTGGAAATCATCCTGGAAGATTTTGCACTCGTTCTCGTTACGAATCGAGTGAGAAGTCAGACCTATAGCAATGTCTTGAGTGCAATCCCTCCGGAATCAGTCTCAAAAGTGTTCCCCTGAGAGGAACAATTTTCCTCTGAGGCGATGGAAGGTCGCGGTCTTGGAAAGAAATCCGAGCCGACTTCGGATCTTGGAAAAGACCATCGACAATCGAAGTGCTCTTTTCTAGAGTTCTGGATTCGCAGGTCACTCGAGCTCTGACGCTAACTTCAACCCAGCGCACAAGCTCAGCAGCGGAGACCAATTTCGCCAGCCTGCAAATCTCTCTTCCACGCAAGTACAAGGCAAAAACTTCTTCACCATTTCATGAACGCTATTGGATCCCACCATCTCGCCAGACAGCACCCTACAAGCTCTATCAACAAGACGCAGAAGTCACACAATTGGAATAACACAAACCCTAACCAAAAGGGGGTTTTTTTCCTGGATAACACCAACCTCACAGCCTCTCGGCAGTTCGGTATTTCTTCATCATCACAACCGCCGCTGTCAGTTGAGATTCTCTATCTAATATCTCCGCTGCATAATGTGCACATTTCCAGGCATGACACTCGACGCGTCTTCTCCTTTATTCTACTAGAAAAACAATTTCTTGATTATCGAGTGGAAATTATTGGGTAGAAGTAATATCGCAAAAAAGGCTGAGAATAGCCCACCATGTAACCATGAGAGGGTTGGATGGACTAGGCCCCACGACCATCAAACTTGGAAATATGTACATATCCGTCTTGTATATTACACCTCTTTAGTCAAAAGATATGACTTGAATACGAGTATTTCAACCTCCACTAATCATTTCTTTAGTCAAAGAATGTCCAAAATAAACGAGTATTTCAACATCAACTAATTATTTTCTGTGGATATGTATTGTGAGTGCTAGTACTCGATGTAAATTAATCCATACATGCTTCCTAAAAGAATGCACAATGTGGCGAAGAAAATGATACTCTTCTCGCACGATGTGTAGAGTCTCAGATTGATCAATTGTTTTAGGTATCCATAGTTTCGTACAACTCTAGAATAAGAGTAACAACAATCTAGATTTTTTGCATCTAATTATACTTGAATCGTTTTGCCAAACTAAAATATTAGATAATTGTCACTTTTGATAGCACTTTTATCACATTTCTTGTAACATAATGTAACAAGCCACAAAGCATCCATACACCAGATACAAGTTTGTCCAAAATTGAGTTTTAAAATTTATATCCTGAATTTTCAAAATATCATGTAACTAAGATAATATATATTTAAAAGTAACAGTTGAGAAAAATTGGATCAATTTTAAGAGTGGACTCTGTTGCTATAGGCTTGAAAACTCACTAGTACAAGTTGTACAGACTTCAAGCATGACTAACCAAGATTTAAACTTTTAAACAAGACCTTGTAGTACAAGTAACGGCAGTATATACTAAAAAAATATAGCAAGTTGAAAGTAAGATAGATAGATAAAAAGTTTTTAATTTAATTTCTGAGCAAAGGATAATGGTTATATCCACTAAAATAATATATCAAATATGCTAAAATAATGAGTTTCAAACTAGAACAAAATTCGAATTGGTGACCCATACATTAAAAAACATCTAATAAGAAAATTATCATGGATAAATAAAAAATAACAGAAAATAAAAGATTTTCATATTATTCCATATTTAGATTAGTGCAAGGTTGCAATTCTGATATTGTGCAAACCATAAAATTTGTCAAACTATGATAGCATAAGTACATGGAGGCCGTTAAGGTTTAGTTAAGAATGAGATTGGTACTGAAAATTAAACTATTTCCTTATAGTACCAAAAAATAATCATGACATTCGTAAGATATTTGAGTTATATACGTATAGCCTACTTACATCTCATAAATTCAAAGCAGTTGACCGATATAACAACGTTTAGAGTAATTATAGAAGAATGATTGTAAAAACTATAAGAGCTGGAGAAGAAATTCCAAAGAGGAGCTATGTCATAACCCTATCATAGAATGACACAGTAACAACAGAGTTCACGAAAGTCCAAGCAAAAAGCGAAAGGCTAGGAAGTAAATTTCCATTTTTGGACATGTAGGTACGCTTCGCTACTTTCAAATGGAAAGCCAAAGTCTACTGTCATCTCCAAACGTGGGATGACATCGACTCACGACGAATCCTATCTAAGAAAGCCCCTCTAATATAGTCTGTCTATTTCCAAAAAAAAAGTGAAACATGATCTTTCCAAAAAAGAAAGAGAATTTTAGGCACAACTGATCTCTATCCTTTCTTTCCAGTTATGTGGAGGCATCACCTCAGTCCAAACCGGCTATAATTTAAGCAATAACGTTACGGAGCTGAACTCACGATAATGCTTCACTTGTTCCAATGTACTAATACCTTTAGATACTACATAGAAAAAGAATAAAAGTACGAAATATTTCTTGATTGGGAGTATTGAAAAAATAAGTTACTCCTCCTTGATATGAAAGGAGATATCTTCCTTGATATTTTTACAACTCGCTCAAAAGACGAAGTGTATCCAGGTGGGTGCAATGTAGCAAGATTAAACATTACCCCACAATCTTTGTATCAATCCTATCTATACACTTCAATATCCCTAAGCACGGTCCCTTGGCTATGCTATCTGCTAGAGAAAAGAAAGATGCGTTAAATAATAGGAGCTGCGCAACCATAGCCACAGCTACAGGTGAAAAAAAGAAGCAGATGGGGACAAGATGAAAAGTGCTCAGCTAAACTCTCCCTTAACGGCATGGTACCTTGGACCCACCGTAAATTTATGGAAGGTTCGGGCTATGCTTTTCTTCGGAGCTTCTGGCAAATATATGTTGTCCGTGTCTTAGAGTCTGCAGCAACTTGAGGCTTATAGGATTATTGTCTATTCACTTGAGCTCCTCTTTAGCTAGAGATTCAAAGTTTACATATATGTATACATCATTGCCGATAGGGCTGTCGTTACCATAATTGACAAATTATTTGAGTTGAAGACAGGCATGGTATGTTGTGTAGCAACATTCTCTACTTGCAATGAGAGCTTTTGTTCGATTTTTTTGTGTTTGGCAAAGGCCAATATCCTGTAATGCCAGCTTTACTTGGCTAGGAATTCTCACCTGGCGAGGAATCTGAATGTAGTAGTGAGAGACGATTGCTCAGAGTTCCTCCGACAGAGTTTCACCTTGAAAAAGACAACCAATCGGCAAGAAGCAGGATCTCATGTCTGTTGCTTTGGTCGTTTGTTGACAGCTTGGTCTCGGCTTTTTCATTCAGCAAGGACGTAAATGGCCAAAGAAGGTTCCTTCTTCGGCCAGTAGCCTTCTCTGCCCTTTCACCTACAATTCCTCAGGTACAGTCAGATAAGGAAGTGCTTCCTTCCAAAAATTCAACCACCAAGTATTCCGGTAGAAGTAGCATTTTGACTTTGAACATTGGTTCATACTTGAATCATTTTTATGCATCTCTAGCTTCCACAGGGATGTATATGAAATTTCTTTAAAACATATACATTATTGTAACAGTGCTTTTAAACAATATGTACACAACGTAGACTGTAATCATCCAATAGACTATTTACGTGATATTTAATATATATTCATCTAGCGTTAAATGAAAATCTTTGACCATATTATCATCAATATCTTTGATGAAATCATGGCTTTATATTTTGCTCGGAGTTACACGTTTAAATCATATACTTGCAAGAGCAGTCTGTGGTTAAGGAGGCAGAGTGCAAGATTTGCCAGGCCTAAAATACCATTGAATTCAAGGAGTTAAAGATCTTAAAGGAATACTTGGTTTATTTTTTATAGTTTATTATCTATATGAAATGTCATCTACAGCAATTAAGGCTAGTTAGTTGATTTCTCAACTTTTGTTGACTCTGTATTTGTGATTACATGTTGTTACATTCTTGGTATGTTTGTAAGCTATATGATTACAGTATTGTACATATATACAATATATATATCACATACAATTGCAACATTCAAGACGTGATATTTTCAAGAGAGTTTTATACTATAAGTTCTGACTTGAGCTCTCATCTTTATTTTAATTGTTGATCAAATTCAATAAATTTCTATAATTTAATTTTATTATTCAAAATTCAAATTTTAATTAAATTTTTTTCTCAATGCTCATGGACATTCCTAGTACCATAGGAGAATGTTTATCTATACTCTTGCTCCAATGATGCATAATAAAAAATCCTGGCTACATAATGCGTCATGATTTTTTGTTGATGTGCTTCAACTACTTATTCTACAACATGAGGTTGATTTGAACGTTTCAGCCATTTACATTTTGATTTGTCACATGAAATGAAATCATTAAATGAGTAGCTATTGTCTTTGACTGATATTACATTAGGTGTTTCAGAAATCATATGATTTCTTGCCCATTTAAAATACACAGGATAGTTAGTCATGATCTTATTAGAATTGCAAGTGGTATTAGAGTATACATAATATGAAGATAACATTGAAATGTAGTGCTTGACTTCAAACATGACTACACCTTGTTCAAGAGGATCTTTTTATTTGTATACGTAGTAATTACAGTCTCCTATTTGTGACGCGGGATTAGAATAAGTGAAGTTTCCATACACTTTACATCGCAAACACGTTACTCACATACACATATACAAACTTTCTTCAGATTTCTTCACAACTCTGAAGAAATCTGAAGTCCAATCTCCCTTGGAACAATTGAACGCCAACCCGTACAAGCAAAAGAGCAGAAGGCCTCAAGGAACAGACCAATTAATTAACATCACCGAGAACTTGACGAATTTGATTCTGTCCAGAGGTTGTGCACTACATTCTGATTAGTGTTTATTCCTAATCCGTCTAACAATTTCAGGAAACACGTGAGTTCTTCAAGTGAAAATACGTGTTTTTCTCCACTGGAAAACACGTTGGTCTTAATTACCCTACTGGCAATAAAACCGTCACAAGTACACAAGTCAAGCCCAACCCACTCCAAAGAGACTCTAGGTTGACGTTTGCGGTCAGTTGCTACTCCCAACGCTAACGGGCTTGACTCGAAGAACTTACGTTCTTCGAGTCGTCATTGACCTTAAACCCTTCCAGAACAGAAACCCTAGCTCAAAGTCTAAATTTAATAAGAAACAAAACTACATGACAGTGATAAATTTAATACTGAAGGATGTATGGAGAATTAAGTAACAAAAAACAAGTACTTTCATGTAAAACATTTTATATAAAGTATTTTTTAAAAACTCTGATATTATAAAAAAATTGTATTTTGAATTATATATATTTTTGAAAGTCCATTATAGCATTTAAATGTGTCTAACTTCATTTACGGTTCATCTTGTGTTATATGTATTAAATAATCTCAAAGGTCATCAGATCATTTAGTCTATAAGAAATCAACCACTATAAGTAATGTTTGGTTGTATGCTCTTGTTGACTGTTTGGTAACCATAGGCTCAACAAGACTTGTATCTCATGATGATTTTATTGAATTCTATTCCAAAGTAATATTTCTCGTCTAACATTTGTCCACTATTATTAGAGCCTTCAACATCCTTTGTTATTTGACTCTTTACTTTACGTAGGGAGAAGATTGTGGAACACAAGCAACATAACATAGATAGACCGAGAAAGCAGTATGCATATTTTTTCTATTTACCTGAAACCAGGGAACATAAGCTTTAAATTTATTATTTATTCACCAATTTTTCCTCTACCGTAGGCCATACATAATTTTTGTAGTATTAGAAAATTTTAAATCTTAGTTATTATTTTTACAACATGAGTTTCAGTTACCGATGGCTTTAATGTTTAATCCAATGGCTATAATTTTGATGCTATATTCAAAAATCACGTATGTCACTAAATGTGTATTGAAAAATTAAAATATTTTGCTCTAGGTATAGCGTTTGAGTAGTGAAAGATAGATCACATACATAAATTAAAACTGGTTGTACTTCAGTTCCTTCTTCGCACATAGGCTACACGTTTTTTTTCGGTTTACAATATTCAAAATGCCCATGTTCATAATGCTAGTCGTACGGTGTTTTTTGTCTCTTGTCTTTGAATTGCCCATGCTCATAGTTCTAGTTCGTGTACACAATTCATAGTCTTCTACTTTGTGCAGTCTTTCGCCTTTGTACTTTTGTTTCCTTTCCTTATCTACAATACTGATTTTTTTTTTTCATGTCTATCGCATGGAGCACGTGTCTCAGCAAAGATTGATGATAAGGTGCTGAACTAAGGTCCAACATGCCTATGGCCTCCAAAAGGTTTTCTCTCACAAGGGAGATGAAAAAAACCTCGTCTATGTTCCTCTCGGCTATTTACATTCCTGGATGATACACGGAACCCTATCTGAAAAAGATACGTACATATCATATCTGTCAGTTGGGAAGGAGTGGATAAACACGTCTCAAAACATGTTTCCTCCTCTTGGTAAGAACTCACTCTTTTCAAGGATTTACAATAAAAGTGAGAGGAAGAAGCTGCTTGTTACACTTTACAGGAGCTTGCCCTGGATCGGAGAGTATCACTCTACTGAACACGAACTAAGCGGAGCAGATGATGTAAGCATGTTATCTCGTACCAAAAAAGGTACATGGGATGTCACAAGTTTACTTCCAAGTTGGGCTTCTTTTTCAGGTGCTTCCTAGAAATGGTCACATTCGTGAGGATTGTCAGGATCCGTCACCCATTCACGATAGCTCTTGGATTCAGCCACAAGTCACCAATGCCTACTTAATCTTAATTACATGTATAACAAGTAATATTGTTCGTGAGGACGTGTAGTGTGAAAGACGAATAAAAAGTTGAGAGATTGTGAGAAACCATCTCATCGAAACAAGGTCAGCTGGAAATAGAAGGAGACAAAGTCAAATCAAAGGTGAGGATGAGCTGATCCAAACTTACAGTGAAAGTTCTCCATATCGATCTGGTGATACGGAGAACAGTTAACACCAAAACGTGTGATCCTTCATCTGCTTCAAGTAGTGGATATGCAGAAGACTACCTTAGACTGGATACATAACAAGCTCATACATCTTAATTGTATGAAATGATCAAATTAAAAGTATGTCTAGTTTTGTCTTGATCAAAACTGTCTTTCTCTCTCTATATATATCTATCTATCTATAGATGCAACTGGATTTATGATAGGGAAAAAAATTTCATGTTGTGACGTGGAAATCAAAAGGAAAATTCTCTCACATTTATATCTTGACTTTATTTGCTTTGATGATGATACTTAACTCTAGTGAGCAAGATTGTAATATCAAAATCAGTTGGATGATGACTGAGCTTCTAGAAGAGGACATGAAACAATTATCTGGAAAAGTATCACATCTTAAAGATTTGAAAGTTTTGATTTCTACCTTGATTGAAGTTAGGAAGAAAAAATCACATGGCAGTCATATTTAAATTACTTAAGTAGTTCAATATAAGGTTGATAGTTTTTTTCTAAACCATTTTCCAGTAGAGTTTTAGTTATAAATACTTTGAACATCGATTGATCATCTTTACTTTAGGGATGAAATGTGAGTATTTATGAGACTGTTTATTTAGAATAGTTGTCATGAGTTTATGGAATTTGCAATTTGAAAATTTGAGTAAAAGTGTACATCAAAGCCAAAATTATTAGAAGGAGTATTGTCGGCTAAATTTTAGTTTAAATAACTTAAGCTCTTGGAGTTTATCGAGGTTTGCTGTGCATTGCACTCCATTATGACCTTACACATGAATTCCGCCCATTTTGAATCAATATAGAATGTCTCCTTTATCATGCCTGGACTCAATTTGTGATTGTGTATGCAAACTTCGAATCATCATTTGGTTCCAAAAATACGGTCGTGGATACAAAAATTCCCTCCAAACATAAACTAAAGTTGAAATTCATACGATCATGATTAATTAATTCTAATACTTCTGAATATTACCAGGTAATCTCTCAAATAGTATTGGTTCTACTATTCAATGAACAGTTTTTTCTCGTTAAAAAGTTGGAAACTAGATCATGGAGAGAAACACCATCACATAAAATCTTGCCAGCTCTTTCGTATCTGGATAGCTTAACAGTACCAAATCATAGAACTAAAAAAAGCTGAATTACTATCTAACTTCCAGCTAACAAAAGACGATAGAGACAGTGTGGATATACCTGTATTATTAGTACAATGTGGCTTTAAAATCTGGGGAGGTTGATCCTATGTGAGTATTGGCTTTTCTGCTCCCCAAAGTACTGCATTATGCCAGTCTGTGGATCTGACCACCTAAAAACACTGGGGATAGAAGTTTTACCAACAAGAAGACGCATTGTGGGATTGGTGGTGATTTCTTTCGTTTGTCACTTAGACTGTTCCCAATTCGCTACGAGATTCATTTATGCTTTCTTTAGTCTGGCTACTAAGATGTGTGATGCATTATTAGTTGCTCCAGGTTTTACATACAGTTTGAGCTTCAACCTATGCTCGCGCGGGATAGGTTCCAGTCCCCTATCCAGGTTCCAATCTCAAGGTAAGGACCTTGAGATTGATCACGTGAATGTGACGAGATGGTTGTTGGCAGTTCCGTCGTTCCTACTGCAACTCCCGACTCCCGTAGTGTGTGTTTTTAGACCACGCGAGGATGTCCAACAAAGTCTGATACCTTCCGGACCGAGATTGCGTGAGGTGATCCCTTCAAGCATTCAAGGTCAAATCTTAATGACTTTTCTTCTCAAGCTTGGACGAGAAACTCCTAACACTCGTGTGGTCAATCTTGTAATGCACTTAACCCCCTCAAACACTTCAACTTTGTTTATGCATATCATCTCCAGTCCAAAGGATTCACATATATTAGTTTGTTAGTATCACTTCTAAGAGGTTATAACGACATCTTTATATTTTCTTCGATCAAATATGAATCACATTTGAAGTGACAGTTGCGATGATTTAATGCAAATTTAAATGCTAAAGCCGTCATGTTGCATATGTATTGATAAAATAGAAAAAGACATAATATGAGTATATCACTCAAGTATTAAAAATTCTGAAGACTATATGACTTTAATGTATAAATTTACAAAATCAGGATCGCAAAGAACCAAACGTTGAATGTTATCTATTTTCATCAGATGAATTTTTTCTTAGCAAATAGCAATCATTTGTACATAACAATACTGTTAAATTTCTATTAAAAAACCTTTTCCATACACTTTCATATATCACTGTTAATTCGACTATTGAAAATTTATGACTATAGATGAGAATGGAAGTTCAGATGTTCAGAAGCAATTCATAAATTTCCTTTCTACCTACATGTTAGTTAAAGAGCTTGCAACCGTGTGCTTCCTTCAAACCAGCATTCGCGGCTCTCTCTAAGATCTGCACGTGAATAGCACTTGCGTAAAAGCTGAGCATTTAGCACCCTGCCAGCTTGGTGCATAGAGTCTTACACTTCGATATAATAGTACACTTTGATGTATGTTCTGCAACGAACATTCAGAAAATCAAGTGCTTAAAGTATGTACCCTGGCTTTTGTGTTGAAAATCCACTATGGATCTGGAAGTCGGTCGTCCTGTATTTTCACCACATTATACTAACCTGCAACTTTATCCACCGTGTCTTGATGTTAGATATTTCCCATGCCCGTCTCTGGACGAAAAGACCGAAATATCTAAAGTCGAAGTGTAATGGCAAGGGGTCAAGTAGACAACAAGGAAAAAAAAAACGGGACTACCCATAAAGTGGAAGCAGAAGCGGTGTTCTGAAATCAAACGCCTCTGTCGCGAAGACGGTCGAGGGCCATGAGATATGCCATACCATTTCCTACACCTTACGTTATCAATGACCCAGGCAAAGGGCGGCATCGTCAACGGGCCTTCACCACTGTTCTCTAGCCCTCTCCATGCGTCACGGTCAAAACAGTATCGCCCCATGCCCCGGAAAGGAAACGTGCCCTCGAGTTCCCTCCCGGCAATGACCGGATCGAGTCACCAGAGATAGAATCATTGAATTCCGATATGCTGAATAATATACACCGCCGTGACGGCAGCAGCGGTAAGTTAAAAGTTACTGCGGTAACGGGCTTCGTTTCAACACTGCCCGGTCACCCAACGGTTCTATGGATGTACTGTCTGCAGGAGACTGGATGGAACTGTAGAGCGCTTTACCGCGACAGTCATGACTCGTGATGACTCACGGAGCAGCAGGAGACGGAAGCGGAGGATGAGGTCATCGTGGGGTAAAAGTGAAATCGGAGGAAAAAGGCGCAGGCGCCAAGAGGCCGCGCCTGAGGAGCTGCGCTGCGCCGTGACGGGCAGTTGCGAGGCGGTGGAAGCGGTAACAGGAAGAGAGGAGCGGTTTGTTGGGGCGTGCAAAGACAGCACCGGACAAAGGAGACGGAAAGGAGGAACTGCGCCGGATAATTATTCGATTGGGCGTGGCATAAGGAAGGACGGGGATAAAGGCCAAAGGTGGCAGGAACGCCAGTCAGATCGATCCCGTTCATCGGCCTCTGCCAATTCATCGGACTGATCCATTGGAGGGCCTCCCTGGCGCTGCTGGAGAAGACGAGGCAGGCTCCGGGGGTTGTCTGTTTTCTCACGGTGGAGGCTGGCGGGCCGGCGGGGGTCGATTTCTTCCGGACCTGGACGGATCGGTGCTGACTGTGCAGCCAAGTGTTCAGGCGCGGCCAGCGCTGCGATCTGGGTAGGGTGGGGGTGCTTCATCGCTGGGCTCCGCTGTCAATTGTCCTCCCGGACGCCCGGCCTGAAGGTCCTTCGGAGTGGAGAAGCGAGCGGGACGTTTCTTGGTGCTGTGTTCTTGCAGGCAGCACCAAAGAAGCGCTCGAGAGCGGAACGCTAGCCTGTCGGATTTGACGATTTGACGAAGTTTTTCTGCGGTGGAGGAGCAATTCGTGGTCGGATTTTGAGCGTCGAATTGCAGGCAATACCGAATTCGAGTTTCCTTAGGGGCGTTGTGGCCGCATTGCACAACTTCTGTGGGCGAATCCGATGGCCGGGACGGAGAAGCGACAGAGACGTTGCGGAAGAGGGTCATTGAAGTCGCGCATGGTTGCTAATTGATGGCCAATTTGTAGCGGTCGAGAGGGATTGTGCGAGAGTTTCATTCTATACCGAATTATAACGCATTCATTGAGTTGAACTCAGACATGGCGGAATTATGGAGAGCGCATGCTGCTATGGCGCTTGTACAAGTGAATTATGGTGGTTATCATGTGCTTACCACGATGGCACTGAGCGTGGGTGTCAACCAACTAGTATTTTGTGTATATCGGGATCTACTGGCACTCTTTATTCTCGGCCCTGTTGCTTACATCAAGGAAAAGTGAGTCGTAATTCTTCACAAATCGCAGCTGTTGTGGACATCCTAATGTGCATACCTGCAATCTTAGCTCGCGTCCTGTTTTCACGGCCTATCGCTGATACTCTGATCTGCAGTCATGTTTCGGGAATTCTCAGTGTTAGTGCTACAAGTGGGGAAGAACTGTTAGTCAAGTAGGGCATTTATAACTCTACTGTGTCTCGTGAAGCCCTAGTCTCTTCTTCTTCTCCATAGATCGCAGTGATATCCTGGTTTCCTAGTGAACTTTGGTCGTAAAAGTTGCCATCACTATGAGTAGTCAATCGCTCAAGGTTGACTTCAGATGCAGATCCGCTTCGAACTGAGTCATTTCTCTCAGCTGCTTGATCTGAATAGGCAGCTGATATCGAGGTTGAAGACGGGATTGGAGTGATCTCCTAGTAAGGACTTTATTGTAGGAGATAACATTGTCCAGATCGCACCAGGAAACTCTGCGAACATAGAAGCGCATGTTCAATCTTTATGCATGTGATGATCTGCATGTGATGACAGACGCGCACACGCACACGCACACGCACACACACAATGCTTTCTGGACTAGATGCTGCTGATGTCATTAGGAATTTTATGATTGTCCATTCTGAGCATTCTTTTTTGGTTCGTGATGAACAAAGCTTTGTTTGCGAAAGTTTGCTTTCTCATCTCTCTAACCAATTTGGGGCGCCCCAGAATTGCTTGATTTCTTTAAAAGATCCGCCTCAGCTAAAAAGCCTTGCATCTTGTTGGACTCGCAGGAAAACTCGGGCTCCCATCACACGCGAGTTGATACTAACTTGCAGCTTCCTCGGTTTGTCAGGGTAAGTATACCATTCTAGTTGTACAAATTTGTTTTAAACGAGGCATCGTTACTCGTAGACACCACCACTTCCTTTTGGAAGTTATACCGAATAGATATCTGATGAGACGTTATTGTGATCGCAGGATATTTGCTAATCAGCTATTGTTTCTTATTGGGCTGAAGCTTACGTCTCCATCATATGCTGCTGCCGTACAACCAGCTATTCCTGTTTTTACCTCAGTGCTTGCAGTTTTGATGGGGTACGTCAAATTTTGCCAAAGTGCTATATTTTAAAATTTTATAGTTTGAGTACTTCTAATATGGATGAGCTGAAGAATGGACTTTGCTTTTTAAAGGATTGGCGTCCCATCTATCCAGTCAACGAGTATATGCACCTATTTACATCAATTCGAGATTCTAGTGACAGTTAGTACAGCGTCCCATAATTTATTTGCTTTGCTGTGAGGAACGATTTGAAATGCTTTTTAACCAAAACAGTTTTTTGTTGAAATGATCATAGTGCGTAATTAATTTGTGTTTTTACACAAGTCAGAATCATAAGCCATAATTTGTGTTGTTTTTAGCGTGTCCATTCTTTGAGTGTGCTTGTTGTTCCGTGCAGGACTGAAGCATTAAATTGGCGCAGACGAGATGGCAAAGCAAAAATTGGAGGAGTTGTTGTTTGCGTGACAGGGGCTTTTTTGATGGCAGTATACCGAGGACCAGCAGTTTTTGGAGACGGGTTTTCTGACTTGAATATGCAGGGCGCTGTAGGTGGAAAACCATCTCCTGAGCCTGTTGGATGGCTTGCAGCGACCCTGTTCGACATGGGAGTCGACATGTGGCATGTTGGGGTTGTGTGCCTGATTGGCAACTGTTTCTGTATGGCTATGTACCTGGCTGTCCAGGTAATGTCTGCCTTGAGTACTCAGAATAGATCAACGTGTAATTTTTATGCCTCAAAGTTTTGTTCAAGCTCTAAGTTGATTGGACTTGCAAGTCCTATTTGAATTCTGTTCATCGAAGACTTGCTATTGAGTTGTAGGTGACCTACTTTTTGTTACATCCTTTCAAACAAGTAGAGCATTTAGACAGTGTTTACTAAATATTTTTTGACATCAGTCGAACGCAATTATCTTGGAATTGAGCACTTGTGTTTGAAGTATGTAGTCCTAAAATCGTGTCGTGCAGAAGGCTTTCTTTTGAATTTTATTTAGTGGTTAAACACACGGAAGTATCCTGTTCACTGTAGGCATCTTGAAATCATAACATGGTGAGAGCTATGTAGACTCTTGCTGCTGTTTTAATGATCGATGCAAATTGAGATGAACTTTTCGACCTTTTGCAGGCACCACTCCTGAATCGTTACCCGTCCGGTTTGTCTGTTACCGGAATCTCCTACGCGTTCGGTACGATCTTGATGGCAATCACTTCAATTTTCTCTGTATCCGATGGAGCAGATTGGGTTTTAACTTCCGCTGAATTTTACGCAGTCGTATACGCTGTAAGATACCCCAAAGCCCTTATCCTCGAACAGTGGAAAAGTTTAGACTTTTTTTTGAAATGGCATGGTGTTCCTCTCGTGCAGTTTTGATGCTCCCTTCTATACATATTGCTCTAAGTTGTAATCAATTTTTTCTCTTTATCCAGAGCAATTATAGGTTCTTGATTGAGTTCGACATTTGAAATGTGTGTTTAGGGTGTTATTGCATCAGCATTGAACTACGGCCTTATGACATGGTCGAATAAGATATTGGGGCCTTCACTGGTAGCACTTTACATGCCGCTCCAACCTTTGGCTTCCTCCCTTCTTTCTCGGATAGTGCTGGGGAGTTCCATATACCTTGGAAGGTACTCGTTCTTAACCTACAACGTGGACTGAAATAGGGATGCTAGTTGCTGTTCTCTTTCCTCCTCTCGATTCTGACAGTGCAATCGGCCTGTAAAGTTTCCTTTGACCATATGTAAAGACCAACTACTACACATATATAGTAGTTAGATATATGTAGTCATATGAAGCTAATACATGTGTCTAGTATCGGTTGCTCATTCTGCGAACTGTCACGATCTACGTGGGAGAAATGTCAAACTTATGGCACGCGAGCCGCAGTATCACTATGTTTTCTTGACCAGGGGAGGAGCAAGTATTCCAATCAGCACTCTGCTTCGATTTGTCCACGAAGTATCTAGGTGCTATTTATTCAAGATGTTCTTTTTTCTTAAATCTTTCAAATGTTTTCTCTAACGCATATGACCAACTTTCTTTCCTATCAGTATTCTGGGCGGTATCTGCATCCTTACGGGTCTGTACTTGGTCACGTGGGGTCGCAAAGAAGCTGAGCGGTTGGGCCCACCGTACCGACGGGTTGGAAGTCTTCCTGAATACTACAAGGGCGAGCCGTCAATTAGCATCAGTGATCCTCTGCTCAAGGTGCTTGGCCAGAGATCATTCTCACATTCATCAGGCCCTCCTCAACCTCTTTCTCATCTTTGGGCGGACACTCTGTAATTTAGCCATTCTACAATTCACCCATTTGTCATTAACGATCATGATTTGGGCTACTGTGTACAAACAACAAGGTGCATCCTAATAACGTCTTAGCTTCTGCCAGGATTCAAATTAAAGTCTTAAATTCAGGATGGAGAAGATGGATGTTGCCCAATATAATCAAGCTATATTTTAAACACCTCATGAAGGGAGCAAGCGATGGAACAATATTCAGCTGATCTTCTTAGATACCCGAAAATGATATAACTCGTGTTTCAAAGTGTACCATGTTCAACTAGTCATAGCATCAAATTTCATTATAGATGTCGAAGAAATTAAGAAAGCCAAGAGTCGGTGGAATTTGAGGCTAGCCGGCATCCCATTTAGGGCATCCACGAAGAATTGTGCTTATAGAATGTACCAGACTGCAGTGGAATTTGTGCTTCCTCGGCTTAGAATCTTTACGGATACCCATTCCGGATTCCTTGAATTTAATATGGGGCTTCGGTAGCAGGTTACATGTATCACGTAGTGGTAAGCCATTGGTACGATTCTATCATCCTTAGTGTTAGTTAGATGTCAGCTTATGGGTATCATACATGTGGGATTGGTTTCGAAGGACTCAGTCTAGAGAGTTTGCATGTTTGTGAAGATGAAGTGTTAGGCTCATAATTGCGTTCTCAAGGAGCATAGTAGTGCAGTGTTACTTCTAGCCACTTCGAACCGAGTTTGCAACTGAAGCTTGTCAATGGGATATCATGGGGCTAATCCGTGTCGCAATGCCCCAGGTCGGTGCATGAACACGTAGGCTACAAATGTGCATATGCTCGAATCTAATCCTCTTCGTTGTGTGGGAATGATTAGTTATTTAACTTGAAAGGGAAGTGCCGTGTGATTGTGGCAGTGAGCGGATTGGGGAGGTCTACAACTGGCATTCAGTTTTGGAAGGGTCTCTTTTTCCAGCAAACACGTTGATTTTTTGATGTGAAAGAGCACGTAGTCGCTCTGGGAACTTACTCTAGAACTTGGCAGCTCTCAACAACCCTTGTGTTCGGGATGCGGGATCTTCATTACACAACAGCAAATCCAGTCACCTGTTACTGGGTTTTAGTGATGGGTATGTAAAATACTTCCAACGCGCTTGCTGCTTGAACAGCCGAGCCCTATTGTGTGTACGATAATTTAGCTGGGCCCTTCCAAGGTGCAAAATCCTACACCTGCGTTGTCGTCTAGTCTCCCCATTATTGAAAGGGGAGCATTGACCTTGGTGATGACGGGAGAACGTCGGATGTCACCTCAAATCGGTCACGAGTCACACAGGGGACGGGTCGACTGACTCCGTATTGGTTATGGCTTTTCTGAGCCACTTTTCTACGTTTCTCTAGGTTTGTAAAAATATTCTTGTCCATTATGGACGTTGTCACGGATCTCCCAGGTCGTGGAGACCATGGATTAGGCTTGTCTATATGTTATTTTGGGTCAACTGACGCAAGTCGTTGTGCCCGTCTGTAACAGTGCATTTTCGACGTCTTCCACTTGCGGGTTTCGTTTACTTTCAATGAGTGCTTTGTTAGCCACTCGTCTTTGTTTTCTTTTGTTTGATTTCCTGGATAAGTTTTGTATCCTTGAGTCGTCCGGGTAGACTCTGCGTGGGCTTATGGTTTGAGGTGATGCACTGTGATGTGATCTAAGGCTGATTATTCATAGAAGCTGGAAACTTGACGCACACTGAGAACTTGATGCACACACTGTGAAGCGGCGATAAATGCACGCCGTCAATGATGTATCATTTCCTCAATCCGTTCAGGGCATATACTGGAGCGCCATCTTGGTAATGTATCGTTGTTCACTGCAACGCGAGCATACCTCGGCCACTGAGGAAAGATGCGCGCATTCAAAGCCATTTTTTTTTATTTGTTGAACGATTACATGTATTTCACAAAACGCGCAACTTTGATGATCCCATTACGAAGATTAGACATTCACGTAACACAAACCAATAGTTCTCTTCTCTACTTTAGCGCTGAAGACCACCGCAAACAATTCGGACAAGCTAGTCAGTTTCCTCCCTTCACAATCAAAAGATGAGGTCCAGAGTAAGCCAATATCAGTCATCCTCAGTAAAAGCAGAGTTATCTCGGAGTGTGTGGAAGGATAATCAACACGAGCTGTACGTACTATGAGATCTATAAGAGTACGGAAAGCATTCAAGTTAGTGAGAGACATTTTACTAACAGTCCTTTCACCATCCGTGAAGGCCTTTTCGCCACTCGGGGCACGATAGTAGAACCAAAATTGAATGGGGTTGACCCCATAGAGTCCCGGGGCCGTCCCGCAGCATAAACGCCCAAGTCTATATTTGTGAAACACATTCTTCTTATTCTTGTTTGGCAACAAATACGACGACGGTGTACAAGTGTACGAAAAGCAGTTAGAGAGCAAAACTGCAAAAGCGCCAACTAGTCATAATCCATCTTCCGGACAAAACTTATCGGACGAAAGCTTTCCATCGCTGCCGACATGTGGAACTTCTTCGTTTCTTCGCATTCATCCATCAGTTTTTTTGATGGTTGGTTGGGTATGAACGTGCACTTGGCTAATGACAGGAGCATGATCTGATGATCATGATGCGCTCCATGCTCTGAGGATCCTTCAGTCTTCGACCTAGAAGAACGAGTGTAAATTCACAATAGGATCCGAGCACTACTCGGCAGGAGCTCTTCCTGCAGATTTGACGTCTGGCGTAGTCAATTGTCGAAGGTTGTATTTCGCTAGCTCCTTGAAATCTTGTACGACTCCAATCGCACACGCCGTCTGTTGCCACTCAAACAAAACACGTTAGAAAGAAAACTCGCGGACAGATTTCGGAGAAATACTATCTAAATCACGAGGCACAGAAATCAAAGGGATACAACATTACCTTCACAACTTGCACGAGGATGGTCTTCTGAGGGTTACTCAAATCTACAGAATGGGGCTCTGGGACTAGCTTCGCGATTGCATTGATGAAGTCCATTTTCTTCAAGTTCGTGTTCGCCCGCGCTTCACAAACGACAGCAAACTGCAAATAATACGCGATGGAATTTTACATTAGACCTGGTCCGACAACCCCATCCAATCAATGCAACTCGAGAAATCCACCCACTGATCTACGACGGAAAACATGAGAGCAACACAGAAGCAGCAGTACGCATGCCACTGCCAAGCAGAAGAATCTCGGCAACGACTATGGACTTGGCATTTGTAAATCGAAGCATCCTTGCCTTGATGGACGGTTGATCAGCTGGAAAATGTCGCTGTATGAGAGGCTCTGCTACTTTGAGCATCTCGGCTGTAGAAGCATAGCACGTCAGCTCGACTGGCAACAGCCTCATGCAGTGCCTGGTTGGAAGACCACGGCCATCAGGATAACATCTTCTACTCGATGTATGCTGTCAGAAAGGGATGTGAGCATACCGATCGAGTATTTCTCTCAAGCCTACTTCAAAGGATCCCCTTCAGATAGTCCGGCAACACGATGGAACTGGGTCCAGAGTTTCCCTTTGACTGATAACACGAAATTGGAAAGAACAATCGGAATTTGGAGCTATACAGAAAAACAGGGGCACCTTCATTCACCTCGTTTTCGACTGCTTGGTTGAGGCGGCATCACGTACTATTGCTTCAGCAAGTTCCATCGGCCCTTTGGATTCGACAACGCCCTTTTTCACGTGCATGCGAACGAAGATGACACCATTGCAGCCGGTTTCATAGCCTACAAATCGAGCCTGCAATCAGAGACATTCCAAAGCTCATCGATACGCTGGGTGAATTTTTTTTTCCGATATGTACATCACTTACTACCGACTGTATCTCTGAATTGAACGATAGTATGTCATCCATCACACAAGTCTGTAATAAACAGGCACAGTGGTGCCGGCAACGGACGGACAGTCTGAGATTCGACGTACTGGATTCAAAATGTGCTTTCCAACAGTTGCAGAATTAGAATTGGGAGGTGGCGAGGTGTTCATTTCTTCAGCCGCAAGAAGATGCTCTTATTAACTATGGCAATCAATTTCGAAGATCACTATCAGCTCGATCGAGTTCCTACCAGCGATTAAGAAGATACAGCTGCTGGGATTGAGGGTTCTCTTGTGCAGGTTGTGGGGCATGTCGTAAGACATATCTCGACGGGGAATGATCCTGAAAGTTAGAACTGAGAGGAAAAACTAAAAATCCGACCTTCTTTTTGTCCCGCAACTCGCTGAGTTCGTCTGCGAGAAGTTCATCAAAGCTCCTGCTGGCATCTTTCACGGTTTTAGTTGCTGCTGCGCTTCCCTTGGGTTGGTCGCTCCCTTGCTTTTGTGGATCAGCTGCTGCTCTGGCAGACGCTTGTGCCTTGCCAGATTCATCAAGCCGTCTGGACTTGACCCACCCGAGAGTTTCACCGGCATCGTCTTCGGACTCATCTTCGTCTTCACCATCACCATCACCATCGGATGCGTCGCCTTCCTCTTCATCGTCGACCCCGGGTTCGGCTACCGCATCTGCTTCAGTGGTAGTCGACTCCTCCTTCGATTCCACAGCCTTTGCTTCATTCTCTAGAGATTCTCCAGCCTCCGCGATGAGGGTGGAGGGTTTAGCGGGCTCGGACGAGGTCCGAACTTCGGCTTTCTCGAAGAACTGCAGGATATAGCGCCATGAGTTAGAGGTTCGCCTTCTCCATCAGCTGCGCTATTGGTACCGACCGACCACAGGCAACATCCAATCGAAAATCTCGGTCACAACGAGACACATGACTCGCAGAAGAGTGAGCGAAAGCAATCTCGAGAGAGGTACGGAATTGAAATCCGTTTCGCTTTCGAGTGTTACTCTTACTAGGGAGAAAAAATTCCGAGCACCTCGGTGAAATGTGGAGGAGTGCAGTCTGCAAAGAGAAATTACCTGGTCTAGAAGACTGATTGCTTCCTTGATGCTTTGACGCTCCTTCCCGCCTACACAAGTTATGAGGAAACCTTGCACTCCTGATGAAATGGTCGACTTTTTCCCACCCTGCGTAAGAAAAGGAAAGAAAGCATCCTCTTTATCCTCCGACTCCAGGACCAACCCTCGAACTACAACCCATCGATGAGCAAGTGCAGTAGACGGTTCTTAGAGTACTTTTCCTCAAAACCCTGTCGAGGGTCGTGATTCTCGTGACCAGGGCAAACTCCCGATATTCCGGAAGTGCAGAAATATACGAAAAGAATTCTTGTTCATCATGTTCCCACCTTCTATAATGCGTGAGCACGAGTGCAACTTCCCCCATTGGGCACAGAATGGGGTCACACTAGGTTTGGGCAGTGAACCAGCCAGGGAGGTAACCACATCAAATCCGGCCTCAAAGCTTGCACCATTTCGAAACCTTCAGAGAATGCCCAAAGGAATGGCTCCTATCAGAAGATGAATATTTAATTCCAAAATTTCGATACGATGCACAAATTGGCACGAATCACAGAAACTCCTGCATCTCCATCTTCACAACATCAGCGGCAGAGAAGGGGAAGGAAACCCAGAAATCTGTGCACGAGCCCGTTTACGTACATGTTGCAAATACTTGGCGTGCCGCTTCTTCCTCTTATTACTTTTCCCCGAATTTTGATTCTCCCCGGCCATCGGTCGAAAAATCCTCGCTCGTATCAGGAGAACACCGCTGCTCGAGCAAGAGACGATTCCCGATTCAAAGCCTCCCTCGCTCACGCCATCGAAGTGCCGAGCATTCGAACCTCGGGCCCCCGCTGAATCCTGCGGTGCAGCTGGTAGCAGCTCCGGTTGGAGTTCGAGCCCTCACCACTGTTACTCGAACCACGACCAAACCATGGTCACTCACTGTCACCCGCCCTCATCTTGCACAGTCCGCACGACCGCAGTCCAGGGTAGTAGCACCAGCAGCAGTAGCTCTACCGCGACGGAGCCCTGCCTCCCAGTCAGGCCCGAATCGAACCACAGCACGACGAGCTCGCCGTAGCGCAATTCGACACTCCGGAGGGCGAACCATCGTGAACCTCGTTATCCTCATTAACCCGGTTAACATTTTCAACCTCGTTGCCCAGGTTAGAATGCTCGCTACTGCAGTCCTGTCGGAGCTCGCCCGAATCGAACCACAGCACGACGAGCTCGCCGTAGCACAAGTGGCCACTCCGGAGGGCGAACCATCGTTAGCCTCGTTATTCCCATAAGCGTCCGGTTAACACCATCAACCTCGTTGCCCAGGCAGGAGATCTCCCTACTGCAGTCTGGGTCGGAGCCTGCTCGCTCGCAACCCTCGACGTCCACCGCACCACGGCGGGCCCCAGGCGAGAATTCGGCCTCCCTACGTGGTTCCGGCGCACAGCGGACGCGGTGGAGGACCCGAAGAAGAGGGTGGGGCCCACGCGAGGGCTTTCGCGCTATCCGGAAAGGACCGTGCCTCGAGGGCGCTCTCTCTCTCTGTGTCTGTCTGTGTGTCTGGCGGGGACGAGGGGAGGGCAAGGGAGGGGATAGAGAAAGGGCAGGAAGGGAGAGGGGGGCGAGAGGGACGAGAACGGGTTCCAAACCCCCCGAGAGAGGTCGGTGGGTTTTTCCTGCAGGGTTTTGTGTTCGTCCAGGGCCATGGCGGGCCTCTGTAGCGCAGCCGGTCTCGGTGCAGCTCGGACCTGCGCCCCCGCACGCCTGCAGCAGCAGCAGCAGCAGCGCAATGGGCCGCATTTGGGCAGCGATTTCTTCCCATCTCCCATCTCCTTCGCGCGCTCGTCGGCGTTGTCGAGGAAGATAGTTCGTCGACAATTTGTGCGGAGCGAGCAGGGAATTCAATTCTCGCTCGGTCGGTATGGAGGCAAGTCGGGGAGCGATGGTTCCATCTGCGCAGGGCTGCGGTTGTGGTCTGTGGGGGAATGCCGCGCGGTGCCGAAGAATGCGAAGGAGTTCGACGACTACATCGACCCTGCGAACGCGGAGCCCTTGGAGGTGGAGGATGACGAGGAGGGGATTTCGAAATTCGAGAAGGTCGCGCAAGAGGCCGAGCGAGTTCGCAAGCTGCAGGAGGAAGAGTACACGAGGATGAAGCCCATTTTTCTGAAAGCTATAGGAATTGATCCCGAGGATTATAAGAGCGCGCAGGACCTTCAGGAGGAGGAAGAGGAAGAGGAACTGGCTCCTGAGGTGACCGGAGCCGGTGAGGATGACTTTTACAACGTCGTCAATCGAGCCGTCGCTTCCAAGAGGAAGCCGAAGCCATTAAACCTCAAGTCTGCTGCGGCGCGCAGTTTCCTCGACAGGGACGACGATGCATTGGATATCGTGAACGACATTGGCAAAGTCGTTTCTGAAGAAAGTGAAAGCGAACTGGAAGAAGAAGAAGAAGACATCGTAGGAATCGACGACGAAGAGGAGGACGAGGAAGACGATGAGGAGGAGGAGGAGGAGAGTATTGAGTTGGGTGATTTCGCGGACGAATTAGATGAGCTCGGGCTGGACGATTTTGACGAATTTGATTCTGATCTTCTGGATGATGAATTCAAACCACCGGTGTACAAAATGACTCTGGCTGAGCTTTTAGACGAGGCAAAAGTTACTCCGTTGTCTGTAGAAGGAGATTTGGACGTGGAAATTACTGGCATCCAGCACGATTCGAGAGAGATCAGTACAGGGGACATGTTCGTGTGCTGCATTGGTCACTCTTCAGATGGCCACCTTTACTCGTCCGAGGCAGTCGAGAGGGGTGCATCGGTGCTCGTTGTGAGCAAGGAAGTCACTCTGAACAAGAGTGTCAGGGCTTTGGTTATCGTTGAGGACACCAACTCCATTCTATCCGCGCTTGCAGGGGCTTTCTATGGACACCCCTCTCAAAAGTTGTCCGTGATCGGGTTGACTGGAACCAACGGGAAAACCACAACCTCATATCTTATCCGAAGCATGTACGAAGCTATGGGCCTCACTACTGGTCTGCTCGGGACTATTGCTTACTACATCAACAACAGGACGAAGCTGGACGCACCCAACACGACTCCAGATGCCGTCTATCTCCAGCAGCTGATGGCAAAAATGGTTAGTAGCGGTACAGAAGCCTGTGTCATGGAGGTTTCGTCACACGCATTGACTCTGGACAGGTGCAAGGAGGTGGACTTCGATGTTGCTGTGTTCACGAATTTGACCAGGGATCATATGGACTTTCACAAGGACGAAGAGGAGTACAGGGCCGCAAAGGGCAGGCTTTTTGCTAAAATGGTCGACCCTGAGAAACACAGGAAGGTTGTAAATATTGATGACCCAAATTCTTCTTATTTCGTGGCTCAAGGTAACCCTGCGGTTCCAGTGGTGACTTTTGGACTGGAGAATACAGACGCCGATGTGTATCCTCTGGAGGTTCAGCTTTCTCTATTCGAGACTGAGTTGTTGGTCAGAACACCCAAGGGCAATGTGGAGATTTCCTCAGGTCTTCTCGGGAGGCATAATGTGTACAACATTCTGGCTGCCGTTGCTGTCGGAGTTGCGGTTGAGGCCCCGCTAGAACATATCGTGAGGGGAATAGAGGAGGTGGATGCCGTTCCCGGTCGGTGTGAACTCATAGACGAGGAACAAGCTTTTGCAGTTATTGTAGATTATGCACATACACCCGATGCGCTTTCCAGGTTACTGGACACTGTAAGAGAGTGCGGAGCCAGGCGGATCATTACAGGTAATGGACACGTTTAGAGCCTTTCAATTTACGCCAACATTAATTCTGCGCAGTTACATTCCCAATCTGTATCTGCTGGTCTTCAAGTTTCAATCCAGCCTATGCCTTGTTATTATATTTCTGATTTTAGATGATTTCTCTTTGGCTTGTACTCTCCCTTGTCTCTCTCAGCATTTTATTTATGTCAGAAAGTGGATTGCAGTGGTTGGTTGTGGAGGTGACAGGGACAAAGGGAAGCGTCCCATAATGGCAAAGATAGCCACTGATAAAAGCGACGTGTGCATCTTCACTGCGGACAATCCTAGATCCGAGGATCCTCGTGAGTGATCACTGACAGTACCTTTCAGAAGACGTTGGCCACTATGATTTTGCCCGATTTTTCTCTACGCTGATCATTATCTTTCAATTGGTCTGTTCGGTTTACTGTAGCCTGTTACTTCTCTTCCTTTCCTTGTCGACAATGCCTTTCTCTTCTTCGACTTTTCTTCAGAATCCGCCGCCCGGTGTAGAAACACTTGGTATCCTCTGACGAAGCAGCTGAGTCTACTTTAGGGGAACATGATTCTTCCCGTTCAAATGTTGTTGATGGTCACTGCAAGACTTTCTCTCGTCAGACCAGTTCCTCGATACTGCACATTTAGTTCTACCAGCACTGTCAGTACGATAGCTGGTCTTCTCGCTGCCTTCCATATTCCACAAATCATCTGCTCCTTGGCTTCTTTCACTTGAGCATTCCTTTCTTTTTCTTTCACTCACTTTTCAGTTCATGCATGAAGGTCTCACTTTCTCTGTCATCTTCGTCATGTTTCCTTGCCATCTAGCATCAATCATTGGCGCCCTTTTAGACGTACCACCTAGATATGAGCTGCGTCGGTCCATTGCACGCTAAACCCCCAAAGTTCATCATTGTCTATCTTATCTGTATACTTTGACTGCAAGCTGAACCACAGAAAGTTTTGTTCTACTTTCAGGTTTTGATGGATTCGTTCTGATTCCTACATATCTGCTGGACTGCAGTGGATATTTTGGATGATATGTTGGCAGGAGTAGGTTGGTCCATGGAGGAGTACCTGAAGTGGGGAGAAAGTGATTATTATCCTCCTCTCCCGAATGGAAATAGGTTATTCGTGTATGACATCCGAACGATTGCCGTGCGTGCTGGTGTTGCAATGGGAGAAGAAGGTGATGCAGTGGTAAGTTCAAATTCAAGCCATTAAGATATTTTCCTCCGGAGATTATCAGACTGTAGGAACACGCATCGTCGAAGAACGTCTCTTACACCTTCGGCACGCAAAGTCCAGAATGTTAGTATCCAGGATGAAAGAAACCTGGCTATTACATTTGAAGACGAGGTTGGAGCCTCAGCACTGCGGGATGCGTAGTCATCACGTCGTAGGGAAGTTCAAGATAGTGGAGAGTAACTTCTTGCTGTTTTGCATCCAGGTCATTGCCGGTAAAGGACATGAAACATACCAAATTATTGGAACAGAGAAAGAGTACTTCGATGACCGAGAAGAGTGTCGCGAAGCCTTGCAACACATGGATGCTCTTCATGCTGCTGGTGTAGATACTAGTGAATTCCCATGGAGGTAAGTAACTCACTCAGGACCTTCTAATGTCCTCGATCGAGTAGATGCTTTGCATGCCAGATGAGATTTGGATTAAATCAAGTCCGCCCAAAGAGGTTATCTTAGGTTCTCATTCCGGGCAACTTGCATGTCCTTTTATGTTACATTGTTGTAGCTGTGGAGGAGCAAACTGTGTTTTGATGTACATGATGTCTGAGATTCTTCAGGTCAGACAGATGAAAGTACTTCTCTCCATGCTGGTAGTTGTTTTGCATGCTATTGCTGTATCAACAGGTTACACCCTTGTCATGGATGTCACGTACATGCCGCCTGAGACTCAAACTGTTCAGAGTGTTAAACTGATGTGATGATTCTGACAGGGTACTGGAGAGCACTTGAGCATGTCACGGAAAGAATTCGAACATAGTACCTCTGAGAAGACAGGTGGACTCGCATCGTGGAATGGCAATTCTGAATATCCCCACTCAAGGGAAGTTTGTAGAGGATCGTCGCTGACTCTTCTACTTCCAAGCGACGGTCTTCCCATCTGTCTGACGAGCTTTGCGAAGCACTGGCTGCTGGGCCAAAGCTCTACGGTTCCGCTTGTCATCGGTATAGTTGGCGGGACCTTGCATGAATTGAATCAGTCAAATTGCTTACAGACAGATTGGTTTCTACCGAGATGCTGTGTAGGCTGCCCTTTGTGCAGTTTGTATGAAGGGGCTATTTTTTTGTACTCGTAGTTTTTCAAGGCGACTTGTGCTGCTGAGTCAATCAGAAGAGTTATACAGTTATACGGTCACAGGGGTGTGAAATCAGGATTAAAGCTAAAGTCTAGGTCTCATTATCAATTAGGACTCCCAAGGCTTGGTATCAATGTACGCACCGAGAGGTAGCATTTCTTCATTTCTTCATGGAGCAGGAACCGGAAGACATATGTACACTGTATTTCAGAGGTTCAACTCCAAGATATTGGTTTCAAGCCCTCGGAGTTTGTCTTTACATGATCAAGAATTCGAAGTCCATTATCTTTCCCGACAAGGCGCGTGACTGATTAATCTCTTGTAATGGATTTGTCTGCATGGCCATGTGATCGATAAGAAATATAGTTGTATTTTTTTTTGTCGGGACTAAGAAGATTCACAATGTGTTGTAACATCTACTTGTGTTGGCTATGAGAGGTTTTTTTCGTGAATGTGTAACTTCACTCATGGAGATGGATTTACAGGAGGCAATGATGCAGTATAGAGTTCATATCATGGCATCAGCAGAAAGGAAAGGCGAAGAATTTTTGCATTGATTGATTTTATTTCCTGGGTCTTTATCAATTGCATTGCATCATCTTTTGTGCACTTTTAATTATACCGAAGATTTATTCAGTGGGTGAAAGGTAAAGCTCTGAATTTTGCCATTACAGTGTGTTCTGCTTATCTTTTCGAAAGTATTATTATTGATAATGCCTTTTCTCTAAATTAGTGGTGATTAGAGTTTGCCACAGTAAAATATCTAGGATTTGGATACTTAGTGTTGTCTAGGCATCTGTTACAATTATTCTGCATCGATTGCAGAATGTGACAATTGTTGAGTGTACAATGTGTACACATACGATTTATTTTCAATTTACTGAGTGAATTTGGGGTATATTTGTTGGGGTATGTTTTTTACATTGTGACGTTTAATGAGGTTAAATATTATTATTTTTTACATGTGCAGTGTTGATGGAATCGATTATGTAAATTTCCAATTTTTCATACTCCATTTGAGTAGTGTACTTGTGAGTCAGATTTTGAAAAGTATAGTTAGGAAAACAGTTCACAAATAAGTTTTTTGTAACAAGAAAATTATTCTATTTCGATTGGAGTTGATACAGACCAAATGGAATTGGAAATATTGTACATGTATTGTACATTGCATTCGCTTCACCTTTAATTTGCCCGGGTGGAAGGGTTGCTTCTGGCTATCTTAACATCGTCGACTTCTAATCTTAGCTAGGTAGTTTAACAACTAGTTTTCACTGATCGATCAAATTATGTTGTAAATCTAGATTTCTAAGTCCCAGCTTCTAGTGGCGACGATGCGGCAGGCGGATATTGTGTCGACAAATTTAGTGGTGAAGAAATCCGAAGACTGGTCCGTGGAACAACAGCTGCTCGGTGACGATCATCGAAAAGAACCCAATCATTGCTGCTCGTCCATTCCACCTCTCGGCCTTGGCGTTGAAGGGGCCAAATGCTCTGCCGCGACAACCGTCAAACGATCAGCATCATTAAAAGTGTATCGACCAATTCGCATGAATTTATCTAACTCTATATATATACAGACAAATCAACTAGCCTATCGCAGTGATGTTGAAAGTAGGAGTCATACCTGCTATCTGGAGACTCGTTCCACCCGAAAATAGGCACAAAGGATGCTCCGATGAAAATTGGAGCAACCGCCAGAAACCATAATAAACCGGTGCTGTTCACAACCTGTACGACAGATGCAAAAATGAGTATAATAGAAATGTTTGTGTGAGTGTTCAATCTCACAGGCGACATTATCTCTCCGATTCCTACTCTGAAATGTCTAGAAGACACAGAAGTGACTTTTGAATGGCTCTTCTAGAGGAACTGATTGATCGATCAATGAGGCTGCGTAATAAACGATAAAACAACAATGATGCAGCCACGAGGTCTAGAAGGAAGCGAGGGTTGGGAATCAAATGTGATCTGACCTGTTGGACGATGCTCTGGCCAGTCATGACCTCCGCAGCGAAAGCCCACGTAATACCGAGCATGGCTAGCCTTCCGTTGATGGTCTCGGGTGCAGGTCCGTCGAACTTCATCACACTAACGAAGTCCGTGTTGCCAAGTTCCGGTCGGCGCTCGCTCTCAGGGCGAGCGAATTTGCCCGCAGCCGTGTTGTCGAACACGCGCAGAGGCTCCTCCTGCTCATTCTTCTTCACTTGCTCTTCGGTGATCTCCACCTTCGTGCCAGGCTGCGGCAATGCGCATCAAAACCACGTTAGCTGGATCAGATCAGATCAATCAACTCCATACATACGATCGAGCTGCAGGAACTGAAGCAGTTGGACACCAGAGCCACTTACGAGGGGCACATTTTGTTGCTCCTGCTGTCGGGAGGCACGGACGCTCAGCCTTCCCACGGATCTGAATTGTCTCCTTACGCTCAGTTGAGGCCCGAGCCCATGCACATTCAGCTGGTTGCCGATCTTCCCGGTACCACGCAAACTCGCAGCGGTGACGCTGGGAACATTGCAGATGACGGCTGACAGTGATGCCATATCTCCTACCGAGAATATATCACACCTCACTGAAGCTTGAAAGTGCTATCGGATCAGCAACGTGGTGCGGTGGCTATGTACAGCAGCTATTCACAGAATACGAAGACTATTGAGAAATTTGTAGGAGGGTTGAAGTCTACTGCAGCAGAAGTATGACGTGAAAGATTGAACGAGGCTTGATGAGATCCAGATCTCGTCGGCGGTTTAAGTACTGGCAAGGGTTTGAGAAGGGAGACGACAGGTGCCGGAGTTGCAGAAGGGCTGCGGTGGCCATGCCACGTCGGGGTCCACATGTCGCGCACGCTATGCTGAGAGAACGAGTGGGCTTCGCAGTTCTCGTACCGATACGTGCCGCCGACTCCGCACGCTCCATCGATTTGTGGCCCTTCTGTGTCTGAGCTTGGCACTCGCTTGCCGTTCCAAGTCCTCTCTTCGAGCCCGGTGAGCATCCGAATCCAGACCCAGTGCTAATGAGATTTGCTACGTTACACTTTTGTCGTAGTAAGTGCTGATCTGTAAATCACCATATAGTTTCTTTCAAATTTCATTTGGTCATCTTCTCTACCGAGCAGAAACTGGTTTCATGAGACTTGAGACCAGTTTTCATGAGAGCTCATTATTTTTTATGAAAGTTCATGGTACATCATCGACCTGATAACTTGGACTAAGGCAGCAAGACGAGCATGACGGCTGCCTGGGAATCTTTGTTCGAGATCCGAATCTGAGTATTTCGTCATTGAGCCGTCTACTTGACATTTTGCTATCACATGTCCAGTCTCCATGTTTCGTCCAGATGTCTCTGTGGTTAATAATATCTCCAGAGGGCACAAGCATGGAGTTAAGCAAATCTACAATGTAGACAAGCAGATACTGCGGATGTACCTGCTTAGCTACGGGGCTTGCAGGTGGTTTGGAGTCGTGGATGTTATCGTGTTCTAAATCGAGTGCGTGGGATGCTTCGGAAGGGACTAACTAATCTGCGAATTTGATTTCTGTCGAAGTACATCGGCACCTCACCTTCTCCCGTTGTTGCTCCCCGAGTACGACACCGCAAACACGTTGAAAAACTGGCAACTTCCCATAGGAACGCAATGGACGCGGAATCTTCCATGTCAGATGCAACAAGCGTCGGTATGCGTTGGAATCTGAAGCTGAAGTGAATTTAGATGAACGTCGATGATAATATTCATTTAATGACGATGATATTGATTCAGAAATATACAGATCATAATCACAGTATTTTTCTATTTTTCTGTAGAGAAAGTTAGTTAAAATAATTTGTGTCTGCTTACTTTTATTTTAGTGTAAAACTGTTGGTCGGTTTTTATATTTGTTTTCAAAGTATTTTTGAATGTCAATTTATTAGTTGTTGCCTTTTACGTACGGATTTTAGAAGAGTAAGTTGTGTATATATTCAGCTAGATATATACCGGTAATTTGTTTATATTTAATTTCTCTTCGATCAGTTTTCGTAATATTTTAAATTTTGATTATGTCGTCAAGATTATCATGATGCAGAACGTTACTTTTTTCGCTTATATTTCCCACTCAGAACGGTTTCTGACATAAAAAAACTTTCATGACAATGTTTTCCATTCATTAGGATTCACTGCTGCATTGTACACATTGCCAGATGTACATTTTACATAGTAACTCCAAAAATTGGGTACACAGTCCACGACAGAGTTAAGTGAAGTAATTTACGTTTATGTATACATTTTAGATAAAATGCTGCGTCTTGTACAGAGAAGATAATATTCCTATGAATATGTTACATATTCTACACTTCATTTTTCCTTACACTACAAACCTGAGACATAAGGCGCAACTTTTGAGCACAGCGTTTTACCGAACTTCAGTTTCTAACTTTACTGTCTCTTCTGAAGTTGTTCCTAGACCCGGGCATACCAATAAATTAAGGAGTAATGCTATCATTTCAACTTCCTACGCCTTCCACAGCTTAATTTAGGTGCAAAAATGTCGACAAATTTAATGGTGGAGGAATCCGAAGAGGGGTCCGTGGACCAGCAGCTGCTCGGCCACTATCAAAGAAAAGAATCCAATCATTGCAGCTCGTCCGTTCCATCGCTCGGCCTTGGCGTTGAAAGGTCCGAACTTCCTGAACAGCACCAATCCAACCCGTCCACACAAAATGAGATCAAGGTTCATGACAAAGCTGAGACAATTCATCATCAGATGAAAGACAACAGAATGCACAACGACTGAAATCAAGGATAACTAGAATCAGTAACCGACCATACAGTTGATCCAGCATGCAGGGCCAAGAGAATGTCACCTGCTGTCTGGAGACTCGTTCCACCCAAAGATGGGCACGAACGATGCCCAAATGAACACTGGTGCCACTGCCAAAAACCAAAGCAGTCCGGTCCCGTTCACCACCTGCAGAAATGATTGAAGATTCAAAGATTTAAGAGCACAGCCATGATCAAAACAATCACCCAGTGAAGGCAACTCGCCGGCTTCATTTCGTAATTTGTCCTATGAATTGAATTTCGCTTCGCCTTAGTACAGAAACAGATCAGGTACCTGCTGCACGACGCTGTGGCCAGTCATAATCTCGGCGGCGAAAGCCCAGGTGATGCCCAGCATGGCCAGTCGTCCATTGATGGTCTCAGGGGCAGGGCCATCGAACCTCATCACGCTGACGAAGTCCGTGTTGCCCATCTCCGGGCGACGCTCGCTCTCGGGGCGGGCGAATTTGCCCGCCGCCGTGTTGTCGAAAACTCTCAGAGGCTCTTCCTGCTCGTTCTTCTTCACTTGCTCCTCCGTGATCTCCACCTTCGTTCCGGCCTGCACCCAAGGACCCCCACCGTCAGTACCTACCTCATCGATCTCACGTGACGATGAATCGGCCTCCTTCCAACACTAAGAAGACGATGCAATGGAGCGTGCGTGTGAAATCATAAGCCAGATCATAAGAGTCGATGACCCACCAGAGGCACATCTTCCTTTCGTTGCTGCTGGGAAGCTCTCACGATGAAGCTGCTGGAATTGCCGGAATGTCGCCTCATGCTCAGCTGGGGGACGCCCTGTACACCGATCTGGCTACCGATCTTACTGCCACTCTTGAACATGGCAACAGAGGGGCTGACAACACTGCAACCGACAACGCTCGCCATTGCCATTTTTCCTGTCGATGTGCTGAGTGAGATGAGTGAATTCCTGCTGAGTCTGTTCTCAAGTGATCTATGTTCTATGTTCGAATATTTGCAGATGTGTATCTTTCTCGATATTGAGCTACGTAAGATATGGTTGTGAGGGAAGGACAGTGTTTATATAGCGGCAGGAGTCGAAGACTGAGCAGACATCTGCTTGTCGACTCGAGCTCGTCCTGCCACGTTCCGAGCCACTTGTCGAAGATCGAGTGAATGGAGCTATGGAGGAGTGGTTCAGTCCGAATGGGGCTACAAACGACGTATCTCGCATTTCTACCTGAAGGAAATCACGAGATGTAGACATAGACCCTAGATACTAATTGTGGTCATGTCATCGAGACAGGACTGATGTTCTCGACTCCTGTCTCGCTTCTGTATGGAGTGGAGGGAGATCATGATCTCAGGGCTACTTCTCTGCCATCAGTCCCATTCTCCAGGAGCGAGCGTGAGCCTGTGCATGGCCAGCCCTCAAATGTACACGGAGTCCATGTCGTTCACCTTGCGAGGTAATTTGTCGTTGGTTACGGTTACTATGGGAGAAAAAAAGAAAGGAACGTAAACCTCATGCCCAGGGAAAGGAACTGGATCAAGTTTTACTTTGACGCCCAGGTAATTCTGACGCCATTCTGACGCCATTGCCATCTGTGAGTCTGTGGACTGTCGCACAGATATACCGTCAGTTTCATGGAAACTCTTGCTTGGAGCAAAACCTGTGCTGTCATCGAATAATCGCGTCCATTGTGTTGTCTTGCCAGAGCTTCTCCTGATCATCCCCCAGGGAATACAACTTGCTCCTTCGTTCCGACCTTCGAAACTTGCTTCCTCCTTCCCCTGACGTTCATGCGGTCCGGGAGGTCTAAGAGGGCCACTGATTTGGGACGAAGCGTTTGTAACGAGAGTCTACTCCAGAGCATCCTTGAACTCATTTTGGGAACTCGTTGTGCTAGAGCACTGCGCTGCAAGGAGAAGACTCTCTTCGATACCAGGGACGTAAGCTTACATTGAGCTACGTGGACCACTGACAGCTGATCGAGCTGTCCAATGCTGAATGAAATGGTAAATTGAACCGGACTTTAAATATTGGAAATCGTGTGGGATGACTGGAGAGAGGGGACCACATCGAGGAGCCTCAAGAGGTGGCCTCACTAAGATTTGCTTGGAGTCAAATTCAAAAAAAGTTCACGATGACTTCACGATGCCCTTCTTCATTTCCTAGTCCCCGCAGACTGCAGATCTCCCAACTCCCATCCGAGTGCGTCACCACTGCAAGCCAAAGAAGAGCCATGATCTTCAATGAACTCAAGCCAGGAACTGAGCTTAAAGTTATTTAATGAATTTGGCGTTCTGCTATCAGTAAAAGAGCCCCTCCTTTTCATCCGGTCATCCCGCTTGAAAGCGGGTTGATGACCGGATCACGCGTAGGAAATGATCATGGACTTTAACTGAGTAGCCACGCAAACCAGGTAGTCAGGTCAGGTCATCGGCACTCCCACGTGGCCGGCGACCGGATGCCCCGGTTCAGTAACCGGAGCAAGTCCACTGCCCGATGAGGTAGAACGTTTTGTTCGACACGAAAATAAATTTCTGGCTTTCTTGCTCCCTATGCCCATCAAACTAGATTCGGTTTATTGCAAGGTAGTGCGCACTTTGCGTAATGTTCAAAAATTTGGCATCAGGGGCGAGGGCGAATAAGCTGAAGTAAATCTGTGTGTGTGTCCCCAAAAGGTCAGGCATGAGTAACATTTTCTCAATTTCTCTGCAAAGTTTTTGAGCAAAATTATTTTTAAGGTGTTTAGTCAGTTTTCGAACTGTCGATTGTCTGTCTACCTGAGGCCAACATTTTCTGCACCTAGACCAGACCATAACCATCAGCAGCTACCTAACCCCACCCATGATATTCAAATTACGCGAATTCTTGGTTGGATCTTGACAAACCCTGCCCTTCGCATTACTTGTGCCCACTCATGGAAAAATAATGTCACCCAAAACCAACCTAAAACCCATGGGCATGGGTGCGTTTGGGCATGGGCATCCAATGTTGGACTCTGTTGTCTACCAACCTTTTTTTTTTAAGTTGTAAATGGTAATAGACCAAGCCCGGGGGACCCAAAGGGTCAAAAGGCTCAAGTTTAGAGTTAATATTGTTTTGTTAGTTTTAGTAAATGTTGGCGGACGCCTGTTTGTTGGTTGATCATTCAGTATACTCCTCTTTACGCAGTGCATATTCAGTAAAATATGCACTGAATATTATCCACGAGATTTCGTCGCGTGAGCTGTGATGTTTATGAAACACCTTTGGCTTCAGTAAATTTAGTGACGGCCCGAATTTTTCGCTATCTCTAGGACTCGTTCGTCCGCTGGAACGAGTCCCTGGGTACTGGACAACACTGTGGTCAGTCTGATCTCCGAGCGTGCCGCAGCTGAGCATCGGTCGCCATCTCGGGTTCCGGCCTCGTTAAGGCGCAGCTGCTCGACATGAAGCATCATTGCCATGCTGGTGATTTCATAATACTTAAAGATGATCAAATAATGCTGATTTGATTGAATGATATTTCCTATCATGATGTTGCAAGAATTCGTGCAGTGAGCTTCGTAGATCTGGACACGTCGAGAGTGCACGTACTGGATGTCGACCCGACAAGGTTGCAATGCTATGCTCGGACTACACTCAGAAAGGGAGCTGCTCGATTTCGCCACGTTACCAAGGGAGCCACTTGTCACTCGAGAGCCTTCCTATTGATGGGCGAAGTAATGGGCGGCTTGAATGCTCTTGTCGGCTGGCCCTCCCTCGCCGAGGCATCCATCCCTTCACTGATGCCTAAATCTCTCCATATAGATCTGTTGGAGAGTCGGTAGTCGTGCTGTGATGCGATCCAACCGAACCCGACCCCTTGATCTTCGAATTGTTTGTTGGACCTTTATCTCGTGAGCTTCGAAATTCAGCTCAGGACATTCGCTTTGACTCTCTAAATCGAGTAGTAGTTTTACATGTTATCCTCGGAAGGGATAACATTCCAACTACTACGAGGTGCGAGGATAAAACTGCAAATCCAGAATATGGTTGCAGTCGAAACGTTGTCATGTGTTTCTCTGACGATGTACTTGACGAGCGACGTGTCGGGCTAGTATCCCAGCATCATCAAGCTGTGAACACGCGTGTCGATCTGCAGGACTAAATCGAAGTCGCTCGAGTCTTCGCGCTAAATTTGTCATGTTCGGTACTGAATCTGAGACCGGAAGTTGACCTTCTAAACATACTTTCAAAAGTACACTAAGCACATCGCCACCGCCTGCACACGTCAAGGTCGGATTCTAAATAACCTCGCCCACAATCCATCTTTCCTCCCTATATGGAATAATGATTTGTTTCCGGGACCGCCTTACTCCGTAACGATAGATTGAACATATAATTTGAGCCTTTCGCCCTTCATCAGGTTGCAAACAGGTTGGAACAATTATCAGGCGGCTACGATAGCGCTTACTTGTCATCTGTGTGAACACATTACATGATTCTGAGATCCATGTAGGCTCTGGCAAACGATTCGTATTTGGTACTTGGTGCCATGCAAGCCTCAAGTTCTGCGTCATCGAGGTCTTGCCGAGTGGCATTCGAGGTTTGGAGTCGGATCGGACACAGCGGGGTGGTCCATGCCCGATCTAGGAAATTGACAGCATGAACCTCGTCTCGTGTTGCAGGAATCAGAGCACTGCGATGTGTCGCTTCATGAACCTCAGCACGGAGGAATTCCTGCTGCTGTACACGTAGAAACGATGGGCGAGAACGAGAGGCCTCGTTCGGCGTCCACGGTCATGTGACAAGTGGCTGCTCACGTGGCAGGTGCCACGTGCTCGGCCTGCTCGCGCAGTCTTGCGTCGCCGTGGACTCCGGGGGCTCGACAGCATTCAAAAGCCCCACTCCCCCGCACACCTTCCCAACATTCGCAATCCATCAATTCTCACAGTCGAACTCAACGAAATTCACAAGGATTTTACATCTTTACACAATCTTTAGCTGTCAGTCAGTTCTCAGTCTCAGTGCAATAGTCGCATTGCAGTAGGATTTGCAGTACAGCACTCCAGACACTCTCAAGCTCCGAGATGGCCACGATGACCGCAATCAGTTGCAGTGCCTTGTCAGCCAATGCTGCAGCACTCGGTTCCAGTCGCAAAGTCGGTACTCTGCTTGGCGCCACCGGCTTGCCTCAGCTGAGCTTGAGGCGCAACCTCCGTTCCACTCCTCTGTTCGTCGTGCGTGCCTCCAAGCAGCAGCAGCAGAAGAACCAAGATGTTCCACTGGTAAGCAGGCCATTCCGTGCATCTTCATCTCTTTCAGCTGCAGGAAGCACAAATTACTCTGCCTATCGATTTTGAGGCGTAATGTGGCACCGAAATGGAACGTGGGATGTTTTTTAAGCCGGTTACGCTTTTTCTTATTTGGGGTTGTGTTGCAAAATTGTCGTACAGCCTGGAACGAAGGTGGAAATCACGGAGGAGCAGGTTAAGAAGAACGAGCAGGAAGAGCCTCTGAGAGTCTTCGACAACACGGCGGCGGGCAAGTTTGCCCGTCCCGAAAGCGAACGAAGGCCGGAGTTGGGCAACACCACTGCCGCCAGTGTCATGAAGTTCGACGGACCTGCACCAGAGACCATCAACGGCAGATTGGCCATGCTCGGAATCACCTGGGCCTTCGCCGCCGAAATCATGTCCGGCCAGAGCGTCGTGCAGCAGGTGACTACCATTTCCTAGCGAAACTTGGTAAATTTTATTGATTTTTGAGGTGAACGAAGCAGCAGCATCGGCTGATTGTTGTGACCTGTTTCTCATAATGGCATCGTGTGTGATCAGGTTGTGAACGGGACTGGACTGCTGTGGTTCTTGGCAGTGGCTCCTCTCTTTATCTGGGCGTCGCTTGTGCCGATGTTTGGATGGAACGAGTCCCCGGACAGCAGGGTGTTCGGACCTTTCAATGCCAAGGCTGAGCGTTGGAATGGCAGAGCTGCAATGATTGGATTCCTCTCCTTGATAGTGACAGAGCAACTGCTTGTCCACGGACCCCTTTTCGGATTCCTCCACCATTAAATTTGTCGACATTTCCGACATCGCCAATCTCCAATATCAATACCATGGCAAGTGGTTTTGACTTGCTAGGTAATTGATGGAGGGCTCTTTTCTTTTCTATCTCTCGACGCGTCTGTACAGATTAGGGAGATGAAAACCTCCGCAGCCAATATTGGCTCTGCTCGTAATGACAGAGGAAGGTACTCTGTTTGAGCTTGTATTCTACGAATCAGTGTTGTTTCAAGGCCAAATTGTACCATATGGACTCGCAATGCACAATAAAGGAATAATTGTTTTGCCAGCAACCCTGAATTAAAATGTTATTTTTATGTTTCCTCATTTGGCGTCATGAGAATGAGATTATTACTACGATGTATTTAAATTTGGTGAAGTCCGTCAAACATGTCGAAAAAGTATAATGGCTCTGTTTGCAACGTGGTAAAATTATATATGCTTAAAACAGAAGTCAAGTAGATCAATATATCTTACATTCATTACGATGAAAGAGCAAATTATGAAAATTAAACAATTCAATATACCCTAAATTAATATACGCAACCTATGTTAATAAAATTTTTGAATAGGAAGATATATATAATCAAAAAAATACAAGTGGAACACTTAAAGTATATAAAAATAACTACAACGTCAACAGATTGTACCGTCAATTTATAAAAACTTTTCTTCTGCTATGAATTAAAAATCATAACAGGCACGATAATACAAAAAAATCAACAGTGGGAAGAAACGAAAAAATTTTACTAAATCTTACAAAACTGACATGACATTTTTCTGCATCTTCTTTTCAAACCTACATTGGGATACTTCACGCACGAAATAATTGAAATGGGACGGGAGAAAAAAAAACCATTTTACAAAAAGGAATTATCATCTTCTCAATTTTCTCGACTCCCTCATCTTCCGTTGTCCTCACATAAAGTAGGTAATATCCATGTTACACAACCTTTTATCCGAAAAGAGGTATTCAATCATGCTGACTTCGCTCCGAATCTCCAACTCTTACGCTTCTCGATATTGTTTTATGTCATATTGCTTCAGTATAGGTTTCTCTTCTTTCCCATCAATAATATCCCATTCCATGTTACCTATTCTCCGTACTTTTAGTCATCCTTGAATTCTTCAGTGGAATCACTAAAAGCAGAGAATTTTAGGAAAGATGATCCGTTAATCTAGAGAACTCAATCGCATGTCATTCGTACACGTCCTGAAAACTGTACTCGATGCGTGATGATCGGCTAGTCAAGCTAGAGCTGTCTCGGAAAGAGATCTACAGATTTTCTTCCTGGATGTTCAGTTCATGCACATCGACGAAACGCAAAATGCTCCTCGTCGCGTCCTTATCGCCTTCCGATGATTCCAAAATCTCGAAGCAGCAGACAGCAGAGCAACAAGAACAGCTGAATGTGTGGAGATAGCCATCGAGCGTCTGCGACAGGCAGAGAGCCCCGCTAACATCGCGTAGAGGCAGCTGATGCCGCTAGATTTGGGACGGAGCAACGTGCATGGCCTCGGGGCCGACGGCTGGTCTGCTCGCTCGGCGACGTGTTGAATGTATGGCTGCGAACCCCCTAACAACACGGCACATGTTTCTCTCGTCTCCGCCTGTCTCCGTTCCGGCCTACTTAAACTCATGTTCGCTTCCTGTGAAACGCAGCTCAAGTTCTCTTTTTACCACTAGCCTAGAGCGTAATTTCTTCGACTCTCACACGAGCCTGATACCTGAAGACGACGTCTTTCTACTCACATTCTTACACCCTCGTCATCGTGTCTGTAATTTTTCACCCGATTCAGCAGAGAAGATGAGTTCGTGTGTAATGGCTGCGAGTGCAGTAAGTCGTGGACTTCCAGCTCTGGGTTCCAGTAAGACTCTCGGTCAGCAGACCCGTGCTCTGGGCCTGCCACAAATTGCTCTCAGACGTTCTACCCCCTCTTCGGCTGGGCTCCGTGTACGCGCCGCCAAGAAGGATGTCCCTCTGGTAAGTACCCTCAGAAAAATCAGCTCATGGGGCAGAGACGCTTAAAGCTGTCGCCAATGAGCACTTAGTCTGCACGCACTTGTGCGCTTCTAGAACTGCATTGCTGATTGTTTTGATGTGATAATCTAAAACTTTTAGGTCTCGTTTGCTTCAAAGAGGTTTAATTGTTGTCGAGGTGGTGAAAGTTTTCTCGAGTCGGTCTGAGGCAAAGATTGGATGTGGCTGTGCAGCCCGACACGAAGGTAGAGATAAGTGAGGAAGCAGTGAAGCGGAATGAGAAGGAGGAGCCGCTGCGCGTCTTCGACAACACGCCAGCAGGCAAGTTCGCGCGGCCTGAGAGCGAGCGCAGGCCAGAGATGGGCAACACCAACTTTTTTAGCGTCATGAGATTTGACGGACCAGCTCCCGAGACTATCAACGGAAGGCTAGCCATGCTTGGATTTACCTGGGCTGTGGCTGCTGAGGTGATGACGGGACAGAGCGTAGCGCAGCAGGTACGTTCATCATCTCTCCTATTGAAGCTCTGCAGACATGGCAGGATTTGTTGTTTCTCCGAGTCCATCTTCCTGAGATGGGAAGCATCTCGAAACCGAGGCTTATCCAGATGCTACATGTTGTCTTTCGCAGGTTGTTGATGGAACTGGAGGTTTTTGGTTTTTGGCAGTAGCTCCTATCTTGATTTTTGCATCTTTCGTGCCTATTTTCCGGTGGAACGAGTCACCAGACAGCAGGTAATATTCTTCATTGCCTCATCCATTCTCTTAGGTCCCTTATATGCTGCTTGTTTTTTCCTGGTACAGTCGAAGGAACCTTTTGCAGCAAATCAATTCTTCGTCATTACCAAGATCAAAGTAATATTGTGGAGTAGAGGAATTTTTACAAAGTTGTATCTGTATTTTGATTTTTCCTTGCAAGTCTGAAATTATGAGCTTAAAGCAGAAGTGATATGCAATATATGCCACTAATTCTTCTTCGTTGCTTTTTGAATATCGTAGGAAGTTTGGTCCTTTCAATGCTAAAGCTGAGAGATGGAACGGACGTGCGGCTATGATCGGATTTGCCTCGCTTTTACTCACCGAAAATCTGCTCATCCACGGACCCCTTTTTGGATTTCTCCATCAGTAGGTATTGTAGGAAAATCAGATATATATTATTTTGCAATCAAACAAGTCAATACAGATGAAATTTTGTAAATTTATTAAGCGGGGAGAAGGAAGTTACTTGGGCACTGGCCTGGTTATTATGAGGACTATTTTTACGAGTTCTTTTAATTTGAAGGTTGGAATTCTGCTAGTTGCATTACTTAGAAATACAGTTTAGTAACTTTAGATGTGAAAGTTTGTACTATCAATGCTTGGCTTTCGCGGCCATTGGAAAAATAAATTCTAATTTCAAACGAATTTCGTCCGCTTGTTTTGTACGCTGTACTTCTTTTAAAAAACTGTGTAACCTTCTTCACATGCTAGCTAAAAATACAAAACATAGCGTAGGAAGAATTCTAGTACTATACATGTGCTACAGCCTTCCCATCACGAAGAAACTGAAATTCGATAACTTTCAATGTCTACAACTTCGCAGCACCACAATGTTACTTTTCATAATCACTTCTTTTTGTAAATCTTAATCTAAAAGAAAAAATTATACATAAACAATATACATAGAAATTTATATACTCTTCTATTTATTACGATTGAGCAACCTCCTAATCCCAAGAGGGTGGAGAAAACAATAGCATATTCACCATCTCACATTGAATGAAAAAGTGAGATGGTAAAGTGAAGAGAAATCGAAGTGAAAAATAGATACTTACCTATTCAATACATATCTCAAACACTTGCAGCATGAACACGTAGACAACCATTACATTAGTGAGTATGAAAAATAACATAATATCTGCCACAACCTGTTGAGCAACGCTGTGTATCATTTTCATGTAAGTTTATCCCAAGACAAATTTCACCCTACGTCATAGTTGTCTCGTAATTGCAGCTGTGTATAGAAAACAATTGTGCGGTGAAAGAAATTTACGAGTGAATCTCGACACAATGTACAATGTACAAACTATCAATGCGTGCTGAGTCCAAGGTGGAAGAAAAACACAAAGGTGCTGTCACTGTAAGTGTTTGCAAATTGAAAATCTCAATATGCAATCTTCCAGCTGTCGACTGTCTAATGAGAAACAATATACTTGCCCAAAAAAAACTTCCAGCGTTTCAAAGTGCTGCATTGATTTGAGAGGGCATGTTCCATAGTCAAGAGCAGTTTCAGTATGAGCTGAGAAAACCGAAGCTAGGACGAGAACTACAGCATCACAAGTAGCACGTGAAGGGCAATCACTCCTGCTTGTACAGTAACATGCATAAAATCATATTGATCATTGATCGATTCCCTCTGGGGAATATCTAAGCTTTGAAGCCTGTGCCATACCTCAGCATTTAGCTGCAAACGATCACTTTAAACAAGTCAGACTTAGCCAAATGATCTTCCGTTGGGCATCCTCGCTTGCTCATTCAAAACAAGGAGCTCGCTCATCCAATTTGACCTCTTGAGTCTTACTCCTGAGAGAATGGCTGGGCGAATGGATCTCCGTTATATATCTGAATCAGGCTCCTCCGGCCTCGTGGATTCGTGAGTGTCATCAGGCACCAGCTTCGACCCGGAATCGTAGTCTTGACTCTCTGGTGTGCTGGTAGACTGTCGGAGGTCCAAAATCGTTCCTTTCGCGCGACCGAGGGGAGCCCTGGACGAGTCCATCTGCCTGGAGGGGCCGAGATGCGAGCTAGCACTGGCCTCGTACTCGTGCAGAAGGGAAGAATCAGAAGCGCGACTGAGCGCATGCGCAGTCTCGAGGCGGCCCACGATCTCAGCCATCGTCGGCCGGTCCTTGCCTTCGAGCCGCACGCACTGCTCGGCGACCTCGGCCACGATCTCGACGGCGGCGTTCTCGGCCTCCTCCGGTACGCGCACTCGCTCGTCCAGGATACTCAGTAGCTCGTCCGCTCGGATCGGGGGCACGGCGTAGTCCACCACGTTCACATTCGTCGGGCTGACCACAGTGAGCCCCGCCGCCAGCGTGTGGCGCCGGTGGATGGCCTTCTTGCCGGTCAGCAGCTCCATGAGCACCACGCCGAAGCTGTACACGTCGCTCTTCGTGGTCAGGTGCTGCAACCGGTAATACTCGGGGTCCATGTAGCCCAGCGTACCGGCGGCTCCGGTCGTCAGGTGCGAGTGCTCCTCGGACGGCGTGATCAGCGACAGTCCGAAGTCCGACACCCGCGCGTTCCACTTCGAATCCAGGAGAATATTCGCCGACTTGATGTCGCGGTGGATGATCTGCCTCCCGGCGTACGTGTGCAAGTACTCAATCCCCCGCGCGGCCTGCAGCGCCACCATGATCCGCGCCTGCATCCGAGAACCGCGTGAGTCAGCTACCGAGTGAGTACAGTACCAAAGTTTGCAAGCGACGAAGAACTGCGTCGGGGCGGACCTGCCACGAGGAGAGCGCGATGGACCGGTGCCGGTGAAGGTGGTCGTGGAGCGTGCCGTTCGACATGTACTCGTAGACGAGGAGGCGCTCGTCGTGGTCGTCGCAGAAGCCTACGAGGTTGACGAGGTGCTTGTGGTGCAGTCGCGACAGCACCTCGAGCTCGGCCTCGAAGGCAGACTCGTTCTCTTCGATCTTGCGGGCGCTGCTTCGGTCCGCGCGCTTGATGGCCACCACGCGCCCGTCGCCCAGAACCCCGCGGTACACGATGCCGAAGCTGCCGGCGCCGATGCGGTTCTCTTCCGCGAAGTCGCCGGTGGCCGCCGCCAGCGCCTCGAAGGCGAAGGCCTCGGCGGAATAGAGGAGCGGGCCCGACCCGATCTGGCTCCGCCGGCTTCGCGACTCGCCGGAGTCCTGCCGTGACGTCGCGCGAAAGTCCGGCAGAGCCATCCGCAGGTCATGCAGCCCCGCCGGCGTGCTCCTCGGCGGCCCCGGCCGGTTCATCCCCGGCGACGACTCGTCGTCCGGCGCCTCGCGGACGTCTCGCTCGTGGTACCGGTCCCCGAACCCGAAGGTGAAGTTCCACCAGCAGCGCATGCTCACCCCTCTCCGCCACACGCAGCAGAACAAGGCGATCGAGCCCATGATGAACCCCAGCCCTCCGATCACCGTGTCGGCGATCACGAGCGCCCTCCATTTACCGTGTAGCTCTGACGACGACGTCGACGACGAGCCCGGACTGTCGACCAGAAGCCTACGCAGTCGAAGGTCGCCGAGTTTCATCGACAGAAACCGCAGAAAGCGCCGCGGTTCTCCCGACCCTCCTCTCTTCGTTTCTTTCGCCCCGAGGCGATCGTCGAGAGACGACGCAAATCGGAATTCAAGGATGGAGACGTTAGATCGCCGCTCGCGATTTCGACACCGAGTTTCAAGAATTCGAGTTCTTCGCGATCCTCGAGGATTTCGTCGGTGCTCGACGAGCAGCTGCGTCTCCGACTCGATGCTCAGAGTCTTGCGATTGATCTTGGCGGTGTGCGCGGTGGAGCAAGCGAAGACTGAACTTTGAGTGGGAGATTTCCCTCTGAAGCTGAAGGATCCTGGGCTCTCCTCGCATCCCGCACCGATCAGCACGTCAATTTTTCTTGCTGATGAGTTGTAGGTGCAGTTGATCCAAATCGAGGGCTGCGAGCAAGGTCTTCGACGGGTTCCTCTCGTGAGAAGAATTCCTGCAGTGGTCGGATGACATTGTACCGATTGAAAAGTGCTTGACAGCCTGAGACTCGGTGTACATTGCAGATTGGAGCCTGGAAGTAGAGTTACGAAGCTCCAAAAATTTATGTACGCCACTTCGCTGTCGTGCATGCCCACGCATGTTAGTGTCAGCCTATTTACCTCTGGGCCCTTTGTGACCAAGCAGAAGAAGACGACGATTAGAAACGTACCAGAGATCAAACCCAACGACACACTAGCCCTCGAGTTCGCAGGATTCCTGTTCCTGTACCCAGGATCGAGCACCGCCCCGTTGCTTTCTTTCAAGAATACCGAGTCCATGGTGCAAAGGTCGACACCTGAATACACGATTCGGCCTCGATCTGTCTCCCTCGTTTCCTGCCCTCCCATCCCCTCGGATGCAACTGGCTCCTCGCCCATCGAGTTGTCGCTCCCGCCGTCACAGCAGGAGAATGGAAGGATTGCATGACTGCAAAACGATGAAGAGTTCGAACTAAGCACCGGCCGAAAGCTGCACCTCTGAACCTTTCATCGATTGATGGAAGTTGATGAGCTCGTCTGAGATCCCCTCCTTTGGATTTCGAACCAGATACGGGAGATGGGAAGCTCTCGCTTAAGCTCAGCTCAATGTTTGTGGCACAGACTGTGGGCTAGTCTTTACAAAACCTTGTATGGATTCCAACGAATTGACAGAGCAAGAAGCCAAGGTGGTCGTATGGGTGATCATTTTGAACGAGGGTTTATTGCAGGAGTAGTAGGAAGAGAAGTAGTCAATTTCACCTAAGTTCGTCTGTGTGCGTTATTGATCGTTTGCCGGTGCCACACTCATGCCCTTTCCTCCTCGTTGATGCTACCTTAAACGACCAAAAATCTGCATCTTCCTCCGTCTATTTCTCCAAATCGACTACTAGTCGTACGCTTTACCCACCTACGTATCGTTTGTAAATTCGTTTCTCCTTGATTTGAAATTTGTCCTGCAGATAACTTGAATATAATCAAGATATCAAGACTTCACCTCATGCTGCAATTCTCACGATCTCTTGATCGCTCGGTTCGTTGTATGTCCAGCGAAGTAGGAGAAGAGTCAAAACACAGACCTACAAGTCAAGCACGGAAGCTCGCCTAATCAGACATGAGCTTAGTCTTCGTAAAACAACTTCCGGGGCTTATTATTACTATTTTGATGCACGTAATGATTGACCTCTCTTCCTAACCTGGCCGTCGGTGCAGACATGAGATAAAAACCTTCATCTGCTCCGATTCAAGTGCTTCTGCACACGATTGGCATGATAACGTTCTGATGTGGTGATTGAGCGGCGGTGGGAATCTCTTTCCATTATTTTCCTCAGTCTGCGGAAGTAGCCGCGAGCAGTCGGAACGGTTGGACGAGTCAATGTAGCTTAATCCTCAGCTTCTGAACGGGGGCCCAGGTTCTAGTCTATGTGCTTTAGCTGGTGTCAAATATTACAAAGCTGAAGCCAGACCTTGGGTTGACGAGCCAGAGAGATTATACGCCCCCGGCTGGAAACAGGTTGAAAATTCTCTAACCTCCAAATGACGTAAGCATAATGTTTCTGTTGTGTTCGCCATTGCAATCCAAAACATTTTCGTTTACGAGGCTTAGACTGAAATGGGTTCTTCAATTTGCAGCAAGTGGCAATATAATACTCAGTGTGACCCTTCAGTAGAACTGCTTCAGAAAAGAGCTGAGAAATAGAGGATAAAGACAGAACTTGGAATTGACCAGTAGGTTTGCATGACGGACACTTTGCGAGTCATACTCAGGTTCCAAGAAGACAGTGCAGATTTCAGTATGATGCCCCTCAAAACCAACTACACGGTCACGTTAACGCATGGCATGTACTTCTCAAACGAATTCGAGTCAGAGACCACATCATGAAGGACACATGACTTGTAACCATATGGGTCAGATGGACGACACCCCAATCTTATCACGAAGGTAAATATTTAGCGTTTGGAAATATTTAGGAAATATATGACATATGCGAATATTCGAGATCAGAATATTACAGATAACATATCCAAGCGTTCTAAAAACTACCAACTGACGAATCATCATCTAATGAGAATTCATTAATATAGATTGCAAAATTTGTTGCGCTCTATGTAAAGCAATGCATACACACGATACCTAGTAAGATAAAGAAATCGATTATTATTTCCCCTCTAATTTATTCTTTTCATGGTTATTTATCGTACATCTTCAAACCATGATCTCTTTATTTTCAGTAAGGTCCACTCATAACCCTGTTGGGGATAACACCCAACTGGCACCCAGTAACCTGGCAGAGTTCGCCGTTTGTTCTAGCTTAATCATTATTATTATTATTATTTACCTTAGCTCATTTTCAATTCTCATGAATTTCATAAAAACATCAACCTGAATGGGTTTGATACGAAACGTAACTTCGTGTTAGAAGCAGCAAACCCACTTTTCCATTTTGGCAATGGACCGCTCGATTTTACACTTCCAACAAACTCAGCCAGTTTAGATTTAAGATTCCCCCAGTTAATAAAATAAGAAGCAATATTAGAATTATCACATATCAATATATTCAGCCAGTTTAGATTTCGTTGAGATGGTCTTTACGTATTGAGCCCAATATTATATATGTAGAGGCTTCGGTTGGTGTAGACTAGGTAGCATCGCCCTTATCTCTTTCCCTTACGTCGTATTGGTATGAAAGCGTTCGGCTCTACCCAAAAGTCCATTCTATGCGGCGATCCGCGATCCTCGAGCTCTTGAACTTTATGTATGCATCCCATTGGTCCGGTCCATGCATCCCATCTATCCGCTTCAATATTCTGAAATTTTTCTGCTCGTCCTCATTGGGACTTGGCCATCGAAATCTGGGATTCAGCTGTACCAGTATCCCATTCTGTAATTTATCTTAAAGTAAAAAATAAAATATAAAAAGCCTCGTTTTCCTGCTGCACCAGTAAAGTACTTTCAGTTCACAAGAAATTCAAGGGAACACGGGCTCAGACAACCTTTCTCAGATATGAGTAAGTGCACAGGTTGAATCTCCTCTAAGTAATCGGCTTTGTGGAAGCTCGGTAGTCACTACGAAAGCTATGAGCAGTGTATGAAGGCTTCATGTTGTTGTCATACACTTCCTCGCCTCGTGGATGGGTCAGTTTGTTGTCTTGGCCCTTGGACTATGAACGCAGTCCTTTTGGTAATGAGTGTGGAACGAGGCCACGACACTCTGGTCGTGACCATTGTTGTGATTCTCATCATCAGTCTATAGGTAAGGGACATCTCTGAGTTTCGAAGGTTCACTAGAGTTGGTTGGGTTTCACCGTGTTCCCTTCGTCTGCCCTTGCAACTTCAATTATCCTTTCGAATGTCGGGCCTCTCACAATTTAACTCGGAGTCTTCTCCTTCAGTCTAATCTTACGAGCCGATATTCTCCTTCACAATCGCGGAAGATTCATAAGCTTTAGAATCTCGTCTTCGCTATCTGCTGCTACTGGTGTTTATCATGATTGAGTACGTGAAGAACATTTCTGTCCTTCTCATTCGCATTCATCGCTACAAACGATTCTTGTGAGTTTCGAGTGAGCCACCGGATTCTCAACATCGTTCAACGCGGCTGTCAACCTCGAGCATACCCAGAAGGAGAAGAATGTCTTGCTGTAAGTAAGTTTCTGAAATCTTGAGTTAGATAACGATAAAGAATCTATGTCAACGGAGAGTATGAGAATATCGTTTCTGGAGCTGCGGTGAAATACTTGGGTTTCATGCTTCTGCACCGAAAGAAAAGTGGCAAAGGTGTTCGCTGTGTTCTTCAGTTAGAAGATAGCATAAGACGAGGAGAAACAAGGAGGACAGTTCCTCGACGAGGAGGTGGCGTGGAGAGAGCTTCTCAACTAATACCAGGAGTTGAGAACTTCTCACATACACAAGGCCAACGGATCACTTTAACAATCAGTCGAAGCCTCTTCAAAATCTCGGAGAGAGTACTAATATGTGAGAGAGAACTCCAGAGTTCTCTAGATTCATGTGTCATTATGAACATAATGACATTTTGGGTTGCTATCTTGTAGACTTCAAATGTCATGTGGATATCTCTAGTATCTAGATTATTATGAAGCTATGGACAATGTGATCACATAATTCAAGTCCAAAAAATGAATGCCTTATGAAGCGAAAGTCAACCTAGAGATGAGAAACAATATTCAGACTTTAAAAAGTGAAAACAAGGGGATAGTTGTTACTGAGTCATCTATCTTGCTCTGAACTATAAACACTGTGTACATCACTAGATATCAAGTAGATTGTATAATCGGTAATTATTTTTAAAAATGAAATAATAACTCAATAATAAACTGTGGATAATATAGGTCACACCAACGTAGCTAAGCAGAGAATATTCGCAACACCACTGGAATAAAACATGCGCACGATTCATGTGAAAGAGGTCGATAGACAGAGAATGTGACATGCAGATTGAATCTGTATAAAGCGAGTTCATTAAGGTGTCATAATCATCTAGCCCACAAGCGCAGAACGTGATGTGGAACGAAAATAGAGCACCACGCGTCGATGCTACACATGAGGATCATTCACTCGAGGCGAGACTTCAACCGATGACGACCACGCATTCTCCTTTGCATCGCCTTCCGGTGAACGAGAGGATAATCGAATCGCGACGGCGCCGTCAGGAGGCGACGGCCCAGTCACCGAGCATGCAAAGAGAAACGGGGAAATCTCAGCCCCCTGCTCCGTCCGGAAGCGGACGGAGGCCCGACTGCGGTCGCAGGAGATAAAAGAACATATCTCGCGTCCGTCGGTCCTGCGGGAGCTATCCCGACACGTATCCATGCGATCCGCGGGCGTCCAATGGACGAGGCGCGGCCATCCAAAAGCGCGACGGAGCTCCCCCTCGGGTAACAGAGCCTGGCGCGCCTTAACGTCTTCCTCTTCGTCGATCGTCGTCGTCGTCGTCGTCGTTGGCCCGTCGGCCATCGAGGTTTTGTCGTCTGATCGGACGAGGAGGCTTTCGGGACGGAAATCGGTCAAAAGGCCACTTTAGATTCGGTTCACAAGTTTGCGCCTGGAGCCGCGAGATTCCATCGGCATCTGTTTCGTTCAAAGCCTGGTCCTGCCAGACGGACGAGGGGAGGACCCAGAGGAGCGCCGAGAGTCTGCGCCTTCTTCTACTTCTTCTTGTTGTTGCTGCTGCTGCTGCTGCTTTTGCTGCTGTCGTGCGTCCGGAGATCGTCGCCGCGAAGGTTCTGATCGAGGAAGCAGGTTTGCTTTCGAGCGAGCGACCATGGCCGCGACCGCTGCAGCAATCGGAGGACAAGTGGCTTCATGCTCGGTGGTAGCTCTTGGATCTCGACCTGCCGCGGCCGTGAGCAGAGCCGATGGGTTTAGCATGCGCAGGTCTGCCCTCGGTGGCCTCGGATCGCCTTTAAGGTTGCAAACCAGCCGGGCCGCTTCCGGTGAGATTCTCGCGTCTGCCTTCCCGCTTAATTTGTTCTCAGTTGTGCCAATTGTGTCTCGTGGTGTCGAGATGGGGAAGTTCGAGGTGTAACCCTGTGCCCTGTCGGGGCATACAATTGCACATTGGCTCTGAACGGCCGGCGTGAAATAGATGCTTTCGTCGAAGCTTTATCCTGGCCTTCGGTTTGTGCCACGCATATGTCTGTAGCATCTCGGGGTGAAACTGAGCTGACGGAGAATGTCTATCCTGTATATGTTTTCCGAATGGTCTCTGTAATGCCCCCTGTTTAAGAAACAATGTTCAAATGTGGCATTATTGGACATGCCGGCCAACCAGGTCATGACCGGCCATGGCTGTCTCGGATAGCCATGGCTGAAATGTCGAATGTGATAGCCTAATCACTCTGATGATTCCCTGTTGTACACTGGAAGGGTGCATTTTCTCCTCTCTCGGCAGTAGTCCGGCTGCTGCAAGTATGTGTGTCATCCGAAAGAGGATTCCAAAAGACCTCTCAGATTTAGTCGCTTTTTACTGAAGGAGCGCAAGAATAGAGTTTTTGTACTGAGTCTCATGAATCACGTCAGCGGCCTAAAAATTGCCGCCAAAATTTCATCCTCCACATTGTTTCTCCTGCAAGTGCTTTTAATTCTCTAAAATTCTCTTCATACATGTGGTCGCAGAGTCGAAGAGAGTTCTCCTCGTGAGTGCCAAGACCAAAACCGAGGTTGAGGTGGAAGAGGTTCAGTCAGAGGTCGCTGATGCCGCCAACGACCTTCTCAAGTCCGTGCAGGAATCCGTAAGTTCTCTCGATGTCTCGCAGACTCAAGTATGAAAGGGTGACAGTACTGGGTGTTATTTATCTGATACTTCCTCGTCTGTGCTTTACTGCAACAAGACTCGTGAGATTTATCCCCTCTATCTTTTGAATAACGTGGACAATGCCTGAATTTCAGTGGGAGAAGACCGATGATAAGCTCGCCATCAGCAGTTTGGGATTCGCCGCATTTGTAACATTGTGGGGATCCTTCGGACTCGTTGGCGTAAGTAGCAAGCTAAATTCAGCCACCCTGCCAGTTGTCTATTTCCGTGACTGCGAGTTAGACTGAGCAAATCAGTTTCAAGGCACAAAAGTCGAAAATTCGTACAGTTGTATGTGGTTGTTAGCTTTGGTTAAGAAGTACAGACAAACTTTCATTTCTACGGCTGGTGGAGCCGTAGTTCTCAAGATGAAATTGCAGGAATATGTCTTTCGTTGTCAAATTTTGTCAAAGAAGTGCGTTTCCAAGACCGACGTGTGTTTCACTCTTTGCTTGCAGGCCATCGACAAGCTTCCCTTCCTTCCAGGCCTTTTTGAGCTTGTCGGAATTCTAGTGACTGGGGTAAGTTTTCTACAGAGTTGGAGCCGAAATTGTGAGTTATTACCGTGTTTTTATCATTGAACCTCGTAGTCATAATGTTAGACTGTCAAAGCAAAGGAGCCCACTAACGAGTCTACCCCGTCCCTTCTGTTTGCAGTGGTTTACCTACAGATACCTTATCTTCAAGCCTGACAGGTGAGTCCAATTTTTTGAGAGTGCACGTATCTGAGTGTTCTGTCCTTGCTTATCACCTTCCATTAAGTTGTAGGTTGGAGATGTATAGAACATGTCAATGTCCCTAACAATTGAAATTGGACACTGCAGAGAGGAACTGCTCAAGAAGATCGACGAGACTAAATCCAAAATCACCGGGCAGTAAAATGTAAAGTATTCTGCTCGTAGGTAGAGTTGTTCCGTAGTGTATGAGTTCAGTGGCAACTTGGGGTACAGTTAGTTGCAGTACCCATATCAGACGACATTGCCGGTGGCCAGTTTGAGGAAATTGTCGGGAAGAGATAATATGCTTTTGAGCTATCTTGTACCATTACTTCTGCTAGATGAGTCGACTCCAGATTCTACCTAGCTTCTTCTAGTTAGTTTCGGCGGGAGTCCATCAGTTTTTACCAGCATCGAGATCTCTCAATACATTTTTTTCCAACAATTCACGGTTATTTCCAGCCTGAAAGTTGGGTATGACATTGAGAATTCCATGAGGGGACTTTCCTTCTTAAGAAGGCTTGTCGTTGTACATTTTGAAATTCAATTTTCTTTCTTCACGGAGAAAATCACGAGTCGAGTGTGTTATGCCACAGAAGCAATCTGTAACTTTTGAGGTGGGGTGAGTTACGAATCTAAGCATCCAACCTGAGATACATGTGCAGGCGTCGAGCAGCGATTTGCGTTTCGTGTTGCGAAATGCTAAAAAAAAAATTTGCATTTACATCATCTGTCACTCTTCATTGCTGATACTAGCCGACAGTTGGTATGTAAACGATATGAGTGAATATCGTAGGGTGGCTGAAACTTCTGCGAATTTGAGTGAAAGATTTGATATCCGACGAATATGAGATCATAAAGAACAATATATTAAGATGATGTATATATACCTGAGAAGATAATGATAAATTCCCGTTGTTCAAGTTCAAAAGTTACACATCAAATCTGAATGGGAAACAACTTTATGATAAAATAGTGTACACAATTGGCGAACAAAGAAGGATAAAATCGTGTAACTGCCACCTTCGTTTGTCTAGTAACTTTCTAGTTTTACAGTCTGAGACCATTGCTCCTAGAAAACCACATATTGCACATAATTTCCTTGTCAACCATGACCGGAACCAGAAACCTTAAACATCGAATTGTACAATGACCCTCTCAGGGCAAGTGGAAAACATAAGGTCACTGTTAAGTTTTGAGAGAAACAGAGTATACCTACAGACAGGATTGCATAACTAATGAAATTTTTATTTGGATCTCTGACTAATGAATGGCAATTTTATCCACCATTATGCCATGCTCATTGATTGATTGCTATACAGGGACAACTGCGAGATCAAAACTTTCGAAATCTAGTACTCGGCTGGCAGTCTGCATCTGCTCTGCCATACTGACAGCGGCATACGCTGACAATTTCACAGCCAAAGCTTTGGAGCCGACAAACTGTCCAGTTTACGGCTGCTGCTGCTGCAAGCTTAGCCTGATCATTGAGAGGTGACGTCGTTGTGGGTGTAAGGAACTGGCAACCACGCCTGATGGGAGAGAAAGTCAACACCGACACTACACTGCCTCGCTTCATTCGAGCCACAGGGACACGCTCCTCCCAAAGTAGATGGAAGCATTTCCTCATCAAAATGTTTCTGCGGACAAGAAGCAGGATGGTCAGTTTACAAGGAAGAGCGTCGACTAAGTCTCAAGAGGCCCTCACCTCACCACCTCAGTCGTAACAGATCCCCTTTGGACATACCTTCTAAACATATCAATTGCAGCAGTGCCAGTATTTTCTTCTGCTGCATGGAGCTGAAACTACACGACCTCAATTTACAAAACACTAGTTCAGAATTGTCAACTTCGTCGAGATGAAGGACAAACTTACCAACAACGTAGACATGTATCTCCCTCCCAGCGTCACGATTCGCTCCTTGCCCTCTGCAAATAATAACACGACATGCTCGTCGTCAGGGAGGAAATATCGGAGCCAAACTCGTGAAGGAGGAAGCTGGCACGTTCTCAGAAAGGAAAGGCTACCTCGCAGGCACTCGAGACCTCAGAAAGATGTCAGACTGCATCTTGCTACTTTCATCGATGCGAGTCGACACTTGGGAAACAAGCACTCGTGCAGAAGCTACTTTCTCTCTTTCAGGTCAGACAGAATGCGTACCCAGAAAGCCCTTGTCGATCACAGCTCCTTTGGTGTACGACGGGCGCAGAATGACTCTCTGTATTGCGCTCATCACCAGGCCCAGCATCATCGGCGCATTGATCAAGAATATCCACCCTCCACGACCTGAACTCACAATTTATCAACAGAGGAATCATCGCCAAAAGCTGGTCAATGCAGCTGTTTCGACATCCATCTGCAGCTGCGAATTTGACAGTCTTTGAAAATGATGGCCCGCAGACAGCGCAGGACGATGGACAGTCTAGTCTGGAGAGGTTTCAGACCTGCGTAATCTCGGTTGAGAATAGTCCCGATGCTCTGCATCACGTGCATAGGTGGCAGTCTCATGAACCCGAGTCCGTCGAGGTCCATGAGAATGTTCATCTGCTTCACCGCTCCACCGAAATAATTGAGCTCTGCATACTCCGCATGCGAAACTGCACAGCAATCCGTGCAAGGATGGGATCATCTCTCAACTCCACGGCAACAACAGCACCACAACAAATCAGCAACACCAGTCCCTCAAATCCAGAATCGGCACTCGGCTCTGCCATCACTCGACGCTCGAAGAGGGCTCCGAAACTCACTGGTGACTGTGATGAAGTGCTTGAGCTCCGACGACGACAACTGGCGGACGGCCTTGCCCAGAAGCACCACGAGAGTCGGCCGGCCCTCCTGGCAACGACCGTGCCAGTAGACCAAGCCGCTCCACGGCCTCGACAGAAGCTCCGGCAGCTCCAGATACGATTGGTCGCCATGAGAATGACGCAACTGCAGCAGCACAACTTTCCAGTCGGAGTTAGGACAGGCGGATTTTGGGCTGCGAGTGGGCCGCAGGAATGGAACTAAAATTAGATCGTCACGGTCTGGTTGGTTTGGGCGATCGATTGTCACCTTTCTCAGGTTCAGGCACGTGGGATGATCTGCGAAGAGGCTGGCAGCGCAGCTCGAGCTCGAGCTCGTTGACTCTGTTGACACTGAATTGCCTTCGGAGCGCGTATCAGCGCTGGTGTCGACTTCGTCGATCACTTCCAGGGACGACGAGGAGGAAGAGGAAGAAGAAGCTGAAGCTGAAGCTGAATCGTCTTCCTGGAGCTGTGGCGCCTGAGCTCGTGCTCCATCGACGTGCTCGAATTTCTCGCTCTCGCTGTCGGAGTTGACGACGACGACGGCTGCTGCTGCTGCTGCTGCGGTCGAGGCAGCTCTTGCAGCTACATCATCGACATTGCAGTCGTCCTCGGACGCGGGACTTTCTCGATAACCAGGCAAGACGTGTTGTCGGCTAGTCGAAGAACTGAACAGCACCATGGCCACCATCACCAGCGAGTCAGTCATTTCCAGCACTACCTCTCTACTGCTGCTGCTGCTGCCGCCGCTGCTGCAGTTTACTTTGCAATCCTCGGACTTAAATCTAAATCAATTCTAATGAACTGAAACTAAGACATGGGCCGTGAGAGTGGACAGATTCGGTTGTGCTGTGTTGAATGGCTGAGTTTTTTCACCGGCACTCAGCTTCTGCAAAATCGAAGCACGAGTATGTGAAGCTTAGGTTGGAATTTAAGGATTTAGATGCCTACTTCTCCGTTGACGCGTCTGACGATTCTCTGAGCCCAGACATGTGTTCTCCATCCAGGAATTCGGTCAATTTAATTCGAGGCATGGCAGCTCCCATGGGATTGGTCCCCTCACGTTCACAGCCACTGCACATTCCCGCAGTTTGAGCTTCAGCCCCAGCCTCAGCCTCAGTCTCAGTCTCAATTTCGTTCTCTCGCAGCCGATCATCCACCGACACAAGCTCGCAGTCGTTCTCTCGAATGCTCGTAGTCATGGGTACCCACAAAGGCGCAACCCTTGCATTTTCCTGTTGATCATCATCTGTCACGGACTTGAGATCCGCATCGAGGCACCGGGCTACAGAATTGAAGTCCAGGCCCAAAAAATTATTATAACTCTCTATTTGTACACAGTCGTCCAACTTTTGCCAGTCCTGTACAGAGACGGAGGGTCTGCAATCTGCATTTGGTACATGAATCCCCTCGTGCTCGTGCTCGTGCTCGTCGCAATCGTCGTCTCGTCCGAGCTGCGAGCCGGCGTCCGTGTCGTCGGCTGAGAACTCAGATTCGTCGCTCTGGCTTGGCGTGGCCCGTCGTCTCTTGTCGGCGAAGGGAGTCCAGACGACGGAGTAGATTGGATCGTCTTCCGCCAGTCCATCGACTTCGATTTCCCATGTGCCATCGGCCGATCCCGAGTCGTAGTCCTCGGATGTGAGCGCGGTGAGATCCGCCCTCGGACTCAGCTCCAAGCTATGAGCAGGAGGCTCGTCGGGCTCGCATTCCTCTGCGTCGTCGGGCACCTCCACTTCAGACAATCCGCCCGACGACGATGCTCGCACGAACAGGCGGAAGTTCTCTCGGCCCATGGGCGGCTCGGAGGAGCACGCGGGTGACAGCGATGGAGATTCATCCTCCAGACGGTGGAACTCTCCCGAGAATCCAAATGTTTCTTCCCTCTCTGCAGAACCCTCTGTCCTGGGCCCGAAAGACGATTCACTGCTCGAAATTGAAGATGATTCTCTGGGCCACGACAGTGCGTCCTCGATGTCGCCCGCACCAACCTCCTCCACCTCCTCCTTCTCTTCGTCGTGCTCGATGTGCAACCGAAGCTTTCGATCGATTTGCTCTGTATCGTCCGTAGAAACAACGGAGCTCGATTTACCATAACTACTATCGCTGCTGCTGCTACTTCTACTACAATTGCTGCTGATGCTGCTGCTGCTGTCGTCCTCGACCGAAGACGCGGACAAGTCCGAGGTGGAATTCAATTGAGCTTCGTCTGCTTCCTCGGATGCGGGGAGGGTGTCAAAACTGCACGATTCGAGGGAGATTCGAGCAGAACATGACTCCGGGCTGTCACGAAGAGGCTGAGCGGACGCAGAATCACAGATGTTCGGGATGACCGATGACAATTCCGAGCTCGATTCTGAGCTCTCGTCCGACAAGCGGCCGAGATCGATCCCGTCCAATTCCCTGTCCCCCCAGTCGACCGAAGACAGAGAGCTGCGGATCGACGAGAGCTCGAGCTCGAGCTCGTCCTGGTCCGAGGAATCGCCATTGGACGACAGGCCATCGTCGGAGATCACGTCCTGCTCGAACGAGCCGGCGCTGGCGCTCGACAGGCCGTCGTCCGAGATGACGTCCTGCTCGCGAGCAGCAGGGCCCTTGCGCCGGTCGGGCTCCATGAGCTCCTCGGCGTGCACCGCTGCGCCATCGCCGGGCTCCGAGCAGCTCTCCCAGCTCGCACTCTCAACTTCGATGTCAGCGTCCGTCGATTCGCCTGCTTGGTCCAGAAATTCTTCGCCCTCGGATATGCTCTTGGTCGGCAGCAGCGTCGAGTACAGATTCGGCATGTGGCGCATTGCCTTGCGCTCATTCTTATTCGTGAGGCGCAATCGGAGCACGAGGAGCACAGCCGTCAAAGAGCGGCGCAACAGAGAGCCGTAGAAGGGCCGCGAGGCCGCGAGAGCCAGATTCAGTGGCAAGCGCCACCAGGCTCCCCCTCCTCCCTCTCGACCTCCTCGGAATCCTCGTCCTCTTCCCCTCGCTCGATCGACGAGCGCAGCCCTCGAGCTCGTGTCCGAGGGCCACTGCTGGTGCGAGAAGAGCAGGACCTGGAGCAGAGGCAGCCGGAGAGCCGGGCAGAGGAGCTGCATTCCGGCAGCCCCGGCCACGCTGAGGAGCAGAGTGCGGCATTGTGTGTTGAGGAGCGGGCGGTGGTGGTCTGGGGAGGGGGAGGGAGAAGGTGGGTGCGATTCGTCGTCGTCGTTGTTGTCGTCGTCCGAGGCGATTTGGGCAATGCCGGATTGAATGTCGCTGGATCGCTCGTGGTAGAAATTAACGAAGAGCATGGAGCTCCTCTGGCGCCACGTGAAGCAGTTGTTGATGGAGGTCTTGCAGAAGACCTTGTTGCCGACGACGGAGCCTCGCGTCATGATGTGCGGGAAGACGATTTTGCCCCTCGGATTCGTGGCGACCGCAGCTCGCCGTGCAGCCGATCGCTGCAGGGTCCGAGTGCAAACCAGCGACTCGATGTTCTTCTGGTCCCAGTCCCCTGATCCTTGCAGCCTCTTCTCGTACAACGACGACGAGAAGCTCGAGCATCCCCACTTCTGACCAGACAGCGACGATGACGATGACGATGACTTACTGCCCTCCTCCATTGCATCAGCAGCAGCAGCAGCAGTGCAAGGTTCTGGCCTCCCTCTCGAAAGCTTGCTTGACTCCCTGCCCATTGCGCAATCGCTACATCGTTACTGCACTCGCAGCTCTAAATTCTCCTCCTGCTCCTGCTCCTGCTCTGATACGAACACCTGCTGCTCCTCGACCTCGTCCTCCTCCTCCTCCACCACTACCTCGTCTACATATTTCTCTCGTCTCGGTCGTTCCTGTTGCCGCTGCAGCTGCAGCTTCAGCAGCCATCTGCCGCTGCATAATCCGTTCACTGCCAGTCCAACCAATCTTCATCAGATCCGCAACCACCACCACCACCACACTGCAACTCAACTCTGCTACTCCCTGCACGCAACACCAACACCGACGACAGCAACGAAGACGACGACGATGACAATGCCTCAGATCTCATTCTCCTCCTCCTCGGGACGAGGCCTCGTTCATCGTCATCATCATTTCTGTCATCTCTCTCTCTCTCTCTCAAAGGGTCCGGCCTCACGGGAAGACGAGGCTTGGGGGCCGCGGAAAATCACCAGCTTTGACCTCGCAAGGGGGAGGCACGGAGGCAGGCAGGCAGGGCCCGCAAGAGCACCACCATCGGCAGCTGCTGCATGAGAAGCGCAGAGGCCGAGAAGCCACGGCTGCCCTGCGCCTGGGAACAGCGGCAGGAGCAGGAGCAGCAGCGCAGCAGTGATCTCAAGTCACGGACAATCGGAGCTGCAGCTCGGGGCATCGGACGCACCGAATCAAGGAACGGATCATTCGCGCCAGAGCCAGACATTCAATCGCAGTCCAAAAGCAGAGCGAGCCGAGAGCGAATATTCATCGGGAAATGCGCATTGCCCGAGCCAGCCTGGTCGCGAGTGCGTCCGAGCTCCAGGGCACGTGGTGCCCAGACAAGCTCACCAGACCCCAGCAGTCCCCAGTCCCCACTGCCAAACGCAAGCCCCCTCTACTCCTCAATTCGCCTTTCCCTCTCAACCATAGCCTCGCTGAGCCCAGCACAGCATATGCCAATTCCTTCTCTTCCCGATCCTGCACGCTATATCTCAGCCGATCCTGCTCTGTCTCTCTCTCCCCATCCCCTGCCTTCAAAAACCAGAACACAAATGTGCAGCAGCAGTTCGGCCACCAGAGCTACAGAACGAGCTCAGAACAGTGGAGCACCTCCATCCACGCACAGTGGACACGACACCGAAATTCCTCCCATCGCACTCCCCAGCAGCTAAACACTTCAGCGAGCTGCGATGGCTGCTGAACTTCCCCTCCGTCTCGGCTTAAATCCATCGCTGGCAACTGACGGGGAAGGGCAACGAAGGCCAAAACTATAATTCTACCATCATCATGGTCTCGAGCCAACCAACCAACCGTCGAGCAACGACGACGTAGATGGCCACACTCTCTCTCTCTTCTTCCGATCAGCTCTCTCCTGATTCGACTCGACTCTGGTCCCATAGCTTAGCGGGTCCCACAGAAACTGCGGGATCAGCTGCCCTTCGCTCGTTCCCTGGAACTGGGGAGAACTGTACTGTGAAGCGAACCAGGGGCGTTCAGGTACAGGGCAGTGATTGCAAACTGACATGAGGTGAGAATCAGTCTTCGCCGGACCCACATCCCCTGGCCTCGCCTGATGGCTCGGTGCCTTCACCGGCTCAAGGGTGTGATTGAATAAGCAGTGTAAGTGCGAGTCAGCTCGAGATTCTCGTCCCTCGGATCAGAAGTTGGAATGGCACTGCGAGCTTTCTGTGGAGAGTGTAGGTGGTGGTGGTAGTAGGCCGGGGGAGCCATCGTACTTGAAGATGGAGAGACTTCTCAGCTCTTGGAGCTCGCAGGCCATTCATGTTCTGCATGGTTTGCCACGATAACTAACTGGATCCAGGATTTTGGGCCTCGTCTCTGGGTCTTGGCGATTCAGATATTTGCTCTCGTTCCTTTCGCTTTCCTTTCGGTCCGTTGGTTTCGACTTTTCGCTGTCTCGATGCTTTTCTTCACCTGTCGGTCGCCAAAGTCGAGACGCTGTTTTTCTACCGATGTGGTGCGGCAATCCTTCGCTGAGTCCAAGGAAGATTAATAACGAGAAACTGTGCTTGTAATTGAGATCCTTGAGTTATGGCTGGATGGCAGGATCTGCGATCTGTATTGATCAAAGCTCGCTTGCTTGCTGCCTGCCAGACGAGCTTCTCCTGCGCATACTTCGGCTTTTCCTGTTACTGAATGAAAAGTGACAGAAAGTGGAACCGTCCTGCGCGAGTCTCTGCGCGCTCCAGTGCTCCAAGACATGCATGAATACCATGCGGCACTTGCAATCTGATCCCAACTCCACAGACACAAGTGCATAATGCGTTTTGGGAGATTAATTTGGCATAATGTTAAGCAGATAGCAGGAAACAAAATTTAATCCTCTTACATTATTGGCTTCGGTGCATCAGACTAGAAAACCACGTCATGGACCTATTCTGAAGTAATTCACTAGTCTACATCAGGGTCAAACAGATCTGCAGCTTTATACAGAAGGTCAAATTCTAGTTCCAATATTTTAGCAGCAAACTGTAAATTTTTCATGAAGATAATGAAGCTGCTCTGTGGATATTGTGGTGCAAAGACTTTTATCGCCATCAGTCCAGCCGTACCATGATTATATGATTGAGAAATGTATAATTCATTTTCCATAATAATATACGAAGTTCACGATGGAGACTTCAATTCATATCCAATCTCACCTATATGCCTTGCATGACCCTACAAGATTATCTCGCTCAGATGAATATTAATATTCAACGGCACAAGTGTGAAGTAGTTTGAACTTGAAGTTCGGTGGAGTTTTAATTTCCCGATCTATATTTTATCAACATGTGCACATACCAGTCTTTGCTCAGAGAACTTTGGTCTCACATAACGAATTTAGCCAATCATGATCAACCTCGCTAAACTCAACCCCAGCTAGAAAAATTTCACGACGGCCAGGATTTCCCAATGCTGATGCGACTGTTTTACTCATCAGGCTCGGCGATCACGATTTTCGTCAAATCACAACAAACTTGGACAGTGTGCAGCTGCTTGCAAGGGAGCCACGTGTACCTACAAATGTGCATGGTCATGATCGATGAAATGGTCCCGTCCCTAACTATCTGTCAAAAGTCTCATTTTGGCGGTGGAAACTTACTGTGCGTGTGGAATATAGAAATCCTGGAGTTTCCGAATGATTGTGGAATTTTATGCTGAACAGTCAGAATGCTCCCACGACATCTCTCATTCGAGGACCACCGAATACAATTGAAGAAGAAAGTGAATGAAAGCACATGACCAAAAAAGTCGAATGCGCATTGTTTTATGCTGCTCTGACCGCATGATGCCTCCCCTTTGACCTGGATGCATTTCACATTTGGACTCAGGGTTGGCGGAGGATGTCTCACTATGCATGGAATCTCGACTAAGCCTTACCAACCACAAACGATAATTCGAATTATTGATATACAGGTATTTATCTTTTTTTTATTTTATTTTATTTTATTTCTGACCAATTTCATTACACGAGAGATCACATTCTTTGGCATAACTGTATACCAGTTTCTTTATCCTCTGCATATACGTTAACAGAGGTATAGTTTTGCTCTGAAGATCCAGGTGGCTGTGGAGAAGATATCTCAATTGACCTTTCACAAGTCACTTTACCATCAAGGCATGATGCACGTCCTTGATGTAGTAGGTCTACAATTTGTGGCCGTCGCTCAGAGGCTTGGAGAATTTTCCTTGATCTTTCTAATTTTGTATAGAAAGTTTGCTGGCGACTAACATGTCGCCATGGTATCTTCATCGATGTTCTCACCCAAACGTAGAAATCAGGGAGATAACCATATCCAAGTGTAAAATATGTTCTTCAAAATTCAGGAAAAATCCATTCTTCATTTGTATAATAATCGAAGACTAACAAGACTGTACACCACCTCCAATAAAATTTCACTAAGTGATATAATCATGGCTACCGACTTCTGAAGATATTATTGAGCAGAAAATCCTCGATATTTATCGAGAGGAAATTCTTTTGAACTCCAGTCAAATTGTCTTTATAAATTATTGAACCTTCATACATTACCTCAGCTCTATAAAATTCTTCTCTAGCTGTTGTGAGCATGAGATGAGCTGTCGTTGCCTAAGCTATTTGTTCAGTCACTTTATCTTAAGTTACGATTGTCTTTAGCAAGACCCTTTGACAAATGAATAATAACATCAGAATTGGGGACCTGCACAATCATCTCACTGGAGTCCTGAAAACGAGTAGGATCGGGCTCCTAGGGTCGGGGCAGAAATGATGCAACGAAGTGACGCTTGGCAACTTTGTTGTTCATGAATACTTTGTCGAGTCAAGAAAAAAAACATCAGGAAAACAATTTAACGTGGATGATGCGACTGTTGTGGTCGTTCGGGCAGCAATGCGTCTCGATACGAATGCTCGTTGTGCTCATACAAAGATCGCTGAAAGCTCTGTGACAGGTGTTGGTCCAGGTCGACGGAAGTCCGAGTGCATGCCAAGAGACCCACGCACGTCTCCTGATGTTTGGACGCAGGACTTTCCTCAACTGTTTCTCCTCTGCTCGTATGGTGGGTCACTCTCTCGTGAGTTGCGTTCTCACCATCATCACTCCCGTCCTTCGGGTCCCAAAAATATGCCCAAATTCATGGAACTTTGAGGAGATTCCGTAAACCTCGTCACATTAATTGGCACTTTATTGCAGCTTTACACGAGTAATCACTGACTTTTATTCTACCCCATATAATTCTCAAGGATATGATAGTGGTACGACTGCCTTTCCTCTCGTCCTGGGCATTCGTGGTGATAAAGATTTATCATGTGTTGTTTGCATTATCCTCTCATTCGAGGTCATGTGGCTTTCCTTCTTATCTTGTGGATGTGTCAAACCAGCACCTGGATGGAGTCTTATATGTTTTGCTGCAGTCTAAAAGCTATCTTCCTTTCTGAAGGAGCGTGTGTGCTCACATGACAACCGCTGTAAGGCCTGCAATTAGCCACTCGGTCTCAGAATGTCCCCCTGTACTGGACCAAGCAGCTCTTCGAAAATAACGGGACTAGATAAATAATCATACGCTTCGAGATTTCATGAGATATCACTTTACAAACTCCATCCATGATGAACCTTGCCACTTTCCTCTGACATGAAAGTGGCATTCGTGTGACTTCCAACTGAGAGGCTATAAAATAATCTAGAATCATAGTTCGTGGAAATGTCTGATATTGTTAGAACCGATGTCTAGAGAATGACTCATCCTCAACCCTGTACAAGACCTTGTCACGAAGCCAACAATCATAGTTTGGGGTCGAATCTCCAAGCGCACCAAATACCTATAAGCTTTCACTCTGAATCGTCTCAGGCCCAAAATGGTAATGTTCAAAGTATCTGTCTGAATATAATTAATTAACTGATCTTTTATCTTATTTATATGTATATACACATAGAAACCGTCAGTCTGAAGTTGTGTTCTAGCATAGGGGTAGATCAACCCACATTCGAGGAAGCATAGACGAAAACTTCCTGGCGTTGACGTCAGGACCCACGAGTTTAGCAGATCCACATTTCGAGGTGGACCTAAGACAGACAGAGAGAGCAGATCCCCTGTTTCCCCTACCGGCCCAAGACTACGACTACTACTACTAGCATCACAACGCTGGAAATTCTACCAGGTCTAGTCCAAAGGATATCACGCAGGAAATGTCGTTGTTACCAAGCGAAAAGTTACCAAGTTGTACTTAAAATAAAAAAATCTTGGGATGCCTTTTGCATGTTTGGTTAGAGCACAAGCCTGGTCACAAGCGGCCCCCAGCAGGCTGCACTCGAAGCGTAGCGAACACTCACGCAGTCTTTCACAACCTGGCTACTCTTGGTGGAGAAATATTGAAGAGCTGCTGCATGTTCAGGTTGGAAGGACTCCCACGTTTTGGGAAGATAAAATTGGCAAGTTAAAGAAATCAATCATTGTGAGTGGACCCAAAGGCCCAATTCCAAACCCAAGGGAAGAGAGCCACAATCAAACCCCATGACAAGTACAGGTACTGTGTCGGGAGTACATAAGAACTGAATCTGATGGTTGAGGTGATTAATAATATCAACACAATTGATACTCAACGTAATCACAGCAGAGGTCCAACTGGCCTCTAATCGAGAAATGCACGTTTGAGCATGTTCGCCGTTTTACGTATTAATATGGAAAAATTTACTTGATGGGACCCTT